TACTATTCTTAGAAATAAATGAAATTAAATGTGGAATATTATGGCTGAAGAATGCATTTCCACGTTTTGAACAACTGACTTGTGAAAAATTTTCAGGAATGCATTATCATAAGTGGTGACCTACTACTGTATAGTGACTATGCACACTTAGCACTTGTCTGCTTTTCAGTGTTATGTTTGTCCCTGGTTACTTTACTTGAATTTGCAAATAGAAATATATATTTATGTATATATACAGTATTTACAGGATATACAGTGGAACCCCGAGTTTCGGCTGCTGTGAGTATCGGCCACTTCGAGTTTTGACCGCTTTTTTCGGATAAATATTGTTCCGACTTTTGGCCTGTGCCCCGTGTTTTGGCTGGCGTACCAGACCTGTCCACCTGCTCACGCAGGTGTTGTGAGCCAGTCTAGCTTTGTTTATCTTTGAGTGAGCATTACCCTGCGAACTCAGCATCAGACCATGGCTGAGGAACTTGCCTCAGAGGAGGAGGAGGAAGAGGGAGTAAAGGAGATGCCTTCTTCAGTGATTAAGGACATGTATGGAATGTGGAATAAGTTGCAAAGTTTTGTGGAAAAATATCACCCTGAGCAAGCTGAAACAAGACATCTCTGCAACATGTTCAGTGACAAAACAATGTCCCATTTTAGGCAAATCTTAAAGAGATGCTAGATACAGAGCACTCTTGACAGTTATTTTGTGCGACAGGGGTCCAGTGACTCTCAAGCTGGTCCTAATGGCATTAACCCTTTGACTGTTTTGGTCGTATATACATGTATACGTCTTACGAGCCAGTGTTTCAGACGTATATATACTCAATAATTCTAGCGGCTTCAAATCAAGCGGAAGAAAGCTGGTAGGCCCACATGTGAGAGAATGGGTCTGTGTGGTCAGTGTGCACCACATAAAAAAAAATCCTGCAGCACACAGTGTGTAATGAGAAAAAAAAAAACTGTTATTTTTTTTTTATTAAAATGCCGAATTTGAGGTGTATTTTCGTATAGTATTATCGATGTATTTGCATTTTCATGGTCTCAGGTGATAAAATGGAAAACATATTACAGAAATAGAGATGATTTTCATTACTTTGACGATGAAAACGACCTTGAAACTGAGCTCAAATTAGCGGAAATGTTCGATTTTTACCAATGTTCAGGAGTAAACAAATCACACCACACATCCAATACACGTCAACTGGGGAGTCTAATATTCTTTCACTAGTGCACTGATATTATTTATACCATTTTTACAATAATGCAGTAGTCTGCATAACAGTAAATTTTGTATTTTTTTGTATGAATAAAACATCAAAATAGAAAGCAATAATAATATAAGAGGGGCCTAGAGATGTGACTAATGAACAGAGGATATGTTATTTTAGTGCCAAGAATGTCTACCTTGTTTATTCTGGACCCTATTTTGAAATTGGCATCTTTTTTAGTTTGCGTGAAATTGGCCAAATTGCCATTTTCTGACCACAATATTGGGTAGTCCAAATTGGTAAATGGGAGGTTTCTTGTACTCAGCTGATAGATAAAATGGAGTTCTAAAGAAATAGCTATGAGTTTGGTCAACTGGAACAACGGAATTGGCTGAAAATAGGGCTCAAAGTCGGCGAAATCGCCAATACGCATATGTCGCCGAGACCGCTAACTTCGTGGGAGCGTAATTCCATGAGTTTTCGACCAAATTTCAAACTTTTGGTGTCATTACCATCGGGAAAAGATTATCATTTCATAAGAAAAAATAATTTTTTTTTTTTTCAAAAATTTAGCAACATAGAATGACAGTTTCAGAAAGGGGCCTGAAACAGTCAAAGGGTTAAAAGACAAAGAAGGGAAGTAACCCCAGATAAGGACTTGTTACCTAAAGTCCTCCCTCTCTCCTCCTCCATATCTTCCAGATGCCAGCAAGACTCTTCAATAAAGATACATAAATGTGATTTTAACCCTTTGAGGGTCGACAGGCCCTCTCAGAAACTCGTTCTCAGGGTCGGCCAAATTAAAAAAAAAAAAAATAATTTTTTCTTATGAAAAGATAGAGAATCTTTTCCCGATCATAATGACACCAAAATTATGAGATTTGATGGAAAACTTACGGAATTATGCTCTCGCGAAGTTAGCGGTCTCGGCGATGTTTACGCATCGGCGATTTTGCCCAATTTGAGCCCCATTTTCGGCCAATTCCTCTGTACTAGTTGACAAAAAACATGAATATTTCGCTAGAACTACATTTTTTTCTATTGAATGAGTGCAAGAAACCACCCATTTACCATTTTCAACTATCCAATACAGTGGTCAGAATTTAGCAATTTTGCCAATTTCACACAAATTTCAAAAAATGCCAATTTCCGAATAGTGTCCAGAACAAACAAGAAATACATTCCTGGCACTAAAATGACATTTCTTCTGCTCATTAGTCACGTCTCAAGGCCCCTCTTACATTCTTTTGCTTTCCACTTTGAATTTTTATTCTCACGAAAAATAGAAGATTTACTGTTATGCAGACTACTGCATTAGTGTAAAAAATGATATAAATCATATTGGCACAATTGCAAAAGAATGTTAGACTCACCAGTTGACGTGTATTGGACGCTTGGCATGATTTGTTTACTTTTGAACTTTGGTAAAAATCGAACATTTCTGCTACTTTGAGCTCAATTTCAAGGTACTTTTCATTGTAAAACCAGTAAAAATCATCTCAATTTCTGTGATATGCATTCCATTCTATAAAATGAGACCAAGAAAACTAGAATACAACAATAAATACCATACGAAAATACAGTGCAAAGACGCTGTTTTATGCCAAAAAAAACGTGAAAGTTTTTTTTTTCTCATTATGCACTGTGTGCTGCAGGATTTTTTTTATACTGTGCACACTGACCACATAGACCCATTCTTTCATATGGAGGCCTACCAGCCTCTTCCCGCGAGATTTGACGGCGCTAGAATTTATGCGTACTAGTACGTCAAAAACCCCCGCGCGTAAGACGTACTAGTACGTCCGAAACCCTCAAAGGGTTAAATGTCCATTTAAATGTTTATTTATGTATTGTATTGCTCATTTAAGTACTATATGTATGTTTAGTGCTATATGCATGTTAAACTATAGTTATTCTTTAAAAAATGTATTTTTTGTGAATATTTTTGTGGGTCTGGAATGGATTAATTGTATTTACATTATTTCTTATGGGAAACATTGCTTCGACTTTAGGCCGTTTCGAGTTTAGGCCTAGCTCCTGGAATGGTTTACGGCCAAAACTCTGGGTTCTACTGTCCATAAATAAACCCATCCACATTAATACTTTCTCTTTAACAAAACAGTATGGTGACCCCAAAAAAGAATTAACACTTTCACCATCATTAATTCAGTCACTGCCTTCCCAGAAGTGTGCAAACATCACAGTTCAGGTGACCTGAGTTGCAACATCCTTACCCCTCTCTCATAGTGAAGGCACCACATTTCCCACCTCCAGAGCTCAAATTCAGTTAACCAGCTTCCTTGAATCTCTTCATAAATGTTACCTTGCTCACACTCCAACAGCATATCAATCAAAAAAGTACTTGTCTCCACTCCTATCTAATACACTCACACAAGCCTATTGAATGTCCAAACCCCTAGCACTCAAAACCACCTTGACCCCATCCCTCCAAATTTTCAGAGGATGACCCCTACCCCTCCTTCCGTCTACTGCAGATTTATATATGTACTCTCCTAGTCATTCTATTTTGCCCTACCCTTTCTAAATATCCAAATCACCTCAACAACTCCTCACCTACCCTCTGATTAATACTTTCGATAATCCCACACTCATACATACATATACGTACTTAAATGCAGTATGTCAAATTCTTAGCTCTAAAATGATATGTTGACTTGGATACTATAGAATGAGAAAAAAAATGGTAAATAGGAAATTGCTTAGTTTACAAAAAGATTTTCTCTACCTTTTTTCTTGTCACTGAATGTATATTGGCTACATTAAGAGGAAAATATTATGTATGCTTTCTCAGTAATACTAATTTTTTTCATTAATATAAACAACAACATACTGTATATTATTCACAAATTAATACTTTTATCAAATAACAAAATCAAATCCATTGCCTACGTGTCACAAACAATGCCACTAATCATTATGGCCAAAAAGACTTGGTTACACTAACAAGGTGCCTTGATGGTTGTGAAGGATTATTCATCCCAAGAATTTGAGCTCCCCTTCCCTTTCTTGGATCAAATCTTATTTCACTCCTTCCTTAGGTGCTGTATGACCCTTACTGGTTTAGTTCTTTACCCATGAATTTAATAGTAATTTTCTTATGTCCACCTTGTCTTGTTTGTAGGTGTAACCTACAGAAATGGGAGATAGCATAAAAATCTTCTTTTAAATATTATTCTCTCTCAAAATTTTACAACTGCACAAGTTGCTTTGAAGAGAGAAATATGCATTTCAGAATTAAAATTATGGAACAATGAGGAAAATGTCAATAGCCGTAAGTCTCAAGCTGGGAGTATAACTAATGTTATACCATCTTATTAGACTGCCACACATGTGCAGTTACATAATCAACTACAATGTTTAAGAGTATCTTAACTTCTGAACTAATTTTCATCTTAATATGGAACATTACTGAGGGATTCAAAGATTAACACAGTAATACACTGATAAAAGTTATCATAACTAATCTGAGCTGAAAATATGAACAAGATTTCTTTACACGTTTGTGGGAATAAAGACACTTGTGTCTACCACTGTCTATTTTACACATTTGTGCAAGAGATTACACGTAATACACAGGTAGTTATCATGGAACTCATCAATTGCCACTGCAAAATTTCATATTTACATATACACAGTATACTGTATTTTAGATTTGTATATTTTTTTATTACAAGATATTTAACATATTCTCAGTAATTAGAAAATTATACGTATAAAAGTCTATGGAAAGTTGCGAATGAAAAAATAAATGTAGCATGTTTAAATAACTGATGGAAAAATACTGTATTTTTATTCTCATAAGAAAACACGTACAGCAGTACAATTGAAATCAAATGCGCTTTTATCCTACTAAATATTGAGCAGTATAGAAACTTTATTAGCTATTTTGAGATATATATACACCTTTTAAAAACTTCTTTGATCAACAGTCTGACATGGAAATAACATACTTGAAATTAAGTACATATTACTCATTTATAATGCAGATAGATTGAAAAATATTTTCAAAATAATCTAAAAAGTAACTTCATTAAACAAAAAAAAAAAAAAAAAAATCAAAACAATGCATATTTTCTTACCTTTCAGCAATTTTGTAAAACTGTTCCCCAAAGCTTTAAAATTAATTTAATAATTAAAAAACCTAAATAATGCAATAATATACAGTACATAAAAATACTGTCAAAATGTGTATGCATGTATGAATACGTATGTACAGTAAAGCCTCTCATTAGCAGATTTCTGCAATTTCAGACAAAAAATTGAAAGTATCATACAAAATGAATAGATGTCCATAATTTGGGATTTTGTGCATAGTGCCTGTGCCTGGTTGTCTTCCGAAGTAACAGACCAAATTCAATGACTCCAACATTTATTTGGTACAGGCCAGTATGGTCATGTCCAGGACCTGTCTGTTTTTATTGTTTCCTTAGCCATATGCCAAATGTGCCAGTTAATTGTCTGAGCTCACCTACGCATACACTCTTCATTGCCTCTAATATTTCCCTGGATTTAGAGATTTATGTGACCTTATTTTATTAACATACTAAGTAAAGTGCAATTAACAAAGGCTTCTAAAGCATGTGATGGTGCCATGAGGAAATGTGTAGTTTTCATTGTTAACCCTTTCTCCGTCTTGTACATAAGATCAACATTACTGACACCAAGGCCACTTGTGTAGATCTGTTTTGAACTTAGCACCCTCAAATAAGCTGTGAGTGGTAAATTTTGGCCTAGACATGAGAGAATGAGTCTATGCAGTGAGTGTGCACAGTATTAAACAAAATCCTAACCCATGCAATACATGATGGGGAAAAGCAAACCTCTGACCTTGTGTTTGGCTTAAAATGGTGACTTTGAGGTGCTTTTCAGGATGTTTTTTAGTTTTATTGGCTGTTTCTCCATATCATTTGAAAGAATGGAATGTATTCCAGGATGTTTTTTTAGTTTTACTGGCTGTTTCTTCATATCATTTGAAAGAATGGAATGTATTATTAAAACAGAACCAATTTTTGTTGGTTTCAAGACCAGTAGCTTGAAATCGAGCTCCGAGTAATTGAAATATTAAATTTCTGATGATTTTTCTAAGGACAATTAGGTAGCAGGTTGGTAGACAGCAACCACCCAGGGAGGTACTACCATCCTGCCGAGTGTAAAATGAAAGCCTGTACTTGTTTTAAATGATGGTAGGATTGCTGGTGTCCTTTTTTCTGTCTCATAAACATGCAAGATTTCAGGTACGCCTTGCTGCTACTACTTACACTTGGGTCACACTACACATACATGTACAAGCATATATATACACACACCCCTCTGGGTTTTCTTCTATTTTCTTTCTAGTTCTTGTTTATTTCCTCTTATCTCCATGGGAAAGTGGAACAGAATTCTTCCTCTGTAAGCCATGCATGTTGTAAGAGGCGACTAAAATGCCGGGAGCAAGGGGATAGTAACCCCTTCTCCCGTATAAATTACTAAATTTAAAAGAGAAACTTTTGTTTTTCTTTTTTGGCCACCCTGCCTCGGTGGGATACGGCCGGTGTGTTGAATGAAAGAAAGAAAGAAGTAATGCCTTCCCTATACCCTCTGGTTTATTTTTTAGAGTTTTGCTAAGTTTCATTATTATTATTATTATTATTATTGGGATGCTGTAAACCATGACCAATCATTCCTGTTTATATTTTATTAATCAGAGAAAGAATTTTTTTTTTTTTTGTATGGAGTGAATGATGGTGAAAGATTTTCTTTTTCGGGCCAGTGTGCTAATAAAAAAAAAAATCAAAATGGAAGGCAAGTGTAATACAGGAAAGGCCTGAGTGTGTGAATAATTAACAGAGGAAATGTTTTAGTGCCTGAAAAATCTAGTGTTTATTTTGGACTCTGCTTTTAAACTGGATTATTTTTAATTTTGTGTAAAACTGGCCTAATTATAGAATTTTATGCAATTTATTGGGTAGCTCTTAAAATTGAATGGGTAGTTTCTTGTGCTCAATCAATAAAATGGGAAGTATACATATACTAGCAAAATAGCTAAGAATTTGGGTGATTTGAGCAATAGAATTGGTTTAAAAGAGGGCTCCAATTGGATAAAAGCACTGATGTGTAAATTGTGCCCAGACCACTAGCTTTGCATCTGAGTAATTCTGTAAATATTCCATCAAATTTTGTATTTTTGGTGTCATTATGTTCAGAAAGAGATTTTCTACCATTTCAGATTTTTTTTTTAAGATGCTGACATTTTCAGCACTTATAATTTCAGGGCTTCTGACACAGAAGGTGTTAAGTAAAATCTTCAACTAATAAAGAAGGTCGAGCCTGGTGTTTTATTGGCACAGGTATGCGAGGAATATGGTGTTAAGAAACAGTGTGTGATATCTGTAGAAGCAAGTACAAACTTACAGACTGTGCTCTTAGGTTTTACCAGGCCTCGGAAAGGGTAATTACCCCTTTACCAGGAGTGGAGAAGGGTCATTACTCCTCTCCAGGCCTGGTAAAGGGTTTTAATGTAGAAGCTAGTGGAGCTTCACAGCTTCTCTGAATCAGAATAAAAGTTATTCCAAGTCACCACAATCAATCACAGCAGTTTACACCATCTCTCCACTGTAAAAAAGTAAAATTACTGTATATTATGTGCAGTACTAAAAAATGACTATTCAGTAATGTACCATAGTACTACAGTTGTCTGGTTGTCTTCTGCATCAGCAGACTGATTATGCTAGTTCAGGAAACAACTGGACAATTGTGAAAAACTAACTGTATAATTTGGAAGTACTGAACCATCAGGAATATTGTACACCCCTTCCCCACCTCTTAATCTATTAATGAAAGGGTTCACTGTGTGTGTGTGTGTGTGTGTGTGTGTGTGTGTGTGTGCGTGCGCACACATGTGTGTGTGCACGTGTGTGTGTGTGTGCGTGTGCGTGAGTGCGTGTGTGAGTGCATGTGTGAGAGTGCGCGTGTGTGAGTGCATGTGTGAGAGTGCGCGTGTGTGAGTGCATGTGTGAGAGTGCGTGTGTGAGAGTGCATGTGTGAGAGTGCGTGTGTGAGAGTGCATGTGTGAGAGTGCGTGTGTGAGAGTGCGTGTGTGAGAGTGCGTGTGTGAGAGTGCGTGTGTGAGAGTGCGTGTGTGAGAGTGCGTGTGTGTGAGTGCATGTGTGTGAGTGCGTGTGTGAGTGTGTGCGTGTGCACATGTGTGTGCATGTGTATGTGCGTGCATGTGTGTGTGCACGTGTATATGTGCATGCATGTGTGTGTACATGTGTGTGCACGTGTGTGTGCGCACCATGCATATACACATACACACACACTATATTATATATATATATATAGAGAGAGAGAGATATGAAATACACACATACATACATATACATACACATTCACACTCCCAATGTCATGATACAAATCTATTTAGCTTTGAGGTAAATTAAAATGTATGAGCATTCCGACACACTCCGCAACCAAGAGCAAACTCTTCTCCAGTGGGCGGATGCTGGACATGGAGCGGACACTCCTCACCTTCCAACTGTTGAGCTCGCGGACCTAGTAGATACAATTAATAAAATTAACTGCTGTATTTGAACAATAAAAGGCAGCAATTTGCAATTTTAATAAAAGCAAACTCTTTTAAACCCTGGAATAAACAGGAAAATAGCCAGAGACTGAAAATGATGGGGCTTGAATTAGAATTTATATTGAAAGGCAAGACTGTCAATTGTGACATTTTCATTTTTGACTGCTTTTTTATGTAAAGTATCAATTTTGCCTCTTACCAGGCTGTTGGCTTGACCTGCAGGGAAGTCTTAAATAGCTTTTTTGACTGTTTCTGATAATCTTTTAAAATGTTATTGAAAATGCTATAAAGGATATAAAGCTTCTGGTTTATCAATGTGTTCATATGCAAGCTCATCTGCACTAATGGAAACAAATAACAATTTTGTAAAACTATAATCATTAAATTGAATGATCAGTTATGGAAGGAGAAAAGAGAATATGAATGTGTAAATGCAAGAATTATGTGGATTAAAGTAAAGGTTGGATGCGAGAAGTGGGTCATAATAAGCGTGTATGCACCTGGAGAAGAGAGGAATGCAGAGGAGAGAGAGAGATTTTGGGAGATGTTAAGTGAATGTATAGGAGCCTTTGAACCAAGTGAGAGAGTAATTGTGGTAGGGGACCTGAATGCTAAAGTAGGAGAAACTTTTAGAGAGGGTGTGGTAGGTAAGTTTGGGGTGCCAGGTATAAATGATAATGGGAGCCCTTTGATTGAACTTTGTATAGAAAGGGGTTTAGTTATAGGTAATACATATTTTAAGAAAAAGAGGATAAATAAGTATACAAGATATGATGTAGGGTGAAATGACAGTAGTTTGTTGGATTATGTATTGGTAGATAAAAGATTGTTGAGTAGACTTCAGGATGTACATGTTTATAGAGGGGCCACAGATATATCAGATCACTTTCTAGTTGTAGCTACACTGAGAGTAAAAGGTAGATGGGATACAAGGAGAATAGAAGCATCAGGGAAGAGAGAGGTGAAGGTTTATAAACTAAAAGAGGAGGCAGTTAGGGAAAGATATAAACAGCTATTGGAGGATAGATGGGCTAATGAGAGCATAGGCAGTGGGGTCGAAGAGGTATGGGGTAGGTTTAAAAATGTAGTGTTAGAGTGTTCAGCAGAAGTTTGTGGTTACAGGAAAGTGGGTGCAGGAGGGAAGAGGAGCGATTGGTGGAATGATGATATAAAGAGAGTAGTAAGGGAGAAAAAGTTAGCATATGAGAAGTTTTTACAAAGTAGAAGTGATGCAAGGAGGGAAGAGTATATGGAGAAAAAGAGAGATGTTAAGAGAGTGGTGAAGCAATGTAAAAAGAGAGCAAATGAGAGAGTGGGTGAAATGTTATCAACAAATTTTGTTGAAAATAAGAAACAGTTTTGGAGTGAGATTAACAAGTTAAGGAAGCCTAGAGAACAAATGGATTTGTCAGTTAAAAATAGGAGAGGAGAGTTATTAAATGGAGAGTTAGAGGTATTGGGAAGATGGAGGGAATATTTTGAGGAATTGTTAAATGTTGATGAAGATAGGGAAGCTGTGATTTCGTGTATAGGGCAAGGAGGAATAACATCTTGTAGGAGTGAGGAAGAGCCAGTTGTGAGTGTGGGGGAAGTTCGTGAGGCAGTAGGTAAAATGAAAGGGGGTAAGGCAACCGGGATTGATGGGATAAAGATAGAAATGTTAAAAGCAGGTGGGGATATAGTTTTGGAGTGGTTGGTGCAATTATTTAATAAATGTATGGAAGAGGGTAAGGTATCTAGGGATTGGCAGAGAGCATGCATAGTTCCTTTTTATAAAGGCAAAGGGGACAAAAGAGAGTGCAAAAATTATAGGGGGATAAGTCTGTTGAGTTATAGGTAGTAGGTTGGTAGACAGCAACCGCCCAGGGAGGTACTACCGTCCTGCCAAGTGAGTGTAAAACGAAAGCCTGTAATTGTTTTACATGATGGTAGGATTGCTGGTGTCCTTTTTTCTGTCTCATGAACATGCAAGATTTCAGGTACGTCTTGCTACTTCTACTTACACTTAGGTCACACTACACATACATGTACAAGCACATATATACACACCCCTCTGGGTTTTCTTCTATTTTCTTTCTAGTTCTTATTCTTGTTTATTTCCTCTTATCTCCATGGGGAAGTGGAACAGAATTCTTCCTCCGTAAGCCATGCGTGTTGTAAGAGGCAACTAAAATGCCGGGAGCAAGGGGCTAGTAACCTCTTCTCCTGTATATATTACTAAATGTAAAAGGAGAAACTTTCGTTTTTCCTTTTGGGCCACCCCGCCTCGGTGGGATGCGGCCGGTGTGTTGAAAGAAAGAAAGAAGTCTGTTGAGTATACCTGGTAAAGTGTATGGTAGAGTTATTATTGAAAGAATTAAAAGTAAGACGGAGAATAGGATAGCAGATGAACAAGGAGGCTTTAGGAAAGGTAGGGGGTGTGTGGACCAGGTGTTTACAGTGAAACATATAAGTGAACAGTATTTAGATAAGGCTAAAGAGGTCTTTGTGGCATTTATGGATTTGGAAAAGGCATATGACAGGGTGGATAGGGGGGCAATGTGGCAGATGTTGCAGGTGTATGGTGTAGGAGGTAGGTTACTGAAAGCAGTGAAGAGTTTTTACGAGGATAGTGAGGCTCAAGTTAGAGTACATAGGAAAGAGGGAAATTATTTCCCAGTAAAAGTAGGCCTTAGACAAGGATGTGTGATGTCACCGTGGTTGTTTAATATATTTATAGATGGGGTTGTAAGAGAAGTAAATGCGAGGGTCTTGACAAGAGGCGTGGAGTTAAAAGATAAAGAATCACACATAAAGTGGGAGTTGTCACAGTTGCTCTTTGCTGATGACACTGTGCTCTTGGGAGATTCTGAAGAGAAGTTGCAGAGATTGGTGGATGAATTTGGTAGGGTGTGCAAAAGAAGAAAATTAGAAGTGAATACAGGAAAGAGTAAGGTTATGAGGATAACAAAAATATTAGGTGATGAAAGATTGGATATCAGATTGGAGGGAGAGAGTATGGAGGAGGTGAATGTATTCAGATATTTGGGAGTGGACGTGTCAGCGGATGGGTCTAAGAAGGATGAGGTGAATCATAGAATTGATGAGGGGAAAAAGGTGAGTGGTGCACTTAGGAGTCTGTGGAGACAAAGAACTTTATCCTTGGAGGCAAAGAGGGGAATGTATGAGAGTATAGTTTTACCAACACTCTTATATGGGTGTGAAGCATGGGTGATGAATGTTGCAGCGAGGAGAAGGCTGGAGGCAGTGGAGATGTCATGTCTGAGGGCAATGTGTGGTGTGAATATAATGCAGAGAATTCGTAGTTTGGAAGTTAGGAGGAGGTGCGGGATTACCAAAACTGTTGTCCAGAGGGCTGAGGAAGGGTTGTTGAGGTGGTTCGGACATGTAGAGAGAATGGAGCGAAACAGAATGACTTCAAGAGTGTATCAGTCTGTAGTGGAAGGAAGGCGGGGTAGGGGTCGGCCTAGGAAAGGTTGGAGGGAGGGGGTAAAGGAGGTTTTGTGTGCGAGGGGCTTTGACTTCCAGCAGGCGTGCGTGAGCGTGTTTGATAGGAGTGAATGGAGACGAATGGTTTTTAATAGTTGACGTGCTGTTGGAGTGTGAGCAAAGTAACATTTATGAAGGGGTTCAGGGAAACCGGCAGGCCGGACTTGAGTCCTGGAGATGGGAAGAACAGTGGCTGCACTCTGAAGGAGGGGTGTTAATGTTGCAGTTTAAAAACTGTAGTGTAAAGCACCCTTCTGGCAAGACAGTGATGGAGTGAATGATGGTGAAAGTTTTTCTTTTTCGGGCCACCCTGCCTTGGTGGGAATCGGCCAGTGTGATAAAATAAATAAAAAGAAATAATCATTAAAAAAATGCTTATTAATACGGCCTTTGTGCACATGCTAACTGCAGAACATAAAAAATATATATCCCTTATATACCTGCAGGACAGTGTGGTAACTCAGCCTTAGGGATGTTTGTGACCCTCTGGAAGTCATCATGGCAAGCATTACAAAAGTGGGTAGTGCCAAAACAAAAGAAGACTGCTACTGAGCAGCAGTAACGACATTTATATTCTAAGAAGTCTGTTCCATGCTTTGGGCACATCTGTGCCCGAGACACATCAGAGCACGCCCCGCACACCAGTTCTCGAGGATCATACTCGTCGCCAAGGCCAGCTTCAACATCACAGCGAGCTTCACCACCATAGTATGCCTGTTGAGCCAGTTACAAATATAACTTACTCATATCATTGGCTATGATCAAATCTAAAAGTACAGTACTAAAGAACATCATACTTCTAAAATAATCACTATGACAACTGCTAGAAATATTATAAATTCTCTTATGTAAGCAAGAGATGCCAGAAGCAGTGAAGGTACACTTTAAGGCACTTTTATGTTCTTGGTATGAATATTACTGTACATTAACTATACCATTTTAAGAATTTACATTAAAGGTGGTACTGTGAGAAAAAATAACTTGTTGGTCAGTAATGCAGTCTAGTGAAACTGCCAATTGTCTTGCAAGTGCTGAGTTAAAACTAAAAAGTCAGAAAATAGTACCATGACTACTTAAAATTATAAGATAGGAGCTACAGAACATGCAGAAAAGTTTGCAAGCTTACTGCCTTGAACTCCAGCAATGCCAGGGACCCCATCAAAAAGACAACTGTGTTTTGTGTTGGCTAAATCCAGAGTTGAATGAGAAGAACAAGATGCTAGGAATCAAAGGTTTGAATCCCTTTCAATGCACTTTAAGTATGACACTAAGACTAAAGGTAAAATGAATGTGGTGGGAATATGAATGACAACAGCAAAAACAGCATATAATTTAGGGCGCACTACTGTATACAACCATTACCTTCCAATTTTAGCTAGTCTTACTGAATAAATTTATGCATGACAGTCCATACAGAAGTGAGCATTAGGTGTAGATGTATATTGGTTGCATTATAGATGGGTCATCAGTGTCTCACAATAAAAATGAGTAATCACAAAAATAATAATGAACTCCCTTTTAATAAACTGTTTTCACTCAGTTTTACTCCGTGCCATTGTTATTTGTTAATATTTTCTCACTGTATTTGTCCACCTTGTGAGGGGCTAGGACATCTATCAGGCATGTGTGAGGTTGTTAGACAGTAGTGAGTGGAGACTAGTGGTTTTTATGACTTGGCGTGTTGGAATGTGAGCGAGGTAACATTTATGAAGGGATTCAGGAAAACTGGTTAGCTAAACTTGAGTCCCTGAAGGTGGGAAGCACAATGCCTGCACTCTGAAGGAGGAATGGGAATATTTGCAGTTTGGAGGTGCATCTGAAATAAAGTACTGGTACACCTCTGCCAAGACAGTGATGGAGTGATGTAAAAAGGTTTTTTCTGTTTTGGGTCATCCTACCTTGGTGGGAGATGACTGATGTGTTAAAAAAAAAAAAAAACTGCTCACCTTGATCTCCCTCTATTCCTCCTACCCTCAAACTTTTATAACTCTATAGAAATTTATACATAAAGATAAGGTGAAGATAAATTACCTTGTTACATTTGAAACACACATAATAAGCATAACGATCCATAGCATAAGCTGCAGGGTTGTTGTAGTAGCGAGCACCTGGTGTAGATATTGCTTCTGCTCGATGGAGACCCTCATATTCGAGCCTCATCAAAGCCTTGCGGCGAACATCTTCGTACAGAGCTGAAATTGGGCCCAACAGTTCTGCAAGGACTCCATGAGTCACACGTACCTGAAAATTACAAAACTTATTGAAATGGTTTGCAACAGAGCTTTTTCAATCATAAGGTATCTTTTTTTTTCTTCCAATAAAAAATGTCAGTGTTGTATAGCATTATTTTACTGATTATACACTGAACCTTCGCTTGATACTCCATTAACCCGTAAACAGTCCAAACGTATATATACGTTCTTACCGCTAGTGTCCCAAATGTATATAAACGTTTTATTTTTCCTGCCTTTAAATATGGCACGATTGGCCTGAGATGCCTTGTCAGCACAGAATGGGTCATAACACTCAGTGTGTACTGTGTTAAAAAAATCTAGGACCACTTAGTACCTTGTGGGAGCACCAGTTCAAATGAATGCCAGCTAGAGCAAACAGCATGGCAAACAACTGGGAGTCACTGATTTCATGTAGTATTAACTCTCCCATTTTAAGAAGAAAGTGATGTTGACCCCGAGTTTAGTGACTTTGAGGTGGATGTGCCCATAAGTGGTTGAGGAAATATAAAAAAAACCTTGATAATAACCCACGTGCAACATCCTTTCAGAATGTCTTATAACCTATGCCCTAAGTAAAGAGAAACAATTCTAGAATGTAATACTTGTTCAGCAGGCTGGCTGGCTGGCTGGCCAGTCACCTGTCTGGCCAGCTGCTGGCGGCCTGGCTCCGTTTGTTTGTCTGTGTCTATGTCTATCTCTGTCTCTATCTCTGTCTGTGTCTATCTTTGTCACTATCTGTCTCTGTCTATCTCTTTCTATCTGTCTCTATCTATCTCTGTTTCACAGGTACACATAAATACAAGTATAGTGTAAATTACCTAGGATACCCCAAAAAATCCAGACAAAGGTCTATACTCTGCTTGAAGATATGAGTAAAGGTGATGATGCAGTCTTGTGGCTCTGAGACAGAGAGCTAGACAGAAATACAGGGAGCTTGACAGACAGACAAATAGACAAACATGTTTGTGTACCAGCAAAAACAAAGTGAGGGCCGATGCTCATCAAATGTCACCTCTAATCTTATCTTATCAAGTCTTATCACCGTACCCTCGCGTATGCTCATCAAATGTCACCTCTTATCTAATGTTATCTCAACACGTCACTGTCAGGGGTGGACTGAGGCTTGTTTTCACGCTTCAAGGGAACTTATTATTATGTATTAATATTATTACATGTATTATTACGCTCTTCTTCTTATTATTATTACTTTTTTTTTTTAACAAACCGGCTGTATCCCACAAAGGCAGGGTGGCCCAGAAAGAAAAAGTAAAGCTTCTCTTTTTAAATTTAGTAATTTATAGAAGAGAAGGGGTTACTAGCCCCTTGCCCCCAGCATATTATTATTATTCTTTCTTCTTTCAACAAACCGGCCGTATCCCACCAAGGCAGGGTGGCCCAAAAAGAAAAACATAAGTTTCTCTTTTTAAATTCAGTAATTTATACAGGAGAAGGGGTTACTAGCCCCTTGCTCCCGGCATTTTAGTCACCTCTTACAACACGCATGGCTTACAGAGAAAGAATTCTGTTCCACTTCCCCATGGAGATAAGAGGAAATGAACAAGAACTAGAAAGAAAATAGCAGAAAATCCAGAGGGGTGTGTATATATATATATATGCTTGTACACGGATGTGTAGTGTGACCTAAGTGTAAGTAGAAGTAGCAAGACATACCTGTAATCTTGCATATTTATGAGAGACAAAAGACACCAGCAATCCTACCATCATGTAAAACAATTACAGGCTTTCGTTTCACACTCACTTGGCAGGATGGTAGTACCCCCCTGGGTGGTTGCTGTCTACCAACCTACTACCTAGGATTATTATTATTATTATTATATACTTCCAGATATCCAAAACACTGCTGGGACCTATAAATAGTTTGTATATATTCCAAGGCAATAGTAAATGGCTAAGGCAGGTGTAATGTCCACCTGTCAGAGTGTTTGTGACAATTTGAGTACAATTTCAGTGCCTAATACTAGTGTCAGAACAAAGATTGGTTATGAAATGACAAGAACTACTATAAATTGTAATTATCAGAACATAAAAATTATATAAAATAATACGAAAAATAGTAAGAAAGGTATATCGGCAACACTTCTGCAAGCGGCAGGACTCGATGTTGCTGTCACGTGAGCATCCAGTGCCAACTTCTCGGCCTAATATCTCTGTAAGTATTGACAATATTTTTTTTTATCCTTAACACTTAGAAAAATGTGCTCTTCATTTTTATTTAATAAAAAAAAAAAAAAAAAAAAAAAAAAAAAAAAAAAAAAAAAACTTATTTTTCAAAATATTTGGGGCACTGGGTTACTGAACGTATATATACGTTTGGACCGTTTATGGGTTAAACTTGAGAGGGAAGGGGGAAGAAAGAAATGCACAAAACCCTGCTTTTATATTTCAAATTATACCAGTGTAAGTTTTATGATAGGTTAATAATAAGTTTTTTTCGTTCAAAAAAAGTTATAAAAAAAAACCATTAAAACTGCCTTGTAATGTTTTAGAACACTAATGTTTTTGTAACAGTACATTTCAGATTATGATTGCTTGGTACATACTGTACAGTAGAAGTATTTTCAGTGAATCTAAATAATTCATAAAATAACCTACCTTGCAAATGGGACACAAAGAAAATGTGAAAGTTATGCGAGGCCCAGGCCAACGTCTTGTCAACACTGTGCGGCAACAATGAGCATGGAATACATGACCACACTCTAACTGTAATAGAAAACAAAATGTATAGGAGAACAGATCCCTAAAGTATGTATACAAAAAAAAAAAGTTATTAAGCATGCAAAGAAAAAGGATGCAAAACACTTATATTAATGGTTTCATAAATATAAACAGTTAAAAAAAAATTTAAATTCACCTATAATGGTGCTTATTATATCCATGAGAAGAGCTAAACCCATAAAGGCAATTAGAGACTGTGGCAAAGTTGACAAAAAATTGTAGGGGATGAAAATGTGGTACTGAATGAGGAACACTGGCAGAGAGAGATTGGGGAGTGGGGTACAAGTTGATGTAGGAAATTGGTGTCAGTTTAAAATCATAATAAAGTAGATTGTTGATTAAGATGCAGTCTTTCAGAATGCTTTTGCTATATGACTGTTGAAGAATTGCAGCAGTTTTTCCATCATGACACTGATATTTAATTATGACAAGTGTAAAGGAGGTTTTCATGGGCGAGGGGCTTGGACTTTCAGCAAGCGTGTGTGAGCGTGATAGATAGGAATGAATGGAGGCACATGGTTTTTGGGACCTGATGAGCTGTTGGAGTGTGAGGAGGGCAATATTTTGTGAAGGGATTCAGGGAAACCGGTTAGCCGGACTTGAGTCCTGGAAATGGGAAGTACAATGCCTGTACTTTAAAGGAGGGGTTTGGGATATTGGCAGTTTGGAGGGACATCTACACTGTTGTATCTGAGTGCCTCTGCAAAGATAATGATTATGAGTAATGGTGAAAGTCCTGAATGATGATGAAAAATTTTCTCTCTCTTTGTGGGTTTTTTCTTTCTTTTAGGGTCATCTTGCTTCGATGGGAAATGGGAGACGTGTTAAAAAGAGAAGTAATTATAGGGGAAAAAACAGCTAGAAGCTCACACAAGAAGGTTAGTGACTGATAATTTCACTGTACGTACAATTGCTGTGCCATTAACAGCCATTCACTTACCCTAGCTGCATTTATACTAATGATGAATAAGTTAGTGATTGATATTAAAGTGAGGAAAGTGCAGTAAGTAAACGAAAAAATAAAGGGATAATCTTGCTATACACTGTACATATATAAATTATCAACATGGAAGCCTCAAGAAAACCAACATATATAACTGAATTAGTTGTTTGCTGTACACCAATCAATACATGCAGTGTTTTCATACCTCTGCATCATCAGGGCTAAAATGTGAGGATACTGGGGATAATATTTAGTATATACAAGACTGAGGAGGTTTTGTGGGTGAGGGGCTGAGGGGCTTGGACTTCCAGCAAGGGTGTGTGAGCGTGTTAGATAGGAGTGAATGGAGACGAATGGTATTTAGGACCTGACGAGCTGTTGGAGTGTGAGCAGGGTAATATTTAGTGAAGGGATTCAGGGAAACCGGTTATTTATATATAGCTGGACTTGAGTCCTGGAAATGGGAAGTACAATGCCTGCACTTTAAAGGAGGGGTTTGGGATATTGTCAGTTTGGAGAGAGATGTTGTGTATCTTTATATGTATATGCTTCTAAACTGTTGTATTCTGTGCACCTCTGCAAAAACAGTGATTGTGTGTGGTGAGGTGAAAGTGTTGAATGATGATGAAAGTATTTTCTTTTTGTGGATTTTCTTTCTTTTTGGGTCACCCTGCTTTGGTGGGAGACGGCCGGTTTGTTAAAAAGAAAAAAAAAAAAGGACTGATATATCCTTTGCTTTCTTCTGCTTGCATAATCCAGGTTATAATGAAAGGAAACTAAATATAATTTAAATACAGTACCTTGTATCTGCTGTATACTATATATGAATTCAATTGTTAAAATTTTTTTGTGAAAATAAATGACATGAATACTTGGGGTTTACAGTAACTGTCCCTGTCTATGAGAGCAACTCCCACCAGTGTTCATATATCCTCTGGTTCTCTTTCTTTGTATAATCAAGGTTGAAAAAAAAAAAAGGAACCTGGATGTAGGATGGAGGGAGGGGGTAAAAGAGGTTTTGTGTTTAAGGGGCTTGGACATGCAGCAGGCACGTGTGAGCATGTTTGACAGGAGTGAATGGAGACAAACAGTTATTGGGACCTGACAAGCTGTTGGAGTGTGAGGAGGGTAATATTTTGTGAAGAGATTCAGGGAAACCGGTTAGCCGGACTTGAGTCCTGGAAGTGGGAAGTACAATGCCTGCACTTTAAAGGAGGGGTCTGGGATATTGGCTGTTTGGAATGACATCTAAACTGTTGTATCTGAACGCCTCTGCAAAGACAATGATTATGTGTCAACGGTGAGTGAGTGTTTCTTTCTTTCTTTTTTGGGTCACCCTGCCTCGGTGGGAGATAGCCGATGTGCTAAAAAAAAAAAAATGTAACCTTATTTTTCCCATATGTTCTACACTTCATCTTAGACTATTTCTGATTAGGCACCATTTTCCTTACCAATGGGTTACTATGCCAACTTAGCTCATTACCAGTGGCACACAATTGCTAGTCAAAATTTTCACTAAGCAACCTCTGGCACTCTGCTGAAAACTGCAGATCTCAGTTTGTTATTTGATAAAAGTACTTCCATCAAATGCAACATACTGCTCTGGGTTCATTGACTTAGGGCAATGCAGAAAACCATCATCCAATGACTCCCATTCCCCAGAATTGGCTACCCAATAGGAGTCAAATACGGTGGTGATGTAAGTAAAGCATTTGATCAGAAAAAAGGGAAGCACGCAAAAAAAAAAAAAGAATATGGGAACCCATGCCCTTCAGCATCCAGACTGTGCAATATTTTAAGTGCAACACTGCAGAGGTGTTGTTGAGGAAAGGACATTAGCAGGGAGGAGGGGGTAGAAGAGTGTCACTGGCTTAGCTACACTGATTACAACAAATCTGTGGGGAGCACATTTGCTGTTCAATCCTCTCTTAATATAGAGCTCCCAATACCATACAGGTTTCATGGATATAGCATCAAATTAACTCCTGAAAAATTTGTGGGTAAGTCAGTAAAGTAACTCAATATAGCCATGAACTTAGGAATGCAGGGGCATCAGTTCGATCCCCAATACTAGTTACATAACTAATTACTTTCATGATATGGTAAAATCCTCATTGCATGGACAGGAGTAATGAACATTTGGTATGATATTGTATCTATGAAGCCTGTATAGCTGGGAGCTCTATATGAAAAGTAAGTTGAACAAAAGTGGGGGCATACAGTTCTTTTAAAAGCTTTGTTGCTAAATGAAAATAGCCATGTACCTGCAAAATACAGAACTGCTAGTTCCATCCTGTGATTTAATACTTATTCTTTCAAGTCATACCTGCACTTAGCAACACATTTTATTTAAAAACTTGATCCTCTTTCTGTTCGTTTTTTTTTTTAGAGCTGATATTTTTGGGGTTTGGCACACAATCCCTAAATTCAAAACTAACATTTAGTATATTGCTCAATATGTTATCAATCTATTTTCCAATCAGAAATATTTTTTATGGACAGTCTTTGTTATGAATGTCATTATTAACCAGATTACGGGGAAATTTAGAGAGTTATAGCTTCTGAAAGACAACATTAGCTAAAATTCTGAAAGAAAATCTGCTTTATTAACAAAAATTAATAGTCTTCATTAATACTGAATTCCTGAGGATCTCAAGGAACCTAACCCTCACAAATTTGGTAGTCTGACTGTGTTTAGAAATGATACTACAGTGTGATATACAGTGGACCCCCGCATAGCGACCTTAATCCGTGCAAGAGGGCTGGTTGTTATGCGAAATGTTCGGTATGCGAATGAATTTTCCCCATAAGAAATAATGGAAATCAAATTAATCCGTGCAAGACACCCAAAAGTATGAAAAAAAAATTTTTACCACATGAAATATACATTTTCCCACACACAAAGAGAAGGATACATGCACAATAGTAGAGTAGTACATGCACAGTATATATTGTGCATGTACTACTCTACTAAATGAAGAATAAATGACACTTACCTTTATTGAAGATGCAGCAATGACTGATGAGAAACTGTGTCCTGGGAGTGCCTTTTCCTCCTGAGTACTGTAGGTCCTGTTTGGCATTTTCTTCCAGAACAGGCCTTATCACACTGTGTATGCCACTACAATTCTTAAATCTCTCAAACCAACCTTTGCTGGCTTTAAATTCACCAATATGAGCACTAGTTCCAGGCATTTTTCCCTGTTCACCTGGGTGTTAGTCGACTGGTGTGGGTTGCATCCTGGGAGACAAGATTAAGGACCCCAATGGAAATAAGTTAGACAGTCTTCGATGACACTGACTTTTTTGGGTTATCCTGGGTGGCAAATCCTCTGGGGTTAATTGTTTCTTGGTATTCTCAATAAGCCACACCAACAACGGTGCTACAGCAGCAGCAGCAGCTGATGGTGGTACAGCAGCAACAGACGATGCTACAGCAGCAACAGACGATGCTACAGCAGCAGCAGACGATGCTACAGCAGCAACAGACGATGCTACAGCAGCAGCAGACGATGCTACAGCAGCAACAGACGATGCTACAGCAGCAGCAGACGATGCTACAGCAGCAGCAGATGATGCTACAGCAGCAGCAGACGATGCTACAGCAGCAGCAGATGATGCTACAGCAGCAGCAGACGATGCTACAGCAGCAACAGATGATGCTACAGCAGCAGCAGACGATGCTACAGCAGCAGCAGACGATGCTACAGCAGCAGCAGACGATGCTACAGCAGCAGCAGACGGTACTACAGCAGCAGCAGCAGCTGATGGTGGTACAACAGCAGCAGCAGCTGACAGTGCAGCAGCAGCTGACGGTGGTACAGCAGCAGCAGCAGCTGTACCACCAATAGTAGCGATGGTTGATTGGGGTTTATTGTACAACCTGGCCAGCTCGGAGGCACGCACTCCACTTTCATACTTATCAATGATCTTTTTCTTCATCTCTATAGTAATTCTCACCCTTATTGCTGTAGGGTTGGCACTAGAAGCTTTCTTGGGGCCCATGGTCACTTATTTTCCAGAAAAAATCACCAAAAACACTAATAATATGAAATGTTCCGATTGTATGCTTGGATGTTACCGCGGAGGCTGGCTGGTAAACAATGCCACCGGCGGAACATGTGAGCGTGGCTCAGGCCGCACATTGGACGCGTCTCGGACGAAGGGCGGTGAGCGGGTTTTTGGGGGGTATGCGAGGCAAAATTTTTGCGATCAAAGCGTCCGGTATGCGGGGGTCCACTGTATATCACTAGTACATAAGAGGTGTATGTGGAGGCAAATTACCATCTAGCTGTACCAGTATCTGAAAGTACTTTGGATAACTCCTTACCAAAGGTTTATTTCCTATGTTCTACCAGAGCCCATTGGTGAATAAAATGAACTAGTGATTTTGTACAAGTCTGGTATACTTGTATATAATTATGAACTATTCAATAGTGGATAAGCAAAATTTCTTGCGAATTCAAAAACTATTTGTACACACAAAAATTCTTACTTAAATATACAAGTTCTCAAGTGTAAACCTATTTGCATTATTTACCTGAATGGCAGGAGCAGCAGAGAGTGCCTCGGAGAAGCATATCATACACATATCATCAGCATCCTGTTTCAGAGAAGGAGTATTCGAACAACCATGTAAGCACGGCAAACATGAAGACTCGCCTTTTAGGCCTCCACACAGGTGGCCGCAATCATGGGTGCGAACACAAGCTTCACGATTATATTCCTGAAAGGATTAGATGTAAAATTAATCCTCTTTTCTTTTATTAAAGTAGAATTTGTTTGGTGCAAAAGGTACACACTGATGTTGACAGGGACATGTGGTTAAGTGTAGGCATCTTTTCACTGTGATTGTGATGGTGCCAGAGACAATAAGCTGTGCAGCAGTATTAAATTTATATGCTCTACTAGCTTGGCTTAAGGAAAGAAGTAAAAGTTAAAGGTTAAATAGATGCAATAATTTATATACAATGTAATGCAGGGCCATTTTCACTTACAGTCGCTGATTATGGCCTAAATTTAGTTCAAGTTTCAGAAGTTTGGCTTAATACATTACTGAGAAAATAACTTTGTTATTTAAAGGATCAGTGGGTGTTCAAGTTTACTGCACCTTGCAAGTCATCTCCAGGATAGTGTGCTGGAGATGCCCAGACGCTAAGATAACAGGGATATCTTGCTACTCCTACTTACACTTTGGTCACACTTCACAGACACGCACATGCATATATATATATACATACATCTAGGTTTTTCTCCTTTTTCTAAATAGCTCTTGTTCTTTTTTATTTCTTCTATTGTCCATGGGGAAGTGGAAAAGAATCTTTCCTCCGTAAGCCATGCGTGTCGTATGAGGCGACTAAAATGCCGGGAGCAATGGGCTAGTAACCCCTTCTCCTGTATACAATTACTAAAAAAAGAAAAAAGAAAAACTTATAAAACTGGGTTGCTTAAATGTGCGTGGATGTAGTGCGGATGACAAGAAACAGATGATTGCTGATGTTATGAATGAAAAGAAGTTGGATGTCCCGGCCCTAAGCGAAACAAAGCTGAAGGGGGTAGGAGAGTTTCAGTGGGGGAAATAAATGGGATTAAATCTGGAGTATCTGAGAGAGTTAGAGCAAAGGAAGGGGTAGCAGTAATGTTAAATGATCAGTTATGGAAGGAGAAAAGAGAATATGAATGTGTAAATTCAAGAATTATGTGGATTAAAGTAAAGGTTGGATGCGAGAAGTGGGTCATAATAAGCGTGTATGCACCTGGAGAAGAGAGGAATGCAGAGGAGAGAGAGAGATTTTGGGAGATGTTAAGTGAATGTATAGGAGCCTTTGAACCAAGTGAGAGAGTAATTGTGGTAGGGGACTTGAATGCTAAAGTAGGAGAAACTTTTAGAGAGGGTTGGTAGGTAAGTTTGGGGTGCCAGGTGTAAATGATAATGGGAGCCCTTTGATTGAACTTTGTATAGAAAGGGGTTTAGTTATAGGTAATACATATTTTAAGAAAAAGAGGATAAATAAGTATACACGATATGATGTAGGGCGAAATGACAGTAGTTTGTTGGATTATGTATTGGTAGATAAAAGACTGTTGAGTAGACTTCAGGATGTACATGTTTATAGAGGGGCCACAGATATATCAGATCACTTTCTAGTTGTAGCTACACTGAGAGTAAAAGGTAGATGGGATACAAGGAGAATAGAAGCATCAGGGAAGAGAGAGGTGAAGGTTTATAAACTAAAAGAGGAGGCAGTTAGGGTAAGATATAAACAGCTATTGGAGGATAGATGGGCTAATGAGAGCATAGGCAATGGGGTCGAAGAGGTATGGGTAGGTTTAAAAATGTAGTGTTAGAGTGTTCAGCAGAAGTTTGTGGTTACAGGAAAGTGGGTGCAGGAGGGAAGAGGAGCGATTGGTGGAATGATGATGTAAAGAGAGTAGGGAAGGGAGAAAAAGTTAGCATATGAGAAGTTTTTACAAAGTAGAAGTGATGCAAGGAGGGAAGAGTATATGGAGAAAAAGAGAGAAGTTAAGAGAGTGGTGAAGCAATGTAAAAAGAGAGCAAATGAGAGAGTGGGTGAGATGTTATCAACAAATTTTGTTGAAAATAAGAAAAAGTTTTGGAGTGAGATTAACAAGTTAAGAAAGCCTAGAGAACAAATGGATTTGTCAGTTAAAAAATAGGAGAGGAGAGTTTTTAAAATGGAGAGTTAGAGGTATTGGGAAGATGGAAGGAATATTTTGAGGAATTGTTAAATGTTGATGAAGATAGGGAAGCTGTGATTTCGTGTATAGGGCAAGGAGGAATAACATCTTGTGGGAGTGAGGAAGAGCCAGTTGTGAGTGGGGGGGAAGTTCGTGAGGCAGTAGGTAAAATGAAAGGGGGTAAGGCAGCCGGGATTGATGGGATAAAGATAGAAATGTTAAAAGCAGGTGGGGATATAGTTTTGGAGTGGTTGGTGCAATTATTTAATAAATGTATGGAAGAAGGTAAGGTACCTAGGGATTGGCAGAGAGCATGCATAGTTCCTTTGTTAAAGGCAAAGGGGATAAAAGAGAGTGCAAAAATTATAGGGGGATAAGTCTGTTGAGTGTACCTGGTAAAGTGTATGGTAGAGTTATAATTGAAAGAATTAAGAGTAAGACGGAGAATAGGATAGCAGATGAACAAGGAGGCTTTAGGAAAGGTAGGGGGTGTGTGGACCAGGTGTTTACAGTGAAACATATAAGTGAACAGTATTTAGATAAGGCTAAAGAGGTCTTTGTGGCATTTATGGATTTGGAAAAGGCGTATGACAGGGTGGATAGGGGGGCAATGTGGCAGATGTTGCAAGTGTATGGTGTAGGAGGTAGGTTACTGAAAGCAGTGAAGAGTTTTTACGAGGATAGTGAGGCTCAAGTTAGAGTATGTAGGAAAGAGGGAAATTTTTTCCCGGTAAAAGTAGGCCTTAGACAAGGATGTGTGATGTCACCGTGGTTGTTTAATATATTTATAGATGGGGTTGTAAGAAGTAAATGCGAGGGTCTTGGCAAGAGGCGTGGAGTTAAAAGATAAAGAATCACACACAAAGTGGGAGTTGTCACAGCTGCTCTTTGCTGATGACACTGTGCTCTTGGGAGATTTGAAGAGAAGTTGCAGAGATTGGTGGATGAATTTGGTAGGGTGTGCAAAAGAAGAAAATTAAAGGTGAATACAGGAAAGAGTAAGGTTATGAGGATAACAAAAAAGATTAGGTGATGAAAGATTGGAATATCAGATTGGAGGGAGAGAGTATGGAGGAGGTGAACGTATTCAGATATTTGGGAGTGGACGTGTCAGCAGATGGGTCTATGAAAGATGAGGTGAATCATAGAATTGATGAGGGAAAAAGAGTGAGTGGTGCACTTAGGAGTCTGTGGAGACAAAGAACTTTGTCCTTGGAGGCAAAGAGGGGAATGTATGAGAGTATAGTTTTACCAACGCTCTTATATGGGTGTGAAGCGTGGGTGATGAATGTTGCAGCGAGGAGAAGGCTGGAGGCAGTGGAGATGTCATGTCTGAGGGCAATGTGTGGTGTGAATATAATGCAGAGAATTCGTAGTTTGGAAGTTAGGAGGAGGTGCGGGATTACCAAAACTGTTGTCCAGAGGGCTGAGGAAGGGTTGTTTGAGGTGGTTCGGACATGTAGAGAGAATGGAGCGAAACAGAATGACTTCAAGAGTGTATCAGTCTGTAGTGGAAGGAAGGCGGGGGTAGGGGTCGGCCTAGGAAGGGTTGGAGGGAGGGGTTAAAGGAGGTTTTGTGTGCGAGGGGCTTGGACTTCAGCAGGCATGCGTGAGCGTGTTTGATAGGAGTGAATGGAGACAAATGGTTTTTAATACTTGACGTGCTGTTGGAGTGTGAGCAAAGTAACATTTATGAAGGGATTCAGGGAAACCGGCAGGCCGGACTTGAGTCCTGGAGATGGGAAGTACAGTGCCTGCACTCTGAAGGAGGGGTGTTAATGTTGCAGTTTAAAAACTGTAGTGTAAAGCACCCTTCTGGCAAGACAGTGATGGAGTGAATGATGGTGAAAGTTTTTCTTTTTCGGGCCACCCTGCCTTGGTGGGAATCGGCCGGTGTGATAATAAAAAAAAAAAAACTGTATTATCTGTGTGTGTCGTAAGAGGCGACTGAAATGAAGGAAGCAAGGGGCTAGTAGCCACTTCTCCTGAATACATTACTAAATTTAAAGAAATTTTCTTTTTTCTTTTTAGGTCACCCTGCCTCGGGGGGTTACAGCTTGGTCATTGAAAAAATAAAAAACTGTATTATCTATCTCAATTATTACTTTTTTATCAAACAAATGGAACAACTAGATGTAAAGTCTTCAAAAGATATAGTAAATGCACACATAATGGAAAGTGATTAAATACCTTACAAGTAAATGAATTCTGTACTTTATATGTAAAAGTAACAAACACATGAACAAACCCACCGAGACCAATATATTTAGCCCTCTTGCTTACAACATGCGTCCATCTTCTGGGAGTGCCTCTTCACCCCATGAAAGTGGGAAAATAGCTTTAACAAAAGGTAATGATGATGATAATAATCTCTAGCTTTTACTTTATTTAGCAGTGAAGAGTAAGTGCATAGTAGTTATATACTATCCAATGACCATTACAGAGTCTTGTATTTATAGTTGGTCTCCTGCCTTTCTAGGCCACAGCTGATACTAATTATACCTATTGCTCTGATTTTGTTGGAAAATGATAATGACACATTCTTAATTTTCTATTATCCAATAGTGCATCCAACAGCACAACAATGAAACAATTAAATTTAGTGATTCTGTACTGCTACAATCAAACATTACTGGAAACACCATCCTTAGTCAAGTGTTACATGATCTATAATTTAAAATATCATGTCTACAGTATGTAAATAGCAGCTAACCTGGCAGTCTTGATCTTGACAAACTGGTGCTGGTGAAAGTAGAGAAGGTTGAGCCGGAGCACCACAAAAACGGCATGCTGACGTAGCCACAGCTCCCCGTGATTGTTGATTCTCTCCACGAAGCTCTAGCATGGCTTTTAATGTGGTAGAATCTGCCAGAGCCAGCAGCCAGAATAACTTTGTTCGACCACATCCCTCATGAAGGTCAACCTTTCAGTCAGGAAATTTTTTTATTTGCAAAATACTTTTAGGAGTAATTATTTTTTTTTACAGTGTATTTTTAGGATAAATGCATGCACTATTGTAGACAGAAATACCATACTTAAAAATCAAATAAATTTATTACAGTACTATATTAACATGTTTAACCCTTAAACTGTTCAAATGTAGATAAATGTTTTCACGTGTAGAGCTCCAACCTTGATTTTCCCCATAAGAAAGCATGTAAAAAAACGTAGATCTACGACTGGAGCACTAGCGGTGCAAATGTAGATCTACATTTGGACAGTTTAAGGGTTAAAGAAGTATTAGAAATAGCATTTACAGAATACAGGACTGGTAATTAGAATGTTTACATTATTAACTATCATACAAATTATATATCACACTATATACAATATTAGATAAATTAAATAGCCTTAGAAATGAATTGATGAATTATTTAATTCAACAGCATTAAATATACGTACTTGTGGCATTAATGTCTTAAATGCTGAAAGTAAGCAGGGTTTGGTTATCAGCACTCATGCTACTCAAATTCATGACATTTTAGCACATTCCTAGTCAACATTAGTTCACATACCTTAATAGCTTCCTGTTCCTGTCTGAAGACTGTACGATGGTGAAGCCTAGTACGACGATGTAGATGAAGAATGCGGTCACATTCGCCACACAGATTGCTCCCACATTCTTCACAAAGGATCATTGCTGGGGTTTCTCCATCATCATGATTTTCACATGTTGGCTAATTGTTAACAGAGAGGGAAATGAAAGTCAAACTTCAGAAAATGAACTATAGGGAAAGGTAGGAGACGCTCGAACATCCAACAGGTATGTGTGAACGTGTTATATCAAAATGGAGACAAGTGACTTTTAGGGTTTGCAATGAGGGATTTAGGGAAAGAAGTTAGCTGGACTTGAGTCTTGAAAGTGGGAGGTACAGTGCTTACACTCTGGAGGGGTTGAGATGTTGGAGTTCGAAGGGTGATTTGAACTGTGATGTCTGTATACTTTTGGCAAGACAGCTGTTGACTGAATGATGGATAATATTTTTTTTGGGTCACCCTACCTTAGTGGGAGACAGCAGGTTTGGTAAAAAGAGAAAACATTACTTGATGGAAATCCACTAAAGTTGAACAATTTCTTCAGGAAAAAAAAAATCATCTGAGTAAAATATGAGTGGAATACTAAACAAAAACAAACTAAATTAGAGTTCATGCAACTTACCCTAGGCTCAGGATTATGAGGGTCACCAGAAGTGGTAGTTGCTTGCCAGTGTTGTGAAGACAAAGCATCAACATGATCAGGGTGAAGAACACACAGTGAAGCTAGAGCTAACCATAGGGTTGGTGTTGCCAGACAAGTAGCTGCACATGATCGGTCACCTTCATTTAACCGAGTCAGATTGATGATGTTTTCTGCTATTGCTGCTTTACTTACTTTAGCCCATGCATCTGAGAGTTTACCCTGTTGAATTTGAACTGTGTAAAAAATCTGCATCAAAATGATAAAACTTTCTCAGGAATAAAAAAAACTCACAATATTATCTTTAAGAACTATCAGAATAAAGAAATACAGGCAAATTAAGCACACATATGACATGATTTCCATTTTACTCAATAAAGCTTTATTTATTTCTTTTTGATATAACATTTCAAAACTGTTGTCCAGAGGGCTGAGGAAGGGTTGTTGAGGTGGTTCGGACATGTAGAGAGAATGGAGCGAAACAGAATGACTTCAAGAGTGTATCAGTCTGTAGTGGAAGGAAGGTGGGGTAGGGGTTGGCCTAGGAAAGGTTGGAGGGAGGGAGTAAAGGAGGTTTTGTGTGCGAGGGGCTTGGACTTCCAGCGGGCATGCGTGAGCGTGTTTGATAGGAGTGAATGGAGACAAATGGTTTTTAATACTTGACGTGCTGTTGGAGTGTGAGCTAAGTAACATTTATGAAGGGATTCAGGGAAACCGGCAGGCCGGACTTGAGTCCTGGAGATGGGAAGTACAGTGCCTGCATTCGGAAGGAGGGGTGTTAATGTTGCAGTTTAAAAACTGTAGTGTAAAGCACCCTTCTGGCAAGACAGTGATGGAGTGAATGATGGTGAAAGTTTTTCTTTTTCGGGCCACCCTGCCTTGGTGGGAATCGGCCAGTGTGTTAATAATAAAAAATAATAAAAAAAAAAAAAATATTTTAGCATCTGTTACTATAGAGAAACTGGACACATGCATGAGAACCTTCTTACTTCACGCTTTTTCTGTGCTACACATCTAATTATGTGACTACCTAACATTTTCTAAATGGTAAAACACTGTGTGAACTCCATACTGTCATTATTCTATAAAAACTTATCATATTGAGTTAAGTTTTCTTATTTTTATTTATTTAAAGGAAGCTTTGAGTTTTAGGGGTTTGAGCATCTAGCAGGATTGTGTGAGCATGTTAGACAGAAGTGAATAGAGATAAGTGGTTTTTGAGGAACATACTGTTGGAGTGTGAGCAGGTTAATTTTCATGAAATGATTCAGTGAAACTAGTTAGCTGGAATAGAGTCCTGGAGGTGAAAGAAAAGTGCCTGCACTCTGGAAGAGGGGTGGGGATATCTTAGTTGGAGGGGAAGCTGAACTATGATGTCAGTACACTTCTGGCAAGACAAAGTGAATGAATGATGGTATGTATGTGTTTTCTTCTTTTGGGTCACTCTGCCTTGACAGAACACTGCCACAGATTTTTTTTTTTTAAATTTGTACATATTATTTCCTGTTCTACTTTAACTGTTACAAACTACTAGCATGGATAAACTTTGTATGAACTTAAAATCTATCATATTAATCCTAAATCCATTATTATTATTATCCATTATTATTTATTTTTGTTTTCTTTCTTTTTGGGTCACCCTGCCTTGGTGGGAAATGGCCGACGTGTTAAAAATAAAAAAATAATGAATTTTAAAAGCACAATGACCAGTGCACTGTTACCTCCACCTAAATTTCATCATATCTATAACTTCATGACATTACTTTCATGGCTTCATGTGCATGGAATTAAAATTATTTACATTATATTATTAAGTCAGTTTCTTTTATTGCTAAATCCAACTTCTCAAGTACTAACCTAAATAACTAATAGCAACAGTTACTATCAAGATACTACACATTATTATTATTATTATAATTTTTACTACTGTAATTATTTTCCAATTTTTTTTTCAACAAGTCGGCCATCTCCGACTGAGGCAGGGTGACCCAAAAAGAAAATACTTTCATCATCATTCAACACTTTCACCTCACTCATACATAATCACTGTTTTTGAAGAGGCACCAAGATACAACAGTTTAGAAGCATATATAAGGATATATAACATCTCTCTCCAAACTGCCAATATCCCAAATACCTCCTTTAACAACTTGACTGTCGCAGCCCCAAATCCTAAGGTGTCTCCTGGTGTCGCAAAATCCCCCCCCCCCACCCAAAAAAAAAAAAAAAAAAAAAAAAAAATTCTATGAAATGACAAGAGAATATTTTCCCAACTGTAATGACACCAAAAGAACGAAATTTGATGGAAAACTGACGGAATTATGCTCTTGCAAAGTTAGCAACCTCGGCGAAGTTTACGAATCAGTGATTTCGCCCACTTTGAGCCCTATTTTTGGCCAATTCCATTGTTCCAGTTGACCAAATTCATAGCTATTTCTTTAGAACTCCATTTTTTTTATCAATTGGGTACAAGAAACTGCCCACTTACCAATTTCAACTAACCAATAACGTGGTCAGAAATTTGCAATTTGGCCAATTTCACGAAAATTAAAAAACATGAAAATTTCAAAATAGGGTCCAGAATGAACAATGCAGACATTCCTGGCTCTACAATAACATTTTCTTTGTTCATCAGTCACGTCTCCAGGCCCCTCTTCCTTTTCTATTTTGAATTTTTATTAAAAAAAAAATAGAAGATTTGCTGTTATGCAGACTACTGCAATATTGTAATATTATTATTTTTTTATTATCACACTGGCCGATTCCCACCAAGACAGGGTGGCCCGAAAAAGAAAAACTTTCACCATCATTCACTCCATCACTGTCTTGCCAGAAGGGTGCTTTACACTACAGTTTTTAAACTGCAACATTAACACCCCTCCTTCAGAGTGCAGGCACTGTACTTCCCATCTCCAGGACTCAAGTCCAGTCTGCCGGTTTCCCTGAACCCCTTCATAAATGTTACTTTGCTCACACTCCAACAGCATGTCAAATATTAAAAAAAAAAAAAAACATTTGTCTCCATTTACTCCTATCAAACATGCTCATGCATGCCTGCTGGAAGTCCAAGCCCCTCGCACACAAAACCTCCTTTACCCCCTCCCTCCAACCTTTCCTAGGCCGACCCCTACCCCCCTTCCTTCCACTACAGACTGATACACTCTTGAAGTCACTCTGTTTCGCTCCATTCTCTCTACATGTCCGAACCACCTCAACAACCCTTCCTCAGCCTTCTGGACAACAGTTTTGGTAATCCTGCACCTCCTCCTAACTTCCAAACTACAAATTCTCTGCATTATATTCACACACACATTGCCCTCAGACATGACATCTCCACTGCCTCCAGCCTTCTCCTCGCTGCAACATTCATCACCCATGCTTCACACCCATATAAGAGCGCTGATAAAACTATACTCTCATACATTCCCCCTCTTTGCCTCCAAGGACAAAGTTCTTTGTCTCCACAGACTCCTAAGTGCAACCACTCACCCTTTTCCCCTCATCAATTCTATGATTCACCTCATCTTTCATAGACCCATCCTCTGACACGTCCACTCCCAAATATCTGAATACATTCACCTCCTCCATACTCTCTCCCTCCAATCTGATATCCAATCTTTCATCACCTAATATTTTTGTTATCCTCATAACCTTACTCTTTCCTGTATTCACTTTTAATTTTCTTCTTTTGCACACCCTACCAAATTCATCCACCAATCTCTGCAACTTCTCTTCAGAATCTCCCAAGAGCACAGTGTCATCAGCAAAGAGCAACTGTGACAACTCCCACTTTATGTGCGATTCTTTATCTTTTAACTCCACGCCTCTTGCCAAGACCCTCGCATTTACTTCTCTTACAACCCCATCTATAAATATATTAAACAACCACGGTGACATCACACATCCTTGTCTAAGGCCTACTTTTACTGGGAAATAATTTCCCTCTTTCCTACATACTCTAACTTGAGCCTCGCTATCCTCGTAAAAACTCTTCACTGTTTTCAGTAACCTACCTCCTACACCATACACCTGCAACATCTGCCACATTGCCTCCCAATCCACCCTGTCATACGCCTTTTCCAAATCCATAAATGCCACAAAGACCTCTTTAGCCTTATCTAAATACTGTTCACTTATATGTTTCACTGTAAACACCTTGTCCACACACCCCCTACCTTTCCTAAAGTCTCCTTGTTCATCTGCTACCCTATTCTCCGTCTTACTCTTAATTCTTTCAATAATAACTCTACCATACACTTTACCAGGTATACTCAACAGACTTATCCCCCTATAATTTTTGCACTCTCTTTTGTCCCCTTTGCCTTTATACAAAGGAACTATGCATGCTCTCTGCTAATCCCTAGGTACCTTACCCTCTTCCATACATTTGTTAAATAATTGCACTAACCACTCCAAAACTATATCCCCACCTGCTTTTAACATTTCTATCTTTATCCCATCAATCCCGGCTGCCTTACCCCCTTTCATTTTACCTACTGCCTCACGAACTTCCCCCACACTCACAACTGGCTCTTCCTCACTCCTACAAGATGTTATTCCTCCTTGCCCTATACACGAAATCACAGCTTCCCTATCTTCATGAACATTTAACAATTCCTCAAAATATTCCCTCCATCTTCCCAATACCTCTAACTCTCCATTTAATAACTCTCCTCTCCTATTTTTAACTGACAAATCCATTTGTTCTCTAGGCTTCCTTAACTTGTTAATCTCACTCCAAAACTTTTTCTTGTTTTCAACAAAATTTGTTGATAACATCTCATCCACTCTCTCATTTGCTCTCTTTTGTAATAATTGTATAAATAATGTCAACCCATTCATGACTGCATATCAGAATGGCTAGTTGGACATTTATTGAAAAAATTACATCATCTGTTTACTTTTGAACATTGGCAAAAATCAAATATTTCTCCTACTTTGAGCTCCATTTCAAGGTTCTTTTCATAGTAAAGCCAATCAAAATCACCTCTGTTTCTATAATATGTTTTCCATTCTATCAAATGAGACCAAGAAAACGAAAATACAACCATAAATACTATACGAAAATGGACCACAAAGTGGGCATTTTAATTAAAAAAGAAAGTCGGAGCTTTTTTTTTTCTCATTATGCACTGTGTGCTGCAGTATTTTTTATATGGTGCACACTGACCACACAGACCCATTCTCTCACATGTGGGCCTACCAGCTTTCTCCTGCTTGATTTGAAGCCGCTAGAATTTATGAGTACAGTGGACCCCTGGTTCATGATGCTATCGGTATCCGATAAATTCGGTAACCGATGCATCATATCGCCAAAAATTTGCCTCGGTTCCCGTTACAAAACCCTGTATGCGATGCAATTCGTACGAGACGAGTCCACATGTGGCCTGAACTACCCCGTGTGTGCCAGTGTTTAAAAGCCAGCCAGTATGCGCGCATCTAAGGATACATTCGGTACATTCCATATTATCCATATTATCACTGTTTTTGGTGCCTGTTTCTGCAAATTAAGTCACCATGGGCCCCAAGAGAGCGTCTAGTGCCAACCCTTTGAGACCAAGGGTGCTAATGACTATTGAAATGAAGAAAGAGATAATTGCAAAGTACGAAAGTGGAGTGAGTGTGTCGGAGCTGGTCAGGTTGTATAGTAAACCCCAACCAACCCCCTCTACTATAGTGAGCAGGAAAATAGCAATCAAGGAAGCTGTTGTCGCAAAAGGTGCAACTGTGATTACGAAACAGCGACCGCAAATGTTAAAAAATGTTGAAAGACTGTTATTGGTGTGGATAAATGAAAAACAGATAGCAGGAGATAGCATCTTTCAAGCAATCATCTGTGAAAAGGCTAGGCAGTTGCATGACGATTTGGTAAAGAAATTGCCTGCAACTAGTGGTGATGTGAGTGAATTTAAGGCCCGCAAAGGTTGGTTTGAAAGATTTAAGAACCGTAGTGGCATACATAGTGTGATTAGGCATGGTGAGGCTGCCAGTTCAGACCACAAACCGGCTGAAAAATATGTGCATGAATTCAAGGAGTACATAGAGGCTGAAGGATTGAAACCTGAACAAGTGTTTAATTGTGACGAAACAGGCCTGTTTTGGAAGAAATTGCCAAGCAGGACCTACATTACTCAGGAGGAAAAGCAACCTCAAGTCCTAATGGAGGGGGATTTCCCTTCTAAACAATAGGTTCAATACTCTCCCCTCCTCCCATCCCATCAATCATCATTAGATCTTCATTAAAGGTAAGTGTCAATTATTCTATTGTTATTGTTATTGTGATTATTCTATTTAATTAAACTTAATATTTCATGTGTTAAAAGTTTTTTTTCATACTTTTGGGTGTCTTGCACGGATTAATTTGATTTCCATTATTTCTTATGGGGAAAATTGATTCGCCTTCCGATAATTTTGGTTTACGATGAGCTCTCAGGAATGGATTAATATTGCGAACCGGGGGTCCACTGTACTATATACACGTCAAAAACGGTGGCTTATAAGACGTATATATATGACCAATACAGTCAAAGGGTTAAAGTGCAGGCATTGTACTTCCCATTTCCAGGACTCAAGTCCGGCTATATAAAAACAATAGGTTTCCCTGAATCCTTTCACTAAATATTACCCTGCTCACACTCCAACAATTCATCAGGTCCCAAAAAAATTCGTCTCCATTCACTCCTATCTAACACGCTCACGCACGCTTGACAGAAGTCCAAGTCCCTTGCCCACAAAACCTCCTTTACCCCCTCCCTCCAACCTCTTCAAGGACGACCCCTACCCGCCTTCCTTCCCCTACAGATTTAAATGCTCTCCATGTCATTCTACTTTGATCTGTTCTCTCTAAATGACCAAACCACCTCAACAACTCATCTTCAGCCCTTTAACTAATACTTTTATTACTCCACACCTTCTCCTAATTCCCACACTCGAAATTTTCTGCATAATATTTACACCACACATTGCCCTTAGACAGGACATCTCCACTGCCTCTAACCACCTCCTCACTGCAGCATTTACAACCCAAGCTTCACATCCATATAAAAGTGCTGGTACCACTATACTTTCATACATTCCCTTTTTTGCCTCCAGAGATAACGTTTTTGTCTTCACATATACCTCAACACACCACTCACTTTTTTTCCTTCATCAATAATATCTGAAAACATTCACTTCTTCCATGCTCCCTCTCTCCAATGTGATATCCAATTTTTTCTTTATCTAAATCATTTGATACTCTCATCGCCTTACTCTTATCTATGTCCACTTTCAACTTTCTACCTTTACACACACTCCCAAACTTGTCCACTAGCCTTTGCAACTTTTCTTTAGAATCTCCCATAAGAACAGTATCATCAGCAATAAAGTAACTGTGTCAACTCCCATTTTGTATTTGATTCCCCATAATTTAATCCCACCCCTCTCCCTAACACCCTAGCATTTATTTCTTTCACAACCCCATCCATAAATATATAAAACAACCATGATGACATTACACATTCCTGTCTAAGACCTACTTTTACCGGGAAGTAGTCTCCCTCTCTTCTACACACCCTAACCTGAGCCTCACTATCCTCATAAAAACTCTTTACAGCATTTAGTAACTTACTACCTATTCCATATACTTACACCATCTGCCACACTGCTCCCCTATCCACTCTATCATTTTTTTTTTCAACAAACTGGCCATATCCCACCAAGGCAGGGTGGCCCAAAAAGAAAAACGAAAGTTTCTCTTTTTAAATTTAGTAATTTATACAAGAGAAGGGGTTACTAGCCCCTTGCCCACGGCATTTTAGTCGCCTCTTACAACATGCACGGCTTATGGAGGAAGAATTCTGTTCCACTTCCCCATGGAAATAAGAGGAAATAAACAAGAACAAGAACTAGAAAGAAAACAGCAGAAAATCCAGAGGGGTGTGTATACATATGCTTGTACACGTATGTGTAGTGTGACCTAAGTGTAAGTAGAGTAGCAAGACGTACCTGAAATCTCGCCAGCAATCCTATCATCATGTAAAACAATTACAGGTTTCCGTTTTACACTCACTTGGCAGGACGGTAGTATGTACCTCCCTGGGCGGTTGCTGTCTACCAACCTACTACCTATACTCTATCATATGCCTTTTCCAACTCCATAAATGTATTGAAAACTTCCCTACCTTTATCTAAATACTGTTCACATATATGCTTCAATATAAACACTTGATCTACACATCCCCTCCCCTCTCTAAAGCCTCCTTGCTCATCCGCAATCCTACTCTCTATCTTACCTCTAATTCTTTCAATAATAACCCTACCGTACACTTTTTCTGGTATACTCATTAAACTTATTCCCCTATAATTTTTACAATTTCTTTTGTCCCCTTCCCTTTATATAAAGGAACTATACTTGCTCTCTGCCAATCCCTAGGTACCTTCCCCTCTTTCATACAATTTTTTTTTTTTCAACAAGTCAGCCATCTCCCACTGAGGCAGGGTGACCCAAAAAAGAAAGAAAATCCCCAAAAAGAAAATACTTTCATCATCATTTAACACTTTCACCTCACTCACACATAATCACTGTTTTTGCAGAGGTGCTCAGAACACAACAGTTTAGAAGCATATACGTATAAAGATACACAACATATCCCTCCAAACTGCTAAGTTTTTCATACATTTATCAAACAAAAATACCAACCACTCCAACACTATATGCCCCCCTGCTTTTAACATTTCTGTCATGATCCCGTCAGTTCCAGCTGCTTTACCCAATTTCATTCTACGTAATGCCTCACGCACCTCCCCCACACTCACATCCAGCTCTTCTTCACTCCTAAAAGATGCTATACCTCCCTGGCCAGTTCATGAAATTACTGCTCCCTTTCTTCATCAACATTTAAAAGTTCCTCAAAATATTCCCGACATCTACCCCAGTACCTCCAGCTCCCCATCTACTAACTCCCTTACTCTGTTTTTAACTGACATATCCATTCGTTCCCTAGGCTTCCTTAACTTTTTTATCTCACTCCAAAATTTTTCCTTATTTTCATCCAAGTATTCTCTCATCACTCTCTTCATGTTTCTTTTACTCTCCATATACTCTGCTCTTCTGATAACACTTCTGCTTTGTAAAAACCTCTCATAAGCTACCTTTTTCTCTTTTATCACTCCCTTTACTTCATCATTCCACCAATCACTCCTCTTTCCTCCTGCACCCACCCTCCTATAGCCACAAACAAACATTCTAATACTGCATTTTTAAAACTAATCCAACCCTCTTGAACCCCCCCCCCCACTACTCATACTTGCACTAGCCCACCTTTCTGCCACGTATTTGAAATATGCCTTTTTTTTTTTTTTTAACAAGTCAGCCATCTCCCAACAAAGCAGGGTGACCCAAAAAGAAAGAAAATCCCCAAAAAGAAAATACTTTCATCACACACAATCATTGTTTTTGGAGAGGTGCTCAGAATACAACAGTTTAAAGCATATATGTATAAAGATACACAACATACCCCTCCAAACTGCCAATATCCCAAACCCCTCCTTTAAAGTGCAGGCACTGTACTTCCCATTTCCAGGACTCAAGTCCAGCTTTATAAAAATAACCGGTTTCCCTGAATCCCTTCGCTAAATATTACCCTGCTCACACTCCAACAGCTCGTCAGGTGCCAAATACCATTCGTCTCCATTCACTCCTATCTAACACCCTCATGCACACTTGCTGGAAGTCCAAGCCCCTCGCCCAGAAAACCTCCTTTATCCCCTCCCTCCAACCTTTACTCATCGAATTGTAATTCATTTATAAAAATCAATACACAACTTGTAGAACTGTTAGTACAAAAAGGTATCTTTGCTGTTTTTGCTATGATATAGTAAATGTTAGATTTAAAATACCATGTGCATTATTATTATTATATTACCATACAATCAAAAGTAGAAAAATGAATTCAACTAGATTTTAAAAATAATTAAAACTCACCATTGTCATATCTCTAATTAAGCTAATAATTAGATCGGCCTGCTTTTGTGTAGCCGAGCCTTGAAGCCACCAGCGAGGGGAACTGGCTGTAGGTGTGGGCATAGTTGTAGCAAGTGTCACTGATGTCACTCCACCTTTGCCTTGGGACATTACTGATTTACTTCCTTCACTACCCTTTGTCTTAAGTTGAACTGTTAGTGCCTTGGCAATCACAGCCAGGAATACATCAAGAATACCCTGTCTGAACATAAAAATGCTATTAGATTTATGTATTCTGTACATATACAGAAAATCTAAAAAATAAAGTACAATACATTGATACATTTCATTTCCAACAAATCCTACAAATATTAACCCCTTCAGGGTCAGAGGCCAAATTTCAAAGTATGCACCAGGGTTCAAGAATTTAAAATAAAAATTTTTTTTTTTTATTTTTTCTTATGAAATGGTAGAGAATCGTTTTCTGAAGGTAATAATACAAAAAGTACGAAATTTGATGGAAAATTGACAAAATTATGCTCTCGTGAATTTTGATGTGTCAGCGATAATTACGCATCGGCGATTTTGCTGACTTTGACTCCCATTTTAGGCCAATTACATTATTCCAGTCAACCAAATTCTTAGCTATTTCACTAGTATTACAGTACTTCTATTCTATCAATTGAGCACAAGAAATCGCCAAGTCAACTGTTTCAACTACGAAATAGAGTGATCGGAAATTGGTAATTTGGCCAATTTAATGCAAAGTTCAAAATATTCCAATTTCAAAATAGGGTCCAGAATAAACAATGCAGGCATTCCTGGCACTAAATTAACATTTCCTCTGTTCATTAGTTACATTTTCAGGCTTTACAAATGAATTCCATTTTGATTTTTTATTCACATTATGAATTTTCATTCAAACCAAGCAATAGAAGATTTACTGTTATGCAATATTGCAATAATTGTATAAATAATATCACCACATTTGTGAACGTATATTAAACCCACCAGCTGGCGTGTATTAGACGTGTGAGGTCATTTGTCTACCCTTGAACATTGGCAAAAATTTAACATTTTCGCTACTTTGAGCTCAGTTTTAAGCCATTTTAAGTACTAAAACCAATCAAAATCATCTCTATTTCTCTAATGTATTTTCCATTCTATCAAATGAGACCAAGAAATTGCAAATAGTATAACTATAAAAAACATACGAAAAAACACTGCAAAGTTGCTGCTTTAATCGAAAATTACGGTCTCAGTTTTTTTCTCTCATTGTGCACTGTGTGCTGCAGGATTTGTTTTATGTGGTGCACACATACCACATAGATGTATTCTCTCATATCTAGGCCCAAATATACCGCTCACAGCTTATCAGAGTGAGCTGAGCTCATGGCGTAGATCTACGGTTTGGACCCTCAACTCAAAGCCGTAGAACTACGGCACGGACCCTGAAAGGGTTAAATTAAATATGTTTTGTATTTCTAATTTGCTATTTACATTTTTTATGAACCTGTGGCTTATATCAACTATAAGCATGATCCCTTGAATAGGAAATAATAATAATAGGTGTAGTGGAAAGTGAAAATAAGAATGAAACCAAATTGTAATACATGCCTTGGTAAAAATGTACTAGTGAAAAATAATTATAGAATGAGTAAGGAAAGACAAAACTGTACACGTTAGAGAAAAGATAAGACGGGTAAACAGGAGAGGTAAATGTGCAGAAGTACAAAATTACAAAATGTAACTATAACTGCAGAGCACCAAGTGTAACTACAGCTCCAAAGCACCAAGTAAAACTATAGCTGCAGAGCACTAAGTGTAACTATAGCTGCAGAGCACCAAGTGTAACTATAGCTGCAGAGCACCAAGTGTAACTATAGCTGCAGAGCACCAAGTGTAACTATAGCTGCAGAGCACCAAGTATAACTATAGCTGCAGAGCACAAAGTGTAACTATAGCTGCAGAGCACAAAGTGTAACTATAGCTGCAGAGCACCAAGTATAACTACAGATAAAAAATTCATAAGTCAGAGAAAAGGTCTTCTTTCTTTATTCGCCCCTATTATATGCCCTCTGCTTACCACGACCATTTCACTGCTCTCATAAATGAAGCTAACTGATGCTCTCCTATACTTATTGCTACTTCAGTGCTTTCATGATAGGCTACCTAATGTCCCACTTGCTTTACTTCAATTTCAGTGCTTGGATGACTAAAGCTAACTGGTTCACTACCTACTGTAGAGCACTCAACTCTCTTAATACTTTCAGCTTACTTATGAATATCAAATGTGCTTTCATCATCCTTTGTAGCAGCATGAAGAATAGCATAATCTTGAGCAGGAAGAACATCAACACCCACAATGAGAGCAAGAGACTGTGGAGGCACATCAGCCAACATACGCCGAAACAAGGCTACAACCTGTTGGAAAACGTTAAAAATATTACTGTGGATTTCCCTTAAAAACATAAGGGTGGGGTACACTATGCCTTTCACTTGAATTAGTCACATTTCTTAACTCGTGCCTTTTACCCTCATCACACTTTTAAATTAAGTTTCTGTTATCTATATCTATCATCACATTTTCATCAGAAATAAAATGAAGAATTCTTATAAAAAAGACCTAACAGTACTCTCAAGTCCTTGAAAATATGTGATGAGATTTTTCCTAAACACTTAACTTCTCAAAGCAGAATTAGTGCATGACATCCCCTAAATGTACATGCAGTATCTCTTGATTACATCATATGAACTTCACACTTACTTGTCTTTGCACACGTGCAGAGCCAGTGTGCAGCAGCGAGAGAAGGTGCCTCAGTAAACGATCCTGTTGGGCTAGATGTGCGCGTCCTACTGCTGAGCCACTGAGAGCCAGGACCATGGACAGCATCTCAAAGCAGTAAGTGTCAGGGGGATTATTTTGCCCTTCTTCAGGTGTAGCCGGAGTGCCTAGTCCTCCACAGCTTAGTCCGGCTTCCCATTCTTCTCGGGCCCTTACAGTTTCTTTGCGTATAGCCTGCACTATATGTGCACAAACCTAAAGGTATATACATATGTTAAGTGGCAGAAGTACTGGGTGATAAATTAATTATCAAAGCATGCATTTTAAAGATAATTAATTATCAGAAAGTATTAAAAAATCAACATGTGATATCAAAATACTCTGGGTCATGTACCGAACTACAAAGATTGTTTGAACGTATAACCCCTAGTCACTGTATGTCTATCATCTGCTTTGTGCCAAACCAAAATAAGTGGGAAAAGACAGTGGCTTTTTTTTATATCCCAATTTCTGCTGATAAGCAAAGAGTGCTACATGTCTAGTGAAGCATACCAAGAGAGGTTTATGACATTGCATCACTTCAAACAAAAGGCACCTCATAAATCAAATTTGACAGGTAAAGAATAACTAGAGGGCTGATATATAACTTCTTTAGGTGAAAAGAGGTTTGTTGAAGGTTATGCTCAGTTAGTGAAAGGAGGTAATAAGTAGAAGAGGAACAGAGCCTGAGGAGATCAATGAAAGGGGAGGGAAGCATCTTCTAGTGAAATAAATCAGCAGACACACAGTCATGCTGATTATGAGGTACCACTCAGCTGTCCATGAAGAGTGGCAGTCCAGCATGGACTGGAGACTTGCCTGAACCTCCAGTTTTGATCCACCACATGAGCAGCATCATTCATATTGAGTATGCATGCCTGGAACACTAGGGAGATCAGATGTGACACCACCAATTGCTCCCCAAAAGTGCTTCTATGGGAAGGTACTCACTATAGCTTCCACATACAAAGGAAGATGCCAGAAGAATACCTGACACTGAAAGATATCCACAACTATACAGAAAGGCTGGAGACAAGAGGAGAAAAAGAATAATTATTATTATTTCCTCCAGATGATTTGAGAGCTACAGTTCACAGAAGGGTGAGGGATGATGTGTTACTTATGGATCAACAGTGGCTAAAGATGAGGGGGGACACCGCCATGGAACCCATTCTTGAAGAGGTGGTAAAGCAAATGTTTTCGGAAGAAGTGGGTAGCTACTTATAAAACATGTTGAAAATGAAGTGAAAGAAACTAAAAGTGTATCTACCTGTGTAAAAGAGGAAAAAAAGGAGGTATAGAAGAAAATATTAGCTGAATGACCAACACAGAAGAATTCATGTACATGCCACCTCTCCCACCCTGAAGGCAAGTTGAAAAGGATGCATCAGCCAGCACCACCACCTTGCATATATCCTTCATCAGTTCCCCACCACCACAAAATACTGATCTGTTCACCAAGAGACACAAGGCCAAGGGTGGAAGAAAGCACCCGAGAGACAAGACTTGCAGGAACTAATGTTGATCAATCTTTTCTAGATACATCACTCTATCCTCCAGGAAGTACCTGAGTGAATATTAAAGTTTGACAGAGGATGCCTGAAGGGCTCATACTTTCTCTCTTAACTAAGCAATCTATCTGTTCCCTTGCTTTCTGGATTTTTTTTTTTTTTACCTATTAGAAGTTTTCTTTTCTCAGAAAAATATGCTGAGAATCTCTCACCTTTTTTCTCATTTGCTATTGTTTTGCAAGGGGTTCCTATTAATAGGCAAAAAATTTGGTCTTGGCTGAAGCGGTATAATGATAATGACAAGTTGTGGAAAGAGATGTATATAAAGATTAAGATATTAATGGGGAAACATTTTTGCCATGAAGAGCAAACCTTTTCCCTAATAAATGTCATAAATGGTATATGTTTTTTTCCTGCAAATTTGTTTTTACCTGTTTTTGAAGATGTGTAAGTTTAGATCTTGAAAACAGAATGCCAACCATATGTTCTCGAAGATCATTGTTGCGTTCCTGTTCCTCTCCAGTTTCTATGTGTCCTGCACATACATCTCCTGCTTCTCCTCCTCTGTTTCCACTTTCTGCAGTTATTATGAGGCGGCCAAATACCTGCAAGAAGTATGAAGGGATGAATATCTCAAGAGAGATTTGAATCCATTTATAACTAGTGCTACTCTTTGTCTATCCCATTTCTCACTTCCATATACACACACACACATACCTGTACTGATTCTGAGGGTTCTTTTATCATTATATCCCAGAGTGAGGCAATACTTCATTGTTGACTGTCTGGTCAATGCTGCTATTTGTGGCTGGCATGCCCATATAGCTTTTGCAGTTTCACTGATCATGCATTTCCATAGGATGGAAAGTGACCCCATCAAAGTATCATAAAAGGAGAATATTTAAAGAATATCATGGACTAGATGCAAAACAGAACTAAACCTAAATAGCCTTACCTGTCCTGTAATAAGCCTGAACACTTTAAGTGTTTCCTGTTCACAGGCACGATGCTGTATAGTTAGAGGAGAATGCTGACGTAGAGGTCGTGAACTCATTCCTCCTTCACCATCACCAGTGCCAAGAGCCCTGACTTGCCTCACTCGAACACTTTGGTCAGGCCCTCGTATTTCAATGACAATGGTGGAAATTAAATCACCTGAAACATATGTAAATAAATGTAATTTTACTAAGATTATGCATGATTATAATAAGGGTTCTAACTCCACTTAAAATGTTAAAAAGTTTTTTTTTTAGAAACTCAACCTTATCTTGTGATTTAAGTACATAATGTAGTTGATAAAGTACTATATGGATGTCAAAACTGTAGCTAGAAATGACTTGTGTGTGTGTATTTTCTAATCATAGAGTTAGAACTAAAGAAGGAGTAGCAATAATGTTGAAGGGTAAGTTATGGCAGGAAAAGAGGGACTATATATGTATTAATTCAAGGATTATGTGGAGTAAAATAAAGGTTAGATGTGAAAAGTGGGTTATAGTAAGCGTATATGCACCTGGAGAAGAGAGAAGTGTAGAGAGAGAGAGAGAGAGAGAGAGAGAGAGATTTTGGGAAATGTTGAGTGAATGTGTGGGGAGTTTTGAACCAAGTGTGAGAGTAACGGTGGTTGGGGATTTCAATGCTAAAGTGGGCAAAAATGTTGTAGAGGAAGTAGTAGGTAAATTTGGGGTGCCAGGGGTAAATGAAAATGGGAAGCCTTTAATTGAGCTATGTGTGGAAAGAGGTTTGGTAATAGGTAATACATATTTTATGAAAAAGAGGATAAATAAATATACAAGGTATAACATAGCACGTAATGAAAGTACAGTAGTTTGTTAGAGTATGTATTGGTGGATAAAAGGTTGATGGGTAGGCTCCAGGATGTACACGTTTATAGAGGGGCAACTGATATATTGGATCATTATTTAGTTGTAGCTACAGTTAGAGTAAGAGGTAGATGGGAAAAGAGGAAAATGGCAACAACAAGCAAGAGGGAGGTGAAAGTGTATAAACTAAGGGAGGAGGAAGTTCGGGTGAGATATAAGCAACTATTGGCAGATAAATATGCTGGATTAGTAGTGGGGAGGTTGAAGAGTATGCAGTATTAGAATGTGGGGCAGAAGTTTGTGGTTATAGGAAGGTGGGTGCAGGAGGAAAGAGGAGTGATTGGTGGAATGATGAAGTAAAGGGAGTGATAAAAAAGAAAAAGTTAGCTTATGAGAGGTTTTTACAAAGCAGAATTGTTATAAGAAGAGTAGAGTATATGGAGAGTAAAAAAAAGGTAAAGAGAGTGGGGAGAGAGTGCAAAAGGAGAGCACATGATAGAGTGGGACATGCACTGTCAAGAAATTTTAATGAAAATAAGAAAAAAATTTGGAGTGAGTTAAACAAGTTAAGAAAGCCTAGAGAACGAATGGATTTGTTAGTTAAAAACAGAGTAGGGGAGTTAGTAGATGGGGAGATAGAGGTTTTGGGTAGATGGCGAGAATATTTTGAGGAACTTTTAAATGTCGACGAAGAAAAGGAGGCGGTAATTTCATGCATTGGCCAGGGAGGTATACCATCTTTTAGGAGTGAAGAAGATCAGGATGTGAGTGTGGGGGAGATGCATGAGGCATTACGTAGTATGAAAGGGGGTAAAGCAGCTGGATCTGACGGGATCATGACAGAAATGTTAAAAGCAGGGGGGCATATAGTGTTGGAGTGGTTGGCATTTTTGCTTAATAAATGTATGAAAGAGGGGAAGGTACCTAGGGATTGGGGGAGAGCATGTATAGTCCCTTTATATAAAGGGAAGGGGGACAAAAGAGATTGTAAAAATTATAGAGGAATAAGTTTACCGAGTATACCAGGAAAAGTGTACAGTAGGGTTATAATTGAAAGAATTAGAGGTAAGACAGAATGTAAGATTGTGGATGAGCAAGGAGGTTTCAGAGTGGGTAGGGGATGTGTAGATCAAGTGTTTACATTGAAACATATATGTGAACAGTATTTAGATAATGGTAGGGAAGTTTTTATTGCATTTATGGATTTAGAAAAGGCATATGATAGAGTGGATAGGGGAGCAATGTGGCAGATGTTGCAAGTATATGGAATAGGTGGTAAGTTACTAAATGCTGTCAAGAGTTTTTATGAGGATAGTGAGGCTCAGGTTAAGGTGTGCAGAAGAGAGGGAGACTACTTCCCGTTAAAAATAGGTCTTAGACAGGGATGTGTAATGTCACCATGGTTGTTTAATATATTTATAGATGGAGTTGTAAAGGAAGTAAATGCTAGGGTGTTTGGGAGAGGGGTGGAATTAAATTATGGGGAATCAAGTACAAAATGGGAATTGACACAGTTGCTTTTTGCTGATGATACTGTGCTTATGGGAGACTCTAAAGAAAAACTGCAAAGGTTAGTGGATGAGTTTGGGAATGTGTGTAAAGGTAGAAAGTTGAAAGTGAACACAGAAAAGAGTAAGGTGATGAGGGTATCAAATGATTTAGATAAAGAAAAATTGGATATCAAATTGGGGAGGAGGAGTATGGAAGAAGTGAATGTTTTCAGATACTTGGGAGTTGATGTGTCGGCAGATGGATTTATGAAGGATGAGGTTAATCATAGAATTGATGAGGGAAAAAAGGTGAGTGGTGCATTGAGGCATATGTGGAGACAAAAAACATTATCTATGGAGGCAAAGAAGGGAATGTACAAAAGTATAGTAGTACCAACACTTTTATATGGGTGTGAAGCTTGGGTTGTGAATGCAGCAGCAAGGAGGTGGTTGGAGGCAGTAGAGATGTCCTCTCTAAGGGTAATGTGTGGTGTAAATATTATGCAGAAAATTCAGAGTGTGGAAATTAGAAGGTGTGGAGTTAATAAAAGTATTAGTCAGAGGGCTGAAGAGGGGTTGTTGAGGTGGTTTGGTCATTTAGAGATAATGGATCAAAGTAGAATGACATGGAGAGCATTTAAATCTGTAGGGAAAGGAAGGCGGGGTAGGGGGTCGTCCTCGAAAAGGTTGGAAGGGGTACGGGAGGTTTTTGTGGGCGCAGGGCTTGGACTTCCGGCAGGCATGCATGAGCGTGTTCGATAGGAGTGAATGGAGATCGAATGGTATTTGGGACCTGACGATCTGTTGGAGAGTGCGTAGGGTAATATTTAGTGAAGGGATTCAGGGAAACTGGTTATTTTTATATAGCCGGACTTGAGTCCTGGAAATGGGAAGTACAATGCCTGCACTCTAAAGGAGGGGTTTCAGGATATTAACAGTTTGGAGGGATATGTTGTGCATTTTTATACATATATGCTTCTAAACTGTTGTGTTCTGAGCACCTCTGCAAAAACAGTGATTATGTGTGAGTGAAGTGAGTGTTGAATGATGAAAGTATTTTCTTTTTGGGGATTTTCTTTCTTTTTGGGTCACCCTGCCTCAGTGGGAGATGGCCGACTTGTTAAAAAAAAAAAAAAATAATTTTATTAGTATCAAGGTTGAAACACTGACCAAAACTGCAAACTAAGGATGTAAAATAGACAGCATATTGAATGAAATGACCACAAATATTGCAGTGCTTCACTAATAAAGATTTATCCACACAAAGTCTCAGGAACATTACAGAACATGAGGGTTTGCAATTCACTTAATGTCTCCAGAATATGGAAACCCTCATTTTTAAGATGAATACCACTTAGTTATGCTGCAGTACATTAAATGTTATTTTACCTTAAGCAATTTCTTTTGAGTTTTGAATGATGTCAATTTCATTTATTTTAACTAGGGAGAAGTGCTAATCCTGTAGTGATCATTCAACACTTGGAGAATGGGAGGCATTTAGGTTCAATCCAAGAAGGGGATTAATCCAGATCCTTGGATCATGAACTCTTCACTGGTGTCATTCATCCCTCTCTTTAGAGGTAAATGATGTCTATAAGAGAAAATTAACAAATTCTGAATCATTCTCACTTGGAAGTACAGCATGAATCCAGCCAGTGAACCTGCTTTCCACATCCACTTTTTTTTACTATCACCATATCATCACTGGCTCCACCACACTTGAAGACAACACTAGATACTTTATTCTGGAAAGTCATAAAATACAAGCATTTAATAGAAAATAAAATGAGACAACTGAGCTAAAGAGTAGTGCAGAGGCCCTGAAGCTGTACAAGTGAGAGGTACCCTTTTCCCTCTAGAGAGAGAAGCTCATAAAATCCTTAAGTGAAGCGGCAATGCTTTACATCTCAATTACTTAAAACTTGAGAATGCTCAGTTCAACCCATTAATAAATCAACCATATTCGTTGGGAAAAAAAAAAACTCACCCCAAGATCTCTACAATTGTCAATATGAACATAAACTGTCTGTGGCCGAACAGATGATGGGCAGGTGATGGTCAGAGCTTTCGTCTTGTTACGGTCTTCATCACCAGATTCCCAGAATGTTTCCGTGGAGGAGTCAGTCAGAGATGGGACCATTGCTTGCCTGCTTGACGCTCGGATCTCACACTCACTCATTAGGTCTTGTAGGCACTCAACTATACTCGTTACCTGGTTATAAAATGTTGAATCCTTTTTAATGACACTACAGTACTGTATATAATTACTATACACACACAGATGATGCAAACAGTCATATGTAAAGAAAGTACAAAAACTTGAAAAGCAATATAATAAAAACATCAAACAGATGGAATAATGCTATATATAAACAGGTGAAAGTGGATAACTGATCATAAATTGATCATAACTGATCATAGGAATTGATCAAGTAAGAGCATTTGAGGTAAACTGTGGTCCTCAGCAGAGGACCACAATTCAGCAGTGGAAGAAGCCAACATTTTTTAACACATTGGCCAACTCCCACCAAGGCAGGGTGACCTGAATAAGAAAAAGTTTTTCTTCTTTTTACATTTAGCAATTTATACAGGAAAAGGGGTTATTAGCCCCTTGCTCAAGAATTTTAGCCTAACTAACCAATCTAATGCTTTTCTAAACTTCTATCATACAAGATTCTTTAATTGTCTATGCATAGATTCCATGAACCCCTTAGAGGAATAGCAGCAGCTGGTATAATTTCTGTGAAACCAGTAATAGATTACTGCAGGCCCACCTTGATGACAAGCACTGAAATTACTGGAAAAAAAATCATTAGAGCAAAGTGGATAAACCACTTGGAGAACAAATATTCAGAAGCAAACAGTTCACTGTTTATTTAGCAAATTCCTGCACTATATTTCAAATCTATTAAACTACTGTATAAGAGTTGTGGAAATCCCTCAAGAGAGAGATGCATAAAAAAACTGCATTTATTTAGAATTAAAGAAATAATAAACAGTACAATAGACTAAATACTTAAGCTGGGATACCAAAAGCATAGCTCTAAGCCTGTATCTACAAACAGGTAATCATATGCCATATCCAAATATGTACAGTATTACTGTGAAGCCTAATTACTGAACATGTTTTAAGTCTTGCTAACAAAGTGTTCAGCAGTGTACTTGAAAATAAAGACATGATTAGAAGTATTACTGTGATGCTGCAGTAATGTGTTGGTAAGCACTTAGTCAACTAGGTTAAGCACCACTAGGTTTCAGCTAGTGACTGGATGGATGAACACGTAGACAGCCACAATAAGCCAAGGAACATCATAATGTATTTTTTCTATTTTAGAGCATAAAATGCACTGGATAGAAGAATATATAAAACAGACTCAAACATAAAAGTAAATTTCAACTGACCGGTCCGTGACTTTCATACATGGAGGTAACACCTTCCTCTCCAGCTCCCAATACCTCTTCAGATCGAGAAAGGATCTTAGAAATGTTGGAAAAGACATGACTTTGATGAAGGAAATCATGATCTGTCGGAGTAAATCGAAGGCCCCAGCATCTGCAGGATAACAAATTAAAATGATGCAGATACATTAGTCATTTAAATTAAACAAATAATTACTAAGGGTCAGCTTGATTAGGTTAACAATCATATTAATATATTTTTAATAAGAGTATGCAAATTCCATTTTTTTTAACATGTTAGCCATCTCCCACCAAGACAGAGTGACCCAAAAAAGAAAAATACTTCTGCCATCATTCATACATAATTACTGTCTTTGCAGAGGAAAAGACTGAAAAACTTTGGTACCCCAGGCAGGCTTATATTTTGGCACCCTTACAGACCAGTACCTACATACATTAGCATATTTGTTCAACACTTCTATAGTGGGTAACACTATTAGACCCAATAAAGATAATTTATATTAACTTTTACTTAATCTGATCCTCATCTTATGATGTGATTCTTAAATGTAATGATTATTTTAAGTAATATGTGAAGTAATATGTTTAAGTAATAGTGAATGGAGATGAATGGTTTTCGGGACCTGATGAGCTGTTGGAGTGTGATCAGGGTAATATTTTGTGAAGGGATTCAGGAAAACTGGTTAGCCAAACTTGAGTTCTGAAGGTGGGAAGTACAATGCCTGCACTTTAAAGGATGGGTTTAGGATACTGGCTCTTTGGAGTGACATCTGAACTGTTGCATCTGGGTGCCTCTGCAAAGACAGTGATTGTGTTTAACAGTGTTTCTTTCCTTTTTTTGGGTCACCGCATTGGCCATATCCCACTGAGGCGGGGTGGCCCAAAAGGAAAAACAAATTTATATAAAATTCACATGTTTAACAATAAATACAAAGCAGTTGGCAGACAGTGAACTTTTAGAATCTTCACAGTTCCAGACAATTTCTATTTTTTGTAACAAAAATTGATTATAAGTTCATTCATCATACCTGACAGCCATCATTTGCAATGGTGAGCCAGGAGGAAGTAGCATCATGAGATCTGCAACTGTCTGCAGTAACTGGTGAAATGTCCGAGGCAAAGGGTGGACTGCATCACCAGCAAGAGTTACGTCACTCAAAGGATGTTCCAGAACTACCATATCACCATCCTGTCATAAGTAACATTAGTTTAGATTAAATAAAAATGGAGAGGTCACTCAAATTAGATCAAATCATATACTGCAGTTCTTTCTTCTTTCTTTCAACACACCAGCCATATCCCACTAAGGCGGGGTGGCCCAAAAGAAAAAAACAAAAGTTTCTTTCTTTACATTTATTAATATATACAGGAGAAAGAGTTACTAGCCCCTTGCTCCTGGCATTTTAGTCACCTCTTACGAAATGCATGGCCCATGCACGCTTGCTGGAAGTCCAAGCCCCTCTCCCACAAAACCTCCTTTACCCCTTCCTTTCAACCTTTTTGAGGACGACCCCTAACCCATCTTCTTTCTCCTACAGATTTATACGCTCTCCATGTCATTCTACTTTGATCCATTCTCTCTAAATGACCAAACCACCTCAACAACCCCTCTTCAGCCCTCTGACTAATACTTTTATTAACTCCACACCTTCTCCAAATTTCCACACTCCGAATTTTCTGCATAATATTTACACCACACATTGCCCTTAGACAGGACATCTCCACTGCCTCCAACCACCTCCTTGCTGCTAAATTCACAACCCAAGCTTCACACCCATATAAGTGTTGGTACTACTATACTTTTATACATTCCCTTCTTTGCCTCCATAGATAACGTTTTTTGTCTCCACATACACCTCAACGCACCACTCGCCTTTTTTTCCCTCATCAATTCTATGATTAACCTCATCCTTCATAAATCCATCCGCCGACACGTCAACTCCCAAAGTATCTGAAAACATTCACTTCTTCCATACTCCTCCTCCCCAATTTGATATCCAATTTTTCTTTATCTAAATCATTTGATACCCCATCACCTTACTGTTTTCTATGTTTACTTGCAACTTTCTACCTTTACACACATTCCCAAACTCATCCACTAACCTTTGCAATTTTTCTTTAGAATCTCCCATAAGCACAGTATAATCAGCAAAAAGCAACTGTGTCAATTCCCATTTTGTATTTGATTCCCCATAATTTAATCCCACACTTCTCCCAAACACCCTAGCATTTACTTCTTTTACAACCCCATCTATAAATATATTAAACAACCATGGTGACATTACACATCCCTGTCTAAGACCTACTTTTACTGGGAAGTAGTCTCCCTCTCTTCTACACACCCTGACCTGAGCTGCACATAAAAACTCTTTACAGCATTTAGTAACTTACCACCTATTCCATATACTTGCAACATCTGCCACATTGCTCCCCTATCCACTCCATCATATGCCTTTTCTAAATCCATAAATGCAATAAAAACTTCCCTACCTTTATCTAAATACTGTTCACATATATGCTTCATAATCCAACAAACTACTGTCATTTCGCCCTACATCATATCTTGTATACTTATTTATCCTCTTTTTCTTAAAATATGTATTACCTATAACTAAACCCCTTTCTATACAAAGTTCAATCAAAGGGCTCCCATTATCATTGACACCTGGCACCCCAAACTTACCTACCACACCCTCTCTAAAAGTTTCTCCTACTTTAGCATTCAGGTCCCCTACCACAATTACTCTCTCACTTGGTTCAAAGGTTCCTATACATTCACTTAACATCTCCCAAAATCTCTCTCTCTCCCGGCATTTTAGTCGCCTCATACGACACGCATGGCTTACAGGGGAAAGATTCTTTTCCACTTCCCCATGGACAATAGAAGAAATAAAGAAGAACAAGAGCTATTTAGAAAAAGGAGAAAAACCTAGATGCATGTATATATATATGCATGTGCGTGTCTGTGAAGTGTGACCAAAGTGTAAGTAGGAGTAGCAAGATATCCCTGTTATCTAGCGTGCTTATGAGACAGAAAAAGACTGTTGAGTAGACTTCAGGATGTACAAAGTCGGGACATGCCTGCGGAATGTCACATTCAGGGTTTTAAATTGTTCCAAGTAGATAGAAGTGTCGGGAAGGGAGGTGGGGTGGCATTGTATGTCCGAGATAGCTTGAACTGTTGCATAAAAACGGGTATTAAGTCTGAAGTAACACATACAGAGTCTGTTTGGATAGAATTTTCAGAGGGGCATGAAAAATTAATTTTAGGTGTGATATACTGTCCCCCAAACTTAGGTAGGGACCAAGGGAGACTACTATGGGAGGAAATTGATAGGGCCACAAGGCACGATAATGTAGTAATTCTAGGAGACTTTAACTTTAGTCATATTGATTGGAATTTCTTGACTGGGAATTTAGAATCATACGACTTCTTAGAAGTAGTTCAGGATTGTTTTTTGAAGCAGTTTGTGACAGAACCTACAAGGGGTAATAACCTGCTTGACTTAGTTCTGGCAAACAATGAATCCCTTGTTCATAATTTAGAAGTTTCAGAGGAACTGGGTGCTAGCGACCACAAATCAATTACATTTAGCATTGAATGGAAGTATGATAGTAGGGATAACTCAGTAACAGTCCCAGATTTTCGCTCAGCAGATTACGATGGGCTTAGAGAACATTTGTCATCTGTTGACTGGGGTAACGAAGAGAGCTATCAATATGACAGTTTTCTGAACACTATACATGAGGCTCAAAGAACGTTTATCCCATATAAAGAAATTAGATCAAATAGAAATGACCCAAAATGGATGAATAACAGGCTGAAATATCTACTAGGGCATAAGAAAGGAATTTATAGGCGTATCAAAAGAGGTGAGGGTCATCTTATGAATCAGTATATTGACATCAAGAGGGACATTAAAAAGGGGATAAGAAAAGCTAAAAGGGACTATGAAGTTAAAGTTGCTAGGGATTCTAAAACTAACCCAAAAAGTTTTTTCCAGGTACGTATATAGAACAAAAGTCAGAGATAAGACAGGTCCCCTTAAAAATAACTATGGGCATCTTACTGACAAAGAGAATGAAATGTGCTCGATATTAAATAATTATTTTCTCTCGGTTTTTACACAGGAAGACACTAATAATATTCCAGTAATTAATTTTTATAGTGGGCCAGAAGAAGATAAATTATGTAACATCACAGTCACTAGTGAAATGGTTGTGAAGCAGATAGACCGATTGAAGCAAAATAAGTCACCGGGTCCTGATGAGGTTTTTTCAAGGGTTCTTAAGGAATGCAAAATGGAACTCTGTGAACCATTAACTAACATTTTTAATTTATCTCTTCAAACAGGTGTAGTGTCTGATATGTGGAAGATGGCTAATGTAATTCCTATTTTTAAAACAGGGGACAAGTCATTACCGTCAAATTACCGCCCAATAAGCCTGACCTCAATTGTAGGCAAATTACTATAGTCAATTATAGCTCAGATTATAAGAAGCCATCTCGATAAGCATAGCTTGATTAATGATACTCAGCATGGATTCACAAGAGGCCGTTCTTGTCTAACTAATTTATTAACTTTCTTCAGTAAAGCTTTTGAGGCTGTTGACCACGATAAAGAATTTGATATTATTTACTTAGATTTTAGTAAGGCTTTTTATAGACTTCCGCACAAAAGACTGTTAAAGAAAGTGGCAGCTCATGGCATTGGGGGAAGGGTGCTCTCGTGGATCGAATCATGGCTCACAGACAGGAAGCAGAGAGTGTCCATAAATGGGGTTAAATCCGAGTGGGGATCGGTAACAAGCGGCGTTCCACAGGGGTCAGTCTTGGGCCCGTTGTTGTTTATAATATATATCAATGATCTTGATGAAGGAATTAGTAGTGATATGAGCAAATTCGCCGATGACACAAAGATAGGTAGGATAATTGATTCAAACGTAGATGTTAGTGAACTTCAGAAAGATTTAGACAAACTCTATTCTTGGTCAGAAAAGTGGCAGATGCAGTTCAATGTAGATAAATGCAAGGTTCTGAAGCTCGGGAGTGTCAATAACCCTAGCACTCACAAGTTAAATAATGTAGAACTTAGCCATACAGATTGCGAAAAGGACTTGGGGGTTATGGTAAGCAGCAACCTTAAACCAAGACAGCAATGCTTAAGCGTACGTAATAAGGCAAATAGATTATTGGGATTTATATCAAGAAGTGTAAGCAACAGAAGTCCAGAGGTCATACTGCAGCTTTATACATCATTAGTAAGGCCTCACCTAGATTATGCAGCTCAATTCTGGTCTCCATATTACAGAATGGATATAAATTCATTAGAAAACATTCAGCGTAGGATGACTAATTTAATACATAGCATTAGAAATCTTCCTTATGAAGAAAGATTGAAGACTTTTAAGTTACATTCACTTGTTAGACGAAGAATGAGGGAGACCTGATCGAGTGTATAAGTGGAAGATAGGTATTAATAAGGGGAATTAACAAGGTCTTGAGGATATCTCTCCAAGAGAGAACCCGCAGTAATGGATTTAAATTAGATAAGTTTAGATTTAGAAAGGACATAGGAAAGTATTGGTTTGGAAATAGGGTAGTTGATGAGTGGAACAGTCTACCTAGTTGGGTTATTGAGGCTAGGACTTTGGGTTCAAATTTAGGTTGGATAAGTACATGAGTGGGAGGGGTTGGATTTGAGTGGGACTTGCACATCAGAGCTTATTTCTTGGGTAGCATTGAAAATTGGGTAGGGCAAATGTTTTGTTAGTGGGATGAATTGTAAAGGACCTGCCTAGTATGGGCCAACAGGCCTGCTGCAGTATTCCTCCTTTCTTATGTTCTTAGAGGGGCCACAGATATATCAGATCACTTCTTAGTTGTAGCTACACTGAGAGTAAAAGGTAGATGGGATACAAGGAGAATAGAAGCATCAGGGAAGAGAGAGGTGAAGGTTTATAAACTAAAAGAGGAGGCAGTTAGGGTAAGATATAAACAGCTATTGGAGGATAGATGGGCTAATGAGAGCATAGGCAATGGGGTCGAAGAGGTATGGGGTAGGTTTAAAAATGTAGTGTTAGAGTGTTCAGCAGAAGTTTGTGGTTACAGGAAAGTGGGTGCGGGAGGGAAGAGGAGCGATTGGTGGAATGATGATGTAAAGAGAGTAGTAAAGGGAGAAAAAGTTAGCATATGAGAAGTTTTTACAAAGTAGAAGTGATGCAAGGTAGGGAAGAGTATATGGAGAAAAAGAGAGAGGTTAAAAGAGTGGTAAAGCAATGTAAAAAGAGAGCAAATGAGAGAGTGGGTGAGATGTTATCAACAAATTTTGTTGAAAATAAGAAAAAGTTTTGGAGTGAGATTAACAAGTTAAGGAAGCCTAGAGAAAAAATGGATTTGTCAGTTAAAAAATAGGAGAGGAGAGTTATTAAATGGAGAGTAAGAGGTATTGGGAAGATGGAGGGAATATTTCGAGGAATTGTTAAACGTTGATGAAGATAGGGAAGCTGTGATTTCGTGTATAGGGCAAGGAGGAATAACATCTTGTAGGTGTGAGGAAGAGCCAGTTGTGAGTGTGGGGGAAGTTCGTGAGGCAGTAGGTAAAATGAAAGGGGGTAAGGCAGCCGGGATTGATGGGATAAAGATAGAAATGTTAAAAGCAGGTGGGGATATAGTTTTGAAGTGGTTGGTGCAATTATTTAATAAATGTATGGAAGAGGGTAAGGTACCTAGGGATTGGCAGAGAGCATGCATAGTTCCTTTGTATAAAGGCAAAGGGGACAAAAGAGAGTGCAAAAATTATAGGGGGATAAGTCTGTTGAGTATACCTGGTAAAGTGTATGGTAGAGTTATTATTGAAAGAATTAAGAGTAAGACGGAGAATAGGATAGCAGATGAACAAGGAGGCTTTAGGAAAGGTAGGGGGTGTGTGGACCAGGTGTTTACAGTGAAACATATAAGTGAACAGTATTTAGGTAAGTCTAAAGAGGTCTTTGTGGCATTTATGGATGGAGTTGTAAGAGAAGTAAATGTGAGGGTCTTGGCAAGAGGCGTGGAGTTAAATGATAAAGAATCACACAAAGTGGGAGTTGTCACAGTTGCTCTTTGCTGATGACACTGTGCTCTTAGGAGATTCTGAAGAGAAGTTGCAGAGGTTGGTGGATGAATTTGGTAGGGTATGCAAAAGAAGAAAATTAAAAGTGAATACAGGAAAGAGTAAGGTTATGAGGATAACAAAAAGATTAGGTGATGAAAGATTGGATATCAGATTGGAGGGAGAGAGTATGGAGGAGGTGAATGTATTCAGATATCTGGGAGTGGACGTGTCAGTGGACGAGTCTATGAAAGATGAGGTGAATCATAGAATTGATGAGGGGAAAAGGGGGAGCGGTGCACTTAGGAGTCTCTGGAGACAGAGAACTTTGTCCTTGGAGGCAAAGAGGGGAATGTATGAGAGTACAGTTTTACCAATACGTACTCTTATATGGGTGTGAAGCATGGGTGATGAATGTTGCAACGAGGAGAAGGCTGGAGGCAGTGGAGATGTCATGTCTGAGGGCAATGTGTGGTGTGAATATAATATGCAGAGAATTCGTAGTTTGGAAGTTAGGAGGAGGTGCGGGATTGCCAAAACTGTTGTCCAGAGGGCTGAGGAAGGGTTGTTGAGGTGGTTCAGACATGTAGAGAGAATGGAGCAAAACAGAATGACTTCAAGAGTGTATCAGTCTGTAGTGGAAGGAAAGCGGGGTAAGGGTCGGCCTAGGAAAGGTTGGAGGGAGGGGGTAAAGGAGGTTTTGTGTGCGAGGGGCTTGGACTTCCAGCAGGCATGCGTGAGTGTGTTTGATAGGAGTGAATGGAGACAAATGGTTTTTAATACTTGACGTGCTGTTGGAGTGTGAGCAAAGTAACATTTATGAAGGGATTCGGGGAAACCGGCAGGCTGGGTTTGAGTCCTGGAGATGGGAAGTACAGTGCCTGCACTCTGAAGGAGGGGTGTTAATGTTGCAGTTTAAAAACTGTAGTGTAAAGCACCCTTCTGGCAAGACAGTGATGGAGTGAATGATGGTGAAAGTTTTTCTTTTTCGGGCCACCCTGCCTTGGTGGGAATCAGCCAGTGTGTTAATAATAATAAAATAATGTATTTATAATTGTTTTGTATGTAAAACTATAGCTATTGTTTAAAAAATGAATTTTTTGTAAATATTTTTGTGGGTCTGGAATGGATTAATTGAATTTTCATTATTTCTTATGGGAAATATTGCTTCGAGTTTCGACTTTAGAATTACCTCCTGGAACAGATTAAGTTCGAAACTCGGGGTACCACTGTACATGCATGTGTAGTGTGACCTAAGTGTAAGTAGAAGAAGCAAGATATACCTGTTATCCAGCAAGATACACCTGTTATGAGACAGAAAAATAGACACCAGCAATCCTACCATCACATAAAACAATTACAGGTAGTACCTCCCTGGGTGGTTGCTGTCTACCAACCTACTAATCGCTGGATATGATGGTGATAAATGTACAAATTGTATTTAATTAAGTTTTCCTCACCAAATCATGAGACTTGTCTCTTAGATGAGGATGGTCTTGTGGATTGTGGTCATCTGAAGGAGGCTGAATGGGAGGATTGGAAGGTGTAAGAGCAGCAACAAAGCACCACAAAAGGTCATGCAGACAAGTTGGCTGAGTTACACTTCGAAGCAACCAGTTTAGAGCCTGAAAATGTAAAGATGGTTTGCATTATATGTTGCATGCACTTTGTAAATGAATGAATGGCATACAATATTGATAAGATAAAGAATTAGACATGTGCAACATCTGGGTATCTTTATTTGTAGATGTTTTGCCTCCAGTGGCTTTATCAATACGATACAAGGAATTAACGTTAAGACCGTAGAACTATATACACAAGATGAGGTAACCAGTCCCTCTGCCTTGGAGTTGGTGAAGAGCACCAACCCTCATCACCTTACTCTTTCCTATATTCACTCTTAATTTCCTTCTTTTACATACCCTGCCAAATTTGTCCACCAACCTCAAAAATTTTTCTTCAAATCTCCCAGAAGCACAGTGTCACTGGCAAAAAGCAACTTTCACAACTGCCACTTTTTATCAAAATTTTTATTTTTTTATGGCCACACCCCTCCCCAACACCCCTGCATTCACTTCTTCTACAACCCCATCTATAAATATGTTAAATAACCATGGTGACATCATGCATTTCTGTCTAAGGCCTAGTTTTACTGGAGAATAATCTCTCTCTCTCCTACATACCTTAACCTGAGCCTCACCATCTTCATAAAAACTCTTAACTGCTTTCAGTAACTTATCATCTATTCCTTACACTTGTTTCTCTGTCCACCCAATCATATACCTTTTCTAAAACCCTAACTGCATTGGAAACTTCCTTACCTTTATCTAACTGTTGTTCATTTATATACTTCCATGTAAAACATCCCCTATCCTTCCTAAATTCTCCTTTACCAGGTCTTTCTTACTTTCAACACACCGGCCGTATCCCACCAAGGCAGGGTGGCCCAAAAAGAAAAATGCAAGTTTCTCTTAAATTTAGTAATTTATATGGGAGAAGGGGTTACTAGCCCCTTGCTCCCGGCATTTTAGTCGCCTCTTACGACATGCATGGCTTACGGAGGAAGAGTTCTGTTCTACTTCCCCATGGAAATAAGAGGAAATAAACAAGAACAAGAACTAGTAAATGAACTAGTAAGAAAATAGAAGAAAACCCGAGGCGGTTTGTATATATATGCTTGTACATGCATGTGTAGTATGGCCTAAATATAAGTAGAAGTAGCAACATGTACATACCTAAAATTTTTTGTTTGTGAAACAGAAAAAAAGACCAGCAATCCTACCATTATGTAAAACAAATACAGGTTTCCGTTTTACACTCACTTGGCAGTACGGTAGTACCTCCCTGGGTGGATGCTGTCTATCAACATACTACCTATAACTCAAACTTTTTACAAATCGGCTGTCTCCCACCTTTCTGCCAATAGTTGCTTATATCTCACCCTAACTTCCTCCTCCCTTAGTTTATACACTTCCACCTCACTCTTACTTGTTGTTGCCATTTTCCTTTTGGCCCATCTACCTCTTACTCTAACTCTAGCTACAACCAAATAATGATCCAATACATCAGTTGCCCCTCTATAAACATGTACATCCTAAAGCCTACCCATCAACCTTTTATCCATCAATACATAATCTAACAAACTACTTTCATTATGTGCTATATCATACCCTGTATACTTATTTATCCTCTTTCATAAAATGTGTATGTATTACTTATTACCAAACCTCTTTCTACACATAGTTCAATTAAAGGCTCCCCATTTTCATTTACCCATGGCACATCAAATTTACCATACTACTCCCTCCACAACATTTGTACCACTTTAGTATTGAAATCCCCAACCACAAGTGCTCTCACACTTGGTTCAAAACTCCCCATGCACTCAACATTTCCAAAAAAATCTCTCTCTCCTCTACACTTATCTCTTCTCAGGTGCATAAATGCTTACTATAACCCACTTTTCACATCCAACCCTTATATTACTTCACATAATCCTTGAATTAATACATTTATATTCCCTCTTTTCCTGCCATAACTTATCCTTCAACATTATTGCTACTCCTTCTTTAGCTCTAACTCTATTTGAAACCCTTGACCTAATCCCATTTATTTCTCCCCACGGAAACTCTCTCACCCCCTTCAGCTTCTTTCACTTAAAGCCAGGACATCCAGCTTCTTCTCATTCATAATATCCACAATCATCTCTTTCTTATCATTCGCACAACATCCACGCACATTCAAACATCCCACTTTGATGGCTTTCTTCTTTTTCTTTCTAGTAGGCTATACAGGAAAAGGGGTTGCTAGCCCACTGTCTGACTTTTACAAGAAGCATGGCTTACGGAGGAAAGATTCTTATTCCACTTCCTCATGGATATAAAAGGAAAAACAATAAGAACAAGAACTATTAAGATAAAATCAAAGAAAACTCAGATGAGTGTGTATACATAAATGTGTACATGAATGTGTATTGTGACCTAAGTGTAAGTAGAAGTAGCAAGACGTATCTGAAATCTTGCATGTTTATGAGACAGAAAAAAGACACCAGCAATCCTACCATCATGCAAAACAATTACAGGCTTTCGTTTTACACTCACTTGGCAGGACGGTAGTACCTCCCTGGGTGGTTGCTGTCTACCAACCCATTACAAACTTATTTCCCTATAATTTTTACACTCTTTTGTCCCCCCCCTTTCCTTAATATAAGGGAACTATGTACACTCTCTGCCAATTCCAAGGTCCTTCCCCTCTTTCATATATTTACTGAAGGAAAGTACCAACCACTCTAAAAGTATACCTCCACTTCCTTGTAACATTACTGTCTTGATCCCATCAATCTCAGCTGCCTGACTCACGAAATCGTAATGACACGATTGCAAACAAACCATACCCCGGCCATACCCCTGCCACACTCACATCTGGCTCTTCCTCACTCCTGAAGGATGTTGTGCCTCCCTGACCAATGCATGAAATCACTACCTCCCTTTCTACAGCAACATTTAACAGCTCCTCAAAATATTCCTGCCATCCTCCTAATACCTCCAATGCCACCCACTCTCTCATTTGCTACCCTTTTATATTCTCTCACCACTCTCTTAACCTCCCTTTTACTCTCCATGTACTCAACCCTCCTTGTATCACTTCTGCTTTGTAAAAACTTCTCATATGCTAACTTTTCTCCTTTACCACTCTCTCTTTATATTATTATTCTACCAATTGCTCATCTTCCCTCCTGCACCCACCTTCCTATATCCATAAACTTCTGCTGCACACTCTAACACCGCATTCTTAAATTTAACCCAGACCTCTTCAACCTCATTACCTATGCTTTCACTAGCCCATCTTTCTCCCTAACTAGCTCCTCATCCTCCTTTTGTTTATAAACTTTCACTTCTCTCTTACTCACTGAGGCCATTCTCCTTATGCTCCATCTACCTCTTACTGTCACTGTAACTACAACTAAATATGATCTGATATATCTACTGCACCTCTATAAGCATGCAAATCCAGAAGTCTACCCCTCAACCTTTTATCCACCAATGCATAGTCCAACAAACTACTGCCATTACATCCTATATCAGATCTTGCATACTTATTTATTTTCTTTTTCTTAAAATATATACGTCTTTCTTTTCTTTCAACACACCAGCCGTATCCCATCAGGGTGGGGTGGCCCAAAAGGAAAAACAAAAGTTTCTCCTTTTACATTTAGTAATATATACAGGAGAAGAGGTTACTAGCCCCTTGCTCCTGGCATTTTAGTCGCCTCTTACAACACGCATGGCTTACAGAGGAAGAATTCTGTTCCACTTCCCCATGGAGGTAAGAGGAAATAAACAAGAACAAGAACTAGAAAGAAAATAGAGGAAAACCCAGAGGGGTGTGTATATATATGCTTGTACATGTATGTGTAGTGTGACCTAAGTGTAAGTAGAAGTAGCAAGACGTACCTGAAACCTTGCATGTTCATGAGACAGAAAAATGGACACCAGCAATCCTACCATCATGTAAAACAATTACAGGTTTCCGTTTTACACTCACTTGGCAGGACGGTAGTACCTCCCTGGGCGGTTGCTGTCTACCAACCTACTACCTAGAAAATATATACGTATTACCTATTATTTTTATTACTACAACTACTACTACTATTTGCATTCAGAAGTCAGAGTAACCATACTCATATCCACAATTTTTATACTTTAATTTCAAGTACTATACTCATACTTGGCCTTCTTAGTCCTATGTGTTACTGAAAGAACAAAGTTCTCTTCCCTCATAATCCATCACGGATGGCAAAAATAGTTTGACATTTGCATTAGTTTTAAAAATTTGAAGTTTGAAAGGAAATGTGTATAAGTTGTTACACAAGAACCCAAATTCTACTAAACCATACCTGCATGGCATATACTCTTGCAGCTGCTTTCCGAGTTGCATGTCTCATTGCAAATGCAAGAGTTTCCAGGTCATGATTCTGGAAAATAAAAGCCATGATAGGTCTGATAATGACCTGACGTGCTCGCCCGCCTGGATCACCAGCTGGTCCACCTCCTCTTTCGATACAGCCAGCCAAACGTTCCAGCGCAGCTGAGGGGTGTACCAATAAGGAGCTACCACCACTATCAACTGCAAAAGAAAACAGGGAACAGTGACTGAGTGAGCAACATAATTTCCTGCTAATCTTTACTAATTTTACACATCAGTGCAAAGCACAATTACTAATACTGTCCTCACCTGCATTTTCGCCACTACTATTGTTGCGTTTCCTGAGAATAACAGTAGCCTTATGATCATGTTCAACTTGAGAGGCTGATGCAGATGCAGCCGCAGAGCTCCAGTCTTGTCCTGAGGTGCCCACTGTGACCGAGATAGAACGATGGAATGGACGGCCTCGAGGCATCTCTGTATCAGATGCAGGAGATTCTTGGTGTGAAGCCCCTTTTGTAAAATAAAATCATTCCTTATAATTATCAGAAATTACCTTTAAAACATTAAATTAAAAAATTTGGAAAAAAACATAATTCTATAATAATTCTGATTCAAGAACTGTTGCATAAGCTTTACGATACTGTTGTATAATCCACTGTCAGAGAATAATAAACAGCAATACGTACATCAATAAAAGATAAAAGAGAAAAAGGTAGCTTATGAGAGGTTTTTACAAAGCAGAAGTGTTATAAGAAGAGCAGAGTATATGGAGAGTAAAAGAAAGGTGAAGAGAGTGGTGAGAGAGTGCAAAAGGAGAGCAGATGATAGAGTGGGAGAGGCACTGTCAAGAAATTTTAATGAAAATAAGAAAAATTTTTGGAGTGAGTTAAACAAGTTAAGAAAACCTAGGGAAAGTATGGATTTGTCAGTTAAAAACAGAGTAGGGGAGTTAGTAGATGGGGAGATGGAGGTATTAGGTAGATGGCGAGAATATTTTGAGGAACTTTTAAATGTTAAGGAAGAGAGAGAGGCAGTAATTTCATGCACTGGTCAGGGAGGTATACCATCTTTTAGGAGTGAAGAAGAGCAGAATGTAAGTGTGGGGGAGGTACGCGAGGCATTACGTAGAATGAAAGGGGGTAAAGCAGCAGGAACTGATGGGATCATGACAGAAATGTTAAAAGCAAGGGGTATATAGTGTTGGAGTGGTTGGTATTTTTGTTTAATAAATGTATGAAAGAGGGGAAGGTACCTAGGGATTGGCAGAGAGCATGTATAGTCCCTTTATATAAAGGGAAAGGGGACAAAAGATTGTAAAAATTATAGAGGAATAAGTTTACTGAGTATACCAGGAAAAGTGTACGGTAGGGTTATAATTGAAAGAATTAGAGGTAAGACAGAATGTAGGATTGCGGATGAGCAAGGAGGTTTCAGAGTGGGTAGGGGATGTGTAGATCAAGTGTTTACATTGAAGCATATATGTGAACAGTATTTAGATAAAGGTAGGGAAGTTTTTATTGCATTTATGGATTTAGAAAAGGCATATGATAGAGTGGATAGAGGAGCAATGTGGCAGATGTTGTAAGTATATGGGATAGGTGGTAAGTTATTAAATGCTGTAAAGAGTTTTTATGAGGATAGTGAGGCTCAGGTTAGGGTGTGTAGAAGAGAGGGAGACTACTTCCCGGTAAAAGTAGGTCTTAGACAGGGATGTGTAATGTCACCATGGTTGTTTAATATATTTATAGATGGGGTTGTAAAGGAAGTAAATGCTAGGGTGTTTGGGAAAGGGGTGGGATTAAATTTTGGGGAATCAAATTCAAAATGGGAATTGACACAGTTACTTTTTGCTGATGATACTGTGCTTATGGGAGATTCTAAAGAAAAATTGCAAAGGTTAGTGGATGAGTTTGGGAATGTGTGTAAAGGTAGAAAGTTGAAAGTGAACATAGAAAAGAGTAAGGTGATGAGGGTATCAAATGATTTAGATAAAGAAAAATTGGATATCAAATTGGGGAGGAGGAGTATGGAAGAAGTGAATGTTTTCAGATACTTGGGAGTTGACGTGTCGGCGGATGGATTTATGAAGGATGAGGTTAATCATAGAATTGATGAGGGAAAAAAGATGAGTGGTGCATTGAGGTATATGTGGAGTCAAAAAATGTTATCTATGGAGGCAAAGAAGGGAATGTATGAAAGTATAGTAGTACCAACACTCTATATGGGTGTGAAGCTTGGGTGGTAAATGCAGCAGCGAGGAGACGGTTGGAGGCAGTGGAGATGTCCTGTTTAAGGGCAATGTGTGGTGTAAATATTATGCAGAAAATTCGGAGTGTGGAAATTAGCAAAAGGTGTGGAGTTAATAAAAGTATTAGTCAGAGGGCAGAAGAGGGGTTGTTGAGGTGGTTTGGTCATTTAGAGAGAATGGATCAAAGTAGAATGACATGGAAAGCTTATAAATCTATAGGGGAAGGAAGGCGGGGTAGGGGTCGTCCTCGAAAGGGTTGGAGAGAGGGGTTAAAGGAGGTTTTGTGGGCAAGGGGCTTGGACTTCCAGCAAGCGTGCGTGAGCGTGTTAGATAGGAGTGAATGGAGACGAATGGTACTTGGGACCTGACGATCTGTTGGAGTGTGAGCAGGGTAATATTTAGTGAAGGGATTCAGGGAAACCGGTTATTTTCATATAGTCGGACTTGAGTCCTGGAAATGGGAAGTACAATGCCTGCACTTTAAAGGAGGGGTTTGGGATATTGGTAGTTTGGAGGGATATGTTGTGTATCTTTATATGTGTATGCTTCTAAACTGTTGTATTCTGAGCACCTCTGCAAAAACAGTGATAATGTGTGAGTGTGGTGAAAGTGTTGAATGATGATGAAAGTATTTTCTTTTTGGGGATTTTCTTTCTTTTTTGGGTCACCCTGCCTCAGTGGGAGACGGCCGACTTGTTGAAAAAAAAAAAAAAAATGTACATCAAATATAAGGTTATTTCACCTCACCTCAACATTTTCAGGTATGAATCCAGTATGTGAACAGGCACTTCATTCATCTGTCTTCATAAAAAAAAAGCATGTGCCTTGTTAGAATGTGAATCTAAATAATATTATCAGTTAACCCTTAAACGGTCCAAAAAGATTCAATCGTAGTGCTCCAAAGTGATCTATTTTTTTTACATATTTTCAATATAACAAAAAAAGTAGATAAAAGTATTTTACTGTTTTCAAATGTTAAACAAAAAAAAATCTACATTTTTTCTATTTCAGATGTTGAAAAACGTTTATACATGACCTCACATACGATTAATGGTACGAGAAGAATAGTTAAGTGAATTTTTTAACGTTCGAGGAAATGACTTTAAAAGTATCGTTATGCAAATTAACGTTATGTGATGCAACGTTATGCGAGGGTCCACTGTATACGTTTGGACCGTTTAAGGGCTAAACCACTTAAGGTATACATAAGAATGGTCAATATACCTTGGGGTGAGAAAGGCGAGTGCTCTCTATGGTTATTGTCACGTGATTCAGCAGAACTGCTGCGATAGTCATTGTTATCTGCTGCATGGAAATTGTGGTGAAGTAAGAGATCCTCTCTTAGCTGGTTCAGATGCTGCTGCTGACAGTTGAGGAGTGTGCAAACACTGGAATGCTACCTGAAGAAAAGTTGCATTACAGTTTATTTCAATTACACATTTACAAATTACTAGTAGGCATAGTTTATAATTAGTGTTCATCCTTCACAATAAAGTTAATTCATTATAAATGTTCATATATAATAGAAATAATAGAAATGAAAATATATAATAGAAATATATAATATATAATATAATAGAATATATAATATATAATATAAAATATATAATAGAAATAATAGAAACGAAATATATAAGGCTGTAGAAATAAGTAAGATGATTATTGGATCCTTAGGAAAGATTTCATGAAGGAAAAACATCACTATAAAGATTTGCATATGTATATACTCCTGGCCTCAATCCATACTGGTAAAATATGGACATAACAAAATAGATACATATTGAATTCATGATGTTGATATAAGCCATTTAAAAGACATGTATGGTATTCAAAGTTAAGACAGAATAAGTACTAAGGAAGCTAATACTGTACTAAGGAAGCTAATAAGTACTAAGGAAGCTAATACTTGGCCAGCTGAAGCAGCTGGCCAAGGCAGGTAGCATGAGGCAGCAATGATGACAGTAACAAAATACATTTTTTTAATTAATGAAAGTTTAGAAAGTTGGTTTAGGTCAACTTACCTTTGGGAAAGGACTGTTATCTGGGCTCAGTGATACTGATGGCATTGTACAAGGAGATCTTCTTGGAACATGACTGCGACATGGGATTGCTGCTGCTGCTGCACTTGCTAAATCTAACAAAAACATTGCATTGTTTCTCATTATCACGTGTGCATCAAGCTGAGGAAGAGGCGAAAGTAATTTACTATTTGATTTTCTTTTCGTTCGACCATTACTAATTTTGCTACCAGAAAACTGACTATATTGGCCTTTGTGTCTATTACGGCAACTCCAGCACATGTGGAAACATCCTCGGACCACCTCACCACATGGTTGAGTTACACGATCTTTGGTAGGGAAGACTTTCCAATGTGTTCCAACATAACCACAACCTTTTGATGACCCACCACAACCTTGGTGTAATGTTCGAAAATGCTGTTCAATACCTTCAGGAGAAACTTTACTACCACAAAGTTCACACACACCGTCTTCATCTTCCCCATCACCAGGATCAATACCAAACATTGGAATGCCACTTGAAGATGATTTCTTTTTATGCTTTTTCTTTTCTCTGTCACTTTTTTCTTTAATTTTATCAGATTTTTTTAAACGTGCAGGAATAGTAGGTGAAGGAAGTATAATCTGTTGGGCAACAGCTTTTAGACAGCTAGATGTAAGTTCTTCCCACAAGAGAACCACATGACGAAGAACTGGAGGTAAATCTGGAGGATCTGGACCTGTGCCTCCTTCCATTACTGTTGCCAGTTTCTGACCTTGAGGTCCCTGAACATAAACTCCAGTTCTACCAGCTGCCTCATCATCACTAGTGTCACTAACACGTGGTACCTCATTAATATTTGCATTTTTTCCCGGCTTTAGAAGATCATCTGTGTTCTGGAGAGTCACATTATTTAAATAACTGTAAGTGCTTACTTCAACTGAATGTCTTTGTCGGGCTTTCTGTTCCTTGGTTAGCTTTTCTGATTTTGCTGCTGTTGCTGTTCGAGGTTTCCAGTGAAAAGTTCCTTGTTTTGTTAAATCTGGATGGAATTTCATGTAAGAGGCACAAGCCATAGCATCATGAACAATTCCTTCATGCCAAAGGAACGCAGCAAAAATTGCTCGTAAGCATTCTGCCACAGAAGGGCTCATGGCTTCTTTCACTTTATCACGATTAGGTCCAGGTTTTTCTCGCTGAGAAGAAGCGGGAGATACAGCATGATCACGTTTTCCTCTATGCGGCTTTCCAGATCGATCCTTGCGTGCCATTTTGGGTGACAGTCGGAGGTTTTCATCCCGAGAACCTGTTGAACCAATGTTAAACTTGATTCCTTCAGGACTGGTCTGTGTTGCCGTTTGAGTTACAGTTTTTGGACTGGTGCTTAATGGTTCCTGAAATAGTACCATGTCTTATTTCAGAGCTACCATATATAAAATCACCTACAAAAATTTTCAATTACCAAAAAAATAAAGTGGGAACACTAAACCATGTGAACTAAACTAAGGATCTGTGTCAGTCAGATGAGTAATGAATGTTAGCCCTATAGTTTTATTTGACTGAATTTTCTCACCATTAGCTGGAGCTATTTTAGTTCACTCATAATTAGTAACCACAATTAGTACAATTTATGAGGAATGTGCACTTTTTTTTTTTTTTAACATATTGGCTGCCTCCCACTGAGGAAGGGTGACCCAAAAGAAACACTTCTACCATCATTCTCTCTATCACTGTCTTGCCAGGGGCATGCCGATATTGCAGTTCAGATACCCCTCCAAATGTCCCCACCCCTCCTTCCGAGTGTAGGCACTGTATTCTCCACCTCCAGGACTCAAGTCTGGCTAACCGATTTCCCTTAATCTTTTCACAAAACGTTACATTGCTTGCACTCCAACAGTTCAAGTCCTAAAAACAATTTGCTTTCACTCCCATTTAACATGCTCGCACACACCTGCTGGATGTGCAAGGCCCTCACACACAAAACCTCTTTTACTCCCTCCCTTTCCTAGGGTGACCCCTACCCCATCTTCCCTCCAACCTTTCCAAGGTGATGCCTACCCCACCTTCTCTCCAACACATATTTATACACCCTCCAAGTCACTCTATTTTACTTCATCCTCTAAATGTCCAAACCACCTCAACAACCCCTCTTCAGCCCTCTGGATAATACATTTATTAACCCTGTACTTCCTCCTAATCTGCAAGCTACAAATTCTCAGTGTAATATTTACGCTATACATTGCCCTCAAGACGTGAAATGTTGGCAGATGAAGATGAAGAACAGTTAACATTATAACAGTTACATGAACAGTTCCATGTTGCTGCTAAATTACCAGACTTTTTTACTGAAGAGGACCCTGACAAATCTAGAAGCAGTGCTCTGAAATGGAGTGTACAGGAGTAGATGAGACCTTACTGTCAGCTGTATGAATTACTGCAAGGGAAAAGAGACCAGAGATGCATTACAGAATTTCTCACTACTCCAGTACAACCATCAACATTAGCACCAGCCTCAACCATACACTTCAGCTAATGCTCCAAAACCTTCCACTTCAGGTAATGATCCACAATCTTCCACCCCAGCCAAGTAGGGCCACAACATCCCTCTCCACTCCTTTCAAAATCATTGACATACACCAACAACCACAATTATTTATGAAACATTTGTAGCCTTAAGCAATGTAATAAACATAATACAGCATGACAACCAACTACAATTACATCCTTTTTTTTAAATTTTGATACCTAAAAAAAGTTGTTTGCCATTTTTGGGGGTCAAATGAAAGTAACCCTATTTTTCCAAATGTTCTTCAGTTTTAGGCATTTTTTTTTATTAGACACCATTTTAAAAAAATGTAACTACAGTGGAACCTTGGCTTTTATCATTAATTCATTCCAGAAAGTCTGACAGAAGCCAAATTCAATGAAAACTGAAGCAATATTTCCCATAAGAAATACGTAATGTAAATCCAATTAATCCACTCCAGACACCCAAAAGTATTAACAAAAAAATACATTTTATAGAGAATAACTATTTTTTTACATACAGAAAAAATGAGAAATAAATATAAAGGACTAATGAATGGAAAAATGAACATTTAATATCACTTTTACCTTTACTGAAGACTCTCTTGTTGGCGTATGGGAGACACGAGGAGGGAAGAGGGAGGAGGAGAGGTTATTGGTTGGAAGGGGAATCTCCCTCCATAAGAACTTCAGGTATCAAGTCCCTATCTGGGGTTACCTCCCTTGTTTGTCTTTTACTGGCACTGGACCCCTGTCACACAAAAAATCTGTAGAGGGGTCTGTTTCTGGCATCTCTTTAAGATCTGCCTAAAATGGAACAAGGCATTGTCATTGAACGTGTTGCAGACACGGCTTGCAACAGCTTTGTTGGGGTGATATTTCTCCACAAAACTTTGCAACTCACTCCACTTTGCATACATGTCCTTAATCACTGAAAAAGGCACATTCTCCCCTCTCTTTCTCCTCCTCCAAAGCAATTTCCTCAGCTGCAATCTGTTACTGTTCCAGTTGAAGGTGTTGCAGCTCTTCAGTGGTTAGCTCTTCCCTGTGGTCATCCACCAACTCTTCCACATCCTGGGAACTCACAACCAACCCTTTGGACTTTCCCAAAGCCCCATGGTGGCTTATTTAGCAGTTGCACTCAATAAACAAGCAGAAAAAACAACGGATTATTACAAAATGTTTTTGATGAATGTGCAGGGTAATGCTCATTCGATGAGAAACAAAGCCAGACTGATTCAGAATATGTGGGATGCTTTGTGTGGGCGCGGGCAGGTGGACACATTCGGTATGGTGGACCAATGAAAACTGAGGTGATGAACCAAAACTTGGACAAAATTTTGACAAAAAAAAAAAAAAAAAAAAAAAAAAAAAAAAAAAAAAAAGTAATTGAAAACTGAATTCAACAAGAACCAGGGTAAACGAAAACCGAGGTTCCACTGTACCACCTTAATCGATGATCAACTGTAACTGATAATTCATATCTTTTCTCTTTGTACTTCCCAGTAATATATGTTTGATCATGCAAATAATGTATTAATAAAAACTGCATAGGCAATCCAGTACCTATCTCTAACTTAACAAAGATATGATTCTAACAGGATGCTCTAAATTCTTTATAGTGTACTTTGTATATTGATTAAAACTGAGTATACAATGATAATTACCCTTCTTGGAGTGCTTGGTGTTGAAGTTGGTAAAGAGGAAACACTTGGGGAATGAGACATATCTTGTGTTAAACTGGAGACAAAAGCACTTGTGTCACTAAGAGAGTCATTTGCACTGCGAATAGCTGATGGAGGACTCCCTGCTGCCCTGTCTCCTCCTGCACCAGCACCTGATACTAATGGTGATATGCCAGTCGCACGTGGTGAGCTGTGCAACGGTGAACTGCTTGCACTTTCTCTGCCACGTCCTAGAATTTTTTAAGATTTGATTATAAAAACTCTAACTAAATTATAAAAATTGTATCTTAACTATAAAAATACTATCTAAATTATAAAAGTTGTAGCATAACTAAGTCTTATCTTTATTATAAAAGTCTTACATGGCTTATAAAAGTTTTATCATAAGCACTAACAGAAAAATAAAAGCACAATCTTAACTAAAATGTTCTACCTGAACCATGAAAGCAGTACAAAAGTAATAAGAACACAAGAACATAAGAAAGAAGGAACACTGCAGCAGGCCTACTGACCCATGCGAAGCAGGTCCATGCCACCCCCCAGCCTAGAACAATGACCACCTAGTCAGGTCACTTCCACAATAAGTTTTATTTTAACTATTTTAACTATAAAGGTTCTATTTTTCATGGAAAATAAAAACTTTATCTAGTAAAGTCCTATCTTCACTGTAAAGGTCCTATTTAAATTTTAAGTTTCACCCACACTTAAAATTCCTACCCTTATTATAAAATTCAGTGAAATAGTCTTGAATTTTTATCCAGAAATATGACATAAAAAACCATTAATATGAATAAACACAAGAAAATATGAACCAAGGATGTGGAACTACTCTCCTATTCCTCAAATCAATTATGATTACTCACTTCTCCCTCCCATTCAGAAGGGACTCTTCTCATTTGTTTGTACTCTCCTATTTGTGGTTGCAGGGGGTGCTAACTTTATTGTTTAATAATTTAGTGAAATAATCTAAGGTTTCAGAGTGGGTAGGGGATGTGTAGATCAAGTGTTTACATTGAGGCATATATGTGAACAGTATTTAGATAAAGGTAGGTTAGTTTTTATTGCATTTATGGATTTAGAAAAGGCATATGATAGAGTGGATAGGGTAGCAATGTGGCAGATGTTGCAAGTATATGGAATAGGTGGTAAGTTACTAAATGCTGTAAAGAGTTTTTATGAGGATAGTGAGGCTCAGGTTAGGGTGTGTAGAAGAGAGGGAGACTACTTCCCAGTAAAAGTAGGTCTTAGACAGGGATGTGTAATGTCGCCATGGTTGTTTAATATATTTATAGATGGGGTTGTAAAAGAAGTAAATGCTAGGGTGTTCGGGAGAAGGGTGGGATTAAATTATGGGGAATCAAATACAGAATGGGAATTGACACAGTTGCTTTTTGCTGATGGTACTGTGCTCATGGGAGATTCTAAAGAAAAATTGCAAAGGTTAGTGGATGAGTTTGGGAGTGTGTGTAAATGTATAAAGTTGAAAGTGAACATAGAAAAGAGTAAGGTGATGAGGGTATCAAATGATTTAGATAAAGAAAAATTGGATATCAAATTGGGGAGGAGGAGTATGGAAGAAGTGAATGTTTTCAGATACTTGGGAGTTGACGTGTCGGCGGATGGATTTATGAAGGATGAGGTTAATCATAGAATTGATGAGAGAAAAAAGGTGAGTGGTGCGTTGAGGTATATGTGGAGACAAAAAACGTTATCTATGGAGGCAAAGAAGTGAATGTATGAAAGTATAGTAGTACCAACACTCTTATTTGGGTGTGAAGTTTGGGTTGTGAATGCAGCAACGAGGAGGCGGTTGGAGGCAGTTAAGATGTCCTGTCTAAGGGCAATGTGTGGTGTAAATATTATGCAGAAAATTCGGAGTGTGCAAATTAGGAGAAGGTGTGGAGTTAATAAAAGTATTAGTCAGAGGGCTGAAGAGGGGTTGTTGAGGTGGTTTGGTCATTTAGAGAGAATGGATCAAAGTAGAATGACATGGAGAGCGTATAAATCTGTAGGGGAAGGAAGGCGGGGTAGGGGTCGTCCTTGAAAAGGTTGGAGGGAGGGGGTAAAGGTTTTGTGGGTGATAGGCTTGGACTTCCAGCAAGCGTCAAGCGTGCGTGAGCATGTTAGATAGGAGTGAATGGCATTTGGGACCTGACGATCTGTTGGAGTGTGAGCAGGGTAATATTTAGTGAAGGGATTCAGGGAAACTGGTTATTTTTATATAGCCGGACTTGAGTCCTGGAAATGGGAAGTACAATGCCTGCACTCTAAAGGAAGGGTTCGGGATATTAGCAGTTTGGAGGGATATGTTGTGTATCTTTATAGGTATATGCTTCTAAGCTGTTGTGTTCTGAGCACCTTTGCAAAAACAGTGATTATGTGTGAGTGTGGTGAAAGTGTTCAATGATGATGAAAGTATTTTCTTTTTGGGGATTTTCTTGCTTTTTTGGGTCACCCTGCATCGGTGGGAGACGGCCGACTTGTTAAAAAAAAAAAAATCTAAGTTTTCTTCTGAGAAAATAAAGCTTCACGCTAGTAAATAAATCAGGGAGTGAGTGAGGCTTAAACCATGGCAACTGAGTCCTAACACTCAGAGACCAGTGCGTTAACCACCAGTCTGTGAGCTTTAGGACTCGCTTGCCGTCGGTTCAAACCCCACCTATTCAATGATTTGTTTGCAACTGTGTTATTGTGATTTTGCGAGACTTCATGCTAGTACTGTGTAATAACATAAATCACACCTGGAATGGGCACTGGACTGGAAGATCTTGATATCTGACGTGGAGATGTTCCGGATCCTTGAATAACCCCAGCACTTCCAGAGGACCCAACTCCAATTGCTCTTGGACTAGAGGAGCGTGACAATCGCTTTGGTGTTGCAGGTGGAGTGCGAGGTGGAGTAGCTCCATTTCCATTAGCACGAGACTCGCCAATAGCTTTGACTAATTCTTTCACAGACACACCTTGTAGTTCAGGAGGAACATCACGTGACAAGCTGAAAATATACGTTATAATTAAAGTACATAGTGTAATATTATTAAGGTAAAACAAACTCACTATGTTACAAGATAAAAAATATAACTAATTAAACCTTTATGTATGTCTTACCTTACGGCCAACTGCTGTGATTGCTTTTTCTCTATTTTTTTATCATATGTCTGAGTGTGCTGTTGGGTATGCTGCACTTGAGGGTGTTGTAGAACTTGCATCTGTGGTGGTTGCGGTTGTTGTTGCTGTTGTGCTTGCTGCTGCTGCTGAACAAGAGGAGCATGAGGAGGATTGTGCTTATGCTGCTCTTCCTTAAGCCATCGATGAAGAACGGAGAATTTCCCTGGATGTTGTGACGAATCCTTGCGGAACACAAATTTACCATCATAAATGAACAGATTTTTCTTTAATAACAAACGAAAATTAAGGATATGCAATACAAACTGCCACTGCTACAAAAAAAAAAAAAACATTGCTTATACAGTACGTATTTAATATAAAACTAAGTATTCCCAGCCATAGGTATAGACCTTTCTGGGTCAGAGAGCACTGTGTTATATTGTTCTAGGGGTAGAAGAGGGTCAGAGAGAGAGCACTGTGTTATACCGTACTAGGGGTAGAAGAGCATTCTGGGAGTCAGAGTGAACAGTCAACAGCAGTCCACTATGGTCAACAATCAACACAAGAATGGTGAGAATAATATTACACTATTGGTAGCTGGGCACAACATGAATCCACAGCAAGTGTAATAAACAACACCCTTATTACTCTTCCTTCAACCCATTGGTAAAAACCTTATTCACTGACACATCAACTGATTGGGCATGAGGAAATATCTCAAGATCATTATCGGTGCCTACAATGATGGACCTCAAGAATTAAAAAGGGGAATATTGACAAGGAGAAAAACCCATGTACCAGATTGTAGTGACATTCAGGTAAGAACCCAGAAAAACAGGTCACAACCCAGAAGATCAGGTCACAACTCAAAAGAGAAGGTCATAACCCAGAAGAGCAGGTCATAACTTGGAAGAGAAGGTCAAAACCCAAAAAAGCAAGTTATTTCTGTTCATGAAAGGGCACAGAGAACTGTAATTGCCCAGCCAGAGGAACCTTGGGCCTTGCCACAAAAACAAGCACAGTATAAGTCAGACTGCCCAATACAGCTTCTTGCTGCATATACCAGGGAAATATCTCTAGGAAAAAAAAAACAAGAGGCTCCTCAGCAGAGATTCAGAATACTTTGGTGCAGTCATAATAATGGGTATGGCCAAATAATGAACATACAGAAACCAAACTGCGCTGAAGAGAAGCTAATGTTCAACTCCAGACACCAAATTGCAGCCTAATAGGAGTCACAGCCTGGCTTGCAAAGAACCTGAGCCACAATCTGCAATTAACTTTGAAGGAGTATATCACCAGTTCAAATAAAATTACAGAGTAAAAGAAAGGACATTTATTGAGATGGTTTCTTCATAATATCCAGTACAGCGCACAACACTAAGCTAGCATTATCCTTTCTCTGTTAACTTAGATCTGCTAAGTGTGTGAGGTCAGCTGGTTCGGATGCTTATATTTTAAATACGTACTAGGTATGCAAATGAGCAAGTAGTATTTAATTATTTTCAACCCATATATGAGAAAATGTTTGAAACTGGTAAGAAATATAGTATTGAATTTTAAACATTTGAACTCAAAACAAATGTGACATATTTTACCTGTTGCTGTTTCATTGTAATACCAGTAGCCTCGGATTCATCCGTTATAGTGTTTGCATCAACAAACTGAAGAGAGGATTTCTGTGGACTGCTAGAGTCTCCCCCTGTAACAGGCATTTGAATGCCAGCACTGCTGCTTCCATCCCCTCGTCCTCTAGCTAGAAATAAATAAAACTGGAATTAAAAACATTATGCAACCAAGGCTACCAAAGAAATCTTAAGGTATTTCCCTATGGGAATACTTTGTAAGACTACTACTAATAATAATTTTCTAACACATTAGCTATTTCCCACCAAAGACACAACACATTTACCATCACTCATTCTTTGTTGTTCCATAAGTGTGTGATCATCACAATTTAAATGACACTGAATTGAAAATTGTCCCACTCTTCCTTCAGAATACAAGCACTGTACCTCCCACCTCCAGAACTTAGTAATGGAATACACATAATCATGAAAACTCCTCTTTCTTAAGATGGAAGCCACATTCAGAATCTACTCAGGACATTTTATTATGAAACCTTTTGAATATACACCCAAAATATGTTGAGAAATTTCACATAATTGTTTGGTGACCACTTCATGAAGCACCAAGCCATATGCAAATTAAAAATCAGAATATAAAAAGGAACATAAAATCACATCAGAGTAAAGAACTACGGAAAGTCAACGAAAGGGAAAACATGCATTGCACTGGCAGTGTGGAGATGACAATGGAGTCAGTAACTAGGTGGCATTGTACTGAAAGAATCTAACCAATGAAAAAAATAAGCAGGTCACCAACTTGTGAATGAGTTGCAGCCCTGGTGTTTCAATTAACAAATGAGTTGATTGTATAGAAAACAGTACAAAATAAAAAAAAGATCATGTTTCAAACATGCTTGTACATTGGAAGTTATAAACATATAGTTGGTTTTTAAGTGTCCCATTCATAAGTGCAGATGTTTGTAACGTGGGACATTTCTAAGATGGGATGTCCAGTGTCACTAAGACTTGTGCACGAAATGCTTCTATGGGCTACGGGCTGACAATCCATTAAAGCTTTAAATTATTTTCTAAAATGAATGAAATGCAAATATACATACTTAATGCACCAAAGACAAAGGGGTCACCACTGACAGCAGGTTGTTGGAATGGTCGAAACACAGGGCTAGTTTGAGCATGGGTGAAGTCAAATCCCTGATGACCAGCCACATTATTTGTATCTGGAAACATACTATATATAAATATATCATATCTACAATCAATTAATCACTTAGACTATTATCCTCATTCCGCTCTTTCTCTGTTCCTGTGTCAGTCTCTAAAACTATATTTCTCTGTTTCTCTCTCTTCTGTCTACATGTTTCTCTCTCTTTTCAGCATGTCTACCTGTTCATATTTATATAATTGAAGATTTATTAAATTAGTAGTAGTTCTTCTTCTTTCTTCTTCTTCTTTCAACAAACTGGCCGTATCCCGAATCTTTTTCTAAAAACACAAAATTTGAGGCAAGCACAAAGTTGGAGGATGAGAGCACTTTATACATTAGCGATTTTACCCACTTTGAGGCCTATTTTATACTAATTCCAGTGCTCAAACACATCTAGTTTCTGGCTCAAAATAAATTTTTAAACATTTTCTATTTTTCTCCAAGTCACTATTTTGTTTCACTTTAAGTTAGGTTGTTTATTTAGTTTAGGTTAGGGTAGGTTACATAAATCTACAAAACATGTACATTTAACCCTTTGAGGGTCCAAGCTGTAGATCTATGCATTATGCACAGGTCCAAGAATTTTCAATTAAAAAAAAAATATATATATATTTTTTATGAAATGGTAGAGAATCTTTTCCTGAAGGAAATAAAACAAAAAGTATGAAATTTGGTGGAAAACTGACGAAATTACACTATTGTGAATTTTACTGTCAGTGATACTTACACATCTGCGACTTTGCCCATTTTGACTCCTATTTTAGGCCAATTACATTATTCCAGTCGACCAAATTCTCAGCTATTTCATTAGTATTACTTTTATTTTATCGACTGAGCACAAGAAACTGCCCAATCAACTATTTCAACTAACCAATAAAGTGATCAGAAATTGGTAATTTTGCCAATTTTACACAGTTTAAAATATTTCAATTTAAAAACAGCATCCAGAATAAACAATGCAGGCATTCCTGGCACTAAAATAACATTTCCTCTGTTTATTAATTACATTTTCAGGTTTTACAGATGAATTCCATTTTGATTTTTTATTTACATAAAGAATTTTTATTCACACCAAAAAATAGATGAATTACTCTTATGCAATATTGTAATAATTGTATAACAACTGTCAGTGCATTTGCAAACATATATTAGACCCACCAGTTGAAGTGTATTTTACTTGTGATGTGATTTGTTTACTCTTGAAAATCAGCAAAAATCAAATATTTCTGCTACTTTGAGCTCAATTACAAGCTATTTTCAATATTAAAACCAATCAATATCATCTCTATTTCTGTAGTATGTCTTCCATTTTATCAAATGAGACCAAGAAACTGCGATACAACTGTTAAAACCACATGAAAATACACAGCAAATTTGCTGTTTTAATCCAAACACAGTTGCAGTTTTTTTTTCATTATGCACTGGGTGCTTCAGGATTTACTTTACATGGTGCACACTTACCACATAGATGCATTCTCTCATATCTAGGCCCAAATTTACCAATCACAGCTTATCTGAGTGAGCTGAGCTCATGGCGTAGATCTACGGTTTGGACCCTGTGGACAATGCATAGATCTATGGCTTGGACCCTCAAAGAGTTAATCACAAACAAGCAAATCAAAGGTGGCTGAGGGAAAAACCATAAAACATTCAAATTCAAAAATTTACTTCTCTTTGTGTGAGAATGGGCTGAATATATGTTATTTTAAAAAGATAGTACCCCTTTTCTATGAGGCTTCAGATAATTTATATTTAGAAATGCATTTACATATAATAGGTAACACAGGTAATTACACAAACCTAGTTGCATTATACATAAATAACACAAAAAGACATTTTAATACAAACCTGCAGACTGAAACATTTAAATTTTTTATTTAGCATTAACCTTTTCATGGTTTCTGACATACTAGTACGTCTTACGCACCAGTGTTAGTGACGCACTAGTACGCGTAAATTCTAGCGCCCTCAAATCAAGCAAGAAAAGGCTGGTAGGCCTAGATGTGAAAGAAGGGGTCTGCGTGGTCAGTGTGCGCAGTATAAAAACAATCCTGCAGCACACAATGCCTAATGAGGAAAAAAAACTCTGACAGTGTTTTTGGTTTAAAACAGCAACTTTGCAGTTTATTTTAATATGGTATTTATGGTTGTATTCTCCTTTTCTGATCTCATTTGATAGAATGGAAGATATGTTACAGAAACAGAGATAATTTGGTTGGTTTCACGATGACAAGTACCTTGAAACTGAGCGCAAAGTAGTGAAAATGTTTGATTTTTGCGATGTTCAAGAGTAAACAAATCACGTCACGCGTCCAATGCACGTCAACTAGCGAGTCTAATATTCTTGCACAAGTCCGCTGATATTATTTATACCATTTTTACAATGATGCAGTAGTATACATAACAGTAAATCTTTAGTTTTTGTGAGAATAAAAAATTCAAAATGGAAAGTGAAAGTAATGTAAAAGGGGCCTGGAGACGTGACTAATGAACAGATAAAATGTTATTTTAGTGTCAGGATTTATGAAGTAGTACTTGTTTATTCTAGACCCTATTTTGAAATTGGCATCTTTTGAAATTTGTATGAAATTGGCCAAATTGCCAATTTCTGATCACTTTATTGGGTAGTTGAAATTGGTAAATGGATTGAAACATTGGAATTGGCCAAATATAGGGCTCACAGTGAAAGAAATCGTCGATGAGTAAATATCGTCGAGACCACTAACTTCGCGAGAGCATAATTCCCTAAGTTTTCCATCAAATTTCATACTTTTGGTGTCATTATGATTGGAAAAAGATTCTCTATCATCTCATAAAAAATATTTTTTTTTTTAAATTTTTCGACCCTGAGAGTGAGTTAAGAACTGGGGGTCTTGACCCTGAAAGGGTTAACATTCAATTGTCAAAGAGAACATGCCATTACATGGAAGTTAACATAAATACCATAAAAACATCAAAAGCAAGGCCTAAACAGTTTATTTCCATGTATAAAATTAACATCGAAAAGTTTTTGTTTATTAATACAGGATGGAGAACTACTTACCAGGCATGGATGACAAGTAGGGATGACTGTGGCTATGAGAACGTTGAAGGTAAAGTGTATGACCTCGAGACATAGCAAGAGACCAAGCCTCCCCGTCAGTGAAGCAATATTTGCGTGTGCTCTCAGAATCCAAGCGAACCCATGTGCCTTGATTGTAGGATAGAGGGACAACCACAATTTGAAAAAGAAATGTGTAATTAATTCCTGAAGGATAACAAAAATTGACATTATTCTCTACAAAATGCTGTACCTGCTATTGACATACAAAGATTATTAAGCTTAGCCATAAATCCAATTCACAAGGAAGTCTCTTCCTCCTTTATTCAATTATTTTATTTTATAGAAAAGATCATTTTACAGTCTCAGAAAATGGTCTGCAATTCTACTCTTTAAAATTTGCATTATATTTTACTAACCTGTAAATTACTATTAGCTTCAAGCTGACATTAGCCATAAATCAAATGGTACCCCTTGTCAAAAAAATATAGTTTATTTTAAGTTTTTAGGAATTACATAAAGTTCTTCACAACTCAATTGGCCTTTTTCAGTTGTTCTTAAATATAATTAGGTTAGACTTCTTCAGTTTTATTTAAATAGTTACCTAAGGCAGGTATTTTCATTTTGTTTAAATATGGTTAAAAATAATTTTCTATTTAAATATTTAACCCTTAAACTGTCCAAACGTGGATCTACGTTCACTCGCGTAGCGCTCTAAACGTAGATCTACATTTTATTTTTCCTGCCTCCAAATTTGGTATGACTGGCCTGAGATGCCTCGTCAGTACAGAATGGGTCTCAACACTCGGTGTGCACAGTATTAAAAAAAATCTGGGACTGCTTAGTATCTTGTGGGAGCAAGAGTTCAAATGAGCACCAGCTAGAGCAAATAGCATGGCAAACACCAGGGATTCAGTGATATCATGTCGTATTAACACTACCCTTTTAAGAGGAAAGCAATGTTGACCCAGAGTTTAGTGACTTTGAGATGAATGTGGCCACAAGTGGTCGAGAAAATATCAAAAACCTCAATAGTAACCCATGTGCAACATTTGTGCAGCACCCTTTCATTTCTGATACCATTGGTAGTGTCATCCTGTCAGAATGTCATACGTATTTGGCAGGCTGGCCGGCTGGCTGGATGGCTGGGTGGGTGGCTGGCTGGGTGGCTGACTTTGGCTCTCTCTGTGTCTGTGTCTGTGTCTCTGTCCATATCTCTGTCTGTCTCTCACAGGTACACATAAGCACAGTTATTATACATAGTATAAATTACCTAGGATAACCCAAAAATTCCAGGCAGAGTGCTATACAGTGCTTGTAGATATAAGGCATAATATGCATGATGCAAGTAATTTGCATTTTCACTTGCTCAGGAAATCAGGGAGCGGCTCGTAAACCAACAGGTTTACAAGCCGCTGCCTGAGACAGAGACAAGCAGACAAAGACGCACATACAGGCAGATAGAAAGACAGATGAGCAGAGCTAGACAGATAGATATACACACAGACAGATATGTTTGTGTTTAACAGTGAAAACAAATAAAGCAAGGGCTCCCTGCAGCAGTGCTTTATCATCAATTGTCACTCTACTTCTTACCCTGTCAGCAGTTTAGTGACTTGTTATAAACACCCTATTTCAAGAAGTTTCATATATATTCTAGCATGTCTAAAACATGCTGGAATATATACTTTGTATATATTTCTAGACAGGTGAAAATGTTCACCTGTCAGTGTGATTGTGACTGAGTACTATTTCAGTACCTAATATTAGTGTTAGAACAAAGATTGGCTATGAAATCACAAGAACTATTATAAATTGTAATTATCAGACTATAAAATTAAAATAAATTAAAATAAAAATGAGAAAAAAAAAGGTATATTGGCAACACTTCTGCAAGCGGCAGGACTCGATGTTCCCATCAGGTGAGCCTCCAGCGCCTACTTCGCGGTCTTATATCTCGGTAAGTACTGGTCCTAAAATTTTTTTTTTTGGTCTTATAACATACAAAATTGCCCTCTTTAATTAACCCTTTGAGGGTTTTGGACGTACTAGTACGGCTTATGCGCAGGGTTTTTTGACGTACTAGTATGCATAAATTCTAGCGCCGTCAAATCTCGTGGGAAAAGGCTGATAGGCCTAGATGTGAGAGAATGGGTCTGTGTGGTCGGTGTGCGTGGTAGAAAAAAATCTGGGACCCAGTGGTGCATTGTGGGAATGCCATCTTAGTAAACAATGTCCACCATGCCTCGCGGTAAGAAGCTCCTCACTCCTCGGCAAATTGGGACACTTCTGCTCCCCAGTGACAGTTCTAATACAGATGGAAGTGCCAGTGAAGATGAGTTTCAAGGTTTTGGTGAGGTTTTGACCGAAACTAATGATCATAATATCGGTAATAGTGAGGATAACCCAGACGACCCTCAGCCTTCCACCTCTGGTGCTGGGCCATCTTGCTCACGTTCAGTTGTACCAGAATCCAAGAGGAAACTTCTATTTTCCCAAATCCCAGACTCAGATGAGAGCATGTGTGATGATAGTGATAGTGAATATGAACTACAAGCTCTTCAAACTAGTTCCAGTAGTGATAGTGAAGTGCAATATTCCCCAGTGAAGCGTCAGTATATACGACGATATATGCGCTCTGGTAGTGTGCCATATGCTATTCCAATTGGAAGGAGTGCATCTCGGAGTACATCCCGTGGCTGTACAACAGGAACAGACAGTGAAAATGACGATGATACTGTTGCAATTGGGATGGAAAAAAGTGCGTGGTGGAGTGGTGCTGGCGGTGAGGCACCAGCAGTGGGCCATGCTGCCACCCACGCTGCTGCCTCAGCTGATCTACAACAAAGGCCACCATCCCCCACCCACCCACCACACCAGCCTCCACAACCACATCCTCCACAACCACAACCACCTGTCATTGTCCAGTACCCACCAGCAGACTGCACCTGGGATTGGCAGGAAGCTGTCAATTTTGTTCCAAATCCCCACCAGTTTGATGACAGCCAAAGTGAAATACGGCCATCTTGTACACTTGGGAACAATGCCACTGAACTGGAATGTTTCGAGTTATTCTTTGACGAACCCCTGATGGAAAGTATTGTCATGGAAAGCAACACATACTACGAGTACACCATGGCAAACACATTACTTTCACCAAAATCACGTCTACACCAGTGGAAAGAGGCAACTGTGGCTGAGATGTATCTTTTCTTTGCCACAATAATGCTTATGCCACATGTGTATAAGCACAAAGTGAAATCATACTGGTGAACAGACCGCCTGATTGTAACCCCAGGTTTCAGTGATACAATGCCAGTGAATCGATTTGTGCTAATGTTATGTATGCTTCACTTCTCAGACAAAACCAGGCCTGACAGAACTGACAGGTTATATAAGATTAGGAATGTGTTTGTGTATCTGAAAGAAAAATTCAGTATGCATTTTTATCCCTTCAGGAAGCTTGTAATTGACGAGTCTTTGATTCTGTTCAAAGACTCTCTTTCAAGCAGTACATACCAAGCAAGAGGAAACGCTTTGGTATAAAGTTGTTTGTGCTTTGTGATTGTTACAGTGGTCTGGTATTGGATATTGTTGTGTACACTGGAAGTTATACATTGCAAAATGCCAGGAAGTTATTGGGCATCTCAGGTGATGTGGTTAGAACAATGATAGAACCAAACCTTGGTAAGGGGCATATATTATATACAGATAACTGGTACACAAGCCCCTCACTCAGTGATTTTTTGCAAGTGAACATGACAGATATGTGTGGCACAGTGCGTGCAAATCGGAAACATATTCCCAGGTTTGACGCTGGCACTCGTAGAGGTGAGGTGCAGGCGTTTGCTGCCAATGACATCATGGCATTTCGGTGGCATGACAAACGAGATGTCACACTGTTGTCATCAGTTCACCCTAATGAAATGGCAGACAGTGGCAGGCAGCATAGAGAGAGCAATGAACCCATTCTAAAGCCTGCAGCTGTGATTGATTACACCTTCAACATGCGTTCAGTGGACAAATGTGACATGCAGATTGGGTTTGCTGATTGTGTTCGCAAGAGTTATAAGCGGTACATCAAACTGTTTTTCCATCTTCTGGACATTTCCATGCTCAATGCTTATAATATGTATAAGATGAGCACCAGAAACAAACCACAGTACAGTGGACCCCCGCATAACGATGGCATCACATAGCGATTTTTCCGCATACCGATTACTTTTATCGCAAAATTTTTGCCGCGCATACCGATTAAAAACCCGCTTACCGATTTTCGTCCGAGACGCGTCCAATGTGCCCTCAGCCAGCCTCACATGTGCCGGCCGTCCCATTGTTTACCAGCCAGCCTCCGCGGTAACATCCAAGCATACACTCGGAATATTTCGTATTATTACAGTGTTTTCGGTGCTGTTTCTGGAAAATAAGTGACCATGGGCCCCAAGAAAGCTTCTAGTGCCAACCCTGTGGTAAAAAGGGTGAGAATTAGTATGGAAATTAAGAAAGATTTTGAAGGGTTTGGGGCTAACCCTGAGAAGCCTATGCCAGTTGTGGAATCCATTGTGCCTACTTCAAAGATTAAGGAAATGTGTGCACAGTGGGTTGAACTGCAAACCTTTATAGATGAAAATCACCCTGACACAGCTGTTGCAAGCCGTGCTGGTGACTATTTCAATGACAATGTTGTGGCCCATTTTAGACAAATCGTAAAGGAACGGGAGGTACAGAGCTCTATGGACAGATTTGTTGTGCGACAGAGGTCCAGTGACTCTCAAGCTGGTCCTAGTGGCATTAAAAGAAGAAGGGAAGTAACCCGGAAAGGACTTGCTACCTCAAGTCGTAATGGAAGGGGATTCCCCTTCTAAACAGTAAGAAGATAATGCTCTCCCCCCCTCCCATCCCATCAATCATCACCAGATCTTCAAAAAAGTAAGTGTCATTTAATTGTGCATGCCTTTTTCAGTTTGTGTGTATTAAAATTAACATTTCATGTGGTAAAAAAAATTTTTTTTCATACTTTTGGGCGTCTTGCACGGATTAATTTGATTTCCATTATTTTTTATGGGGAAAATTCATTCGCATAACGATTATTTCGCATAACGATGAGCCCTCTTGCACGGATTAAAATCGTTAACCGGGGGTCCACTGTATGGCGAATTCTGTTTGTCTGTCATCAGACAAATAGTATTCAAGTACCAAGGAACAGCACCTGCAATTGACCGCCCACCAAATTATCAACAACTACCTGCTCGTCTGAAGCATGGTGATCACTTCCTGGTAAAAGTGCCTGCTACTGCTTTCAAGAAAAAGGCTCAGAAGAGATTTTACGTCTGTGCACATACAAAAAAACGCCCACAACAATGCAGAGACACTCGTTTTATGTGTGAGGAATGTAAAACACCACTGTGCATGACACCATGTTTCAAAGACTTCCACAGGCTGCAGAACTTCTAGAAACATTCCCTGTGACTGTATATGTGTATATAAAATATAGAAAAATAGTAATAAACAACATTTCATTCGTTTGTTTGTGAAATATTTTCTATAAACAAAATAATTGACAACAGTGTTTACGTCCTTATTGTGTAGTACTGAAAAAGAAATAACTTACAAAATAATGATCATGTTGGCCTCAAAGGCCATAAAAGTTACTCAGAAAAAGAAAAATTAAAAAATAATTGAAAATAGTACATTAAAAAAGTAAATAGAAAAATACCGGTGATGGAGTCGGGGATGTTACCAGATGTTGTTCAATTTTGGCAAACTTCACGCCTCCATATCTCGGTAAGTATTGACGGTAAAAATTTTTTTGTTTAGCCTATAATGTTTAGAAAAAAAAACTCTAGTTTTTCATAAGAAAAAATAATTTTTTTTTTTTTTGAAATTTGGCCGACCCTGAGAACGAGTTTCTGAGAGGGCCTGTCGACCCTCAAAGGGTTAAAAAAAAAAAAAAATTCAAAATATTCAGAGCACTGTGCAACAGTGTGGACAGTTTAAGGGTTAAGAGGTACAGTCACCAGTATTACAATGGTAGTCACCAGCATCACACTGGTACACAGTTACTAGGATGAACATGATACATTATATAAGCAGTGTGAGTAAATTATTTTGCGATTTTTATCGAAGTAGAAAATGTCGTAGATGAAAATGCGTCTGAATTTATGGGTTTCTTTGTGTGACAGAAGTTTTGGGAAATATGTGCATTAAGAGGGGAGATGTCTAGTAGGCATATTTAAGACTTGAACTCTAGCTCAATTAGCTCCAGCAAGGAGTGGCAGCTGGCTAGCTAGTTGTGGGACATCATGCATAGCCACTTAGACTATACTTAAAAACACATGACAGTTTTGCCCATTCTAATGAATGGGACAAGAAGTTAATTAAAAGCTTCGGATTTCATACCTATAAGACATTTTTTATATATAAAAAAAAAAAACTTACCATCTGCATTTTTAGCATCACAATCTGCTGAAATAACATTTCCCAGAACAAGCATTCCAACTGGTGGTGCTTTCAGATTTGGCTGGCTTCGAATGTTATGCCCTGAAGCTCCACATTTTACGACAGTGTACATTCCTGCACCACCACTTGCACCCTCAGCACCATCAGCACCTAATGAGGTTTCCCGACGAGGGCTTCCATCACGGCGTCGACTTATAGTGTCAGTGATCACCTGAAGCACAAAAATAAATAAAGTATTGTATTAAAAAAAAGAAAAGAGGTTCACAACACATTCACTAGTGGAGTGTTGAGGTATCTGTGGAAAAAAAAGAATATATCAATTGGGGAAAAAAAAAAAAAAGGAAAATGTACTAGATAATAGTGGTGCCAATCCTTTTACATAGGTGTGAGGCATGATCTTTAAATGTTGCAGTGAGGAGTAAACAGAGAATAAGAATAGAAATCAGGCAATGAGAGGTTGGGTATTAGACTAGAGGGAAGGAATATGAAGGAAGTTAGTATGTTCAGATATTTGGGAGTGGACCATAAGAGATGAGGTGAACCATAAAACTGACAAAAGTAAAAAGAATGTGGGTGGTTTACCTAAGCATCTGTAGAGGCAAATATGGAAAGGTATCAGAGTATAGTGGTGCCAACACTATTGTTTGGGTGTGAAGCATGGGCCTTGAATGTTGCGGTGAGGAGGAAGCCTATTGTAGCAGAGACCTCATATCTGAGGTTAAAGTGTGAAGTGAATGTTATGCAGAGAATTCAGAATTTGGAGATTAGAAAGAGGTATAGAGTCACCAAAAGTATTAATCAGAGGGTTGAGGAAGGGTTGTTGAGGTTGTTTCGACATTTAGAGAGGAAGGAGAAAAACAGGATGACTAGGGTGTATAAATTTAGGGTGGAGGGAAGGAAGGGTAGGGGTCTTTCTAAAGTTGGAAGGAGCAGTTAAAGAGGTCTTGAGTGCTAGGGGCTTGGGCATGCAGCAGGCATGTCCAAGCCCCTAGCAAGAGGTTTTTATGATTTGATGTGCTATTGGAGTGTAAGCAAGGAAACATTTATGAAGAGATTCTGGGAAACTGGTTAGCCAGATTTAAGTCCTGAAAATAGGAAGCACAATGGGTGGGGATATTTGCAGTTTTGAACTGTAGTATCAGCACACCTCTGGCAAGACAGTGATGGAGTGAGTGATGGTGAAAGCATTTCTTTTTTTTTGGGGGGTCATCCTGCCTTGGTGGGAAATGACCGGTGTGTTAAAAAAAATAATAATAATAATAATGCTATTGTATACTGTACATAAACCTGTGTGTGTTTCATTCAGAAGCTAAAATGTTTCAATGGAACTAAGAGTACCTGGTCTAGAATAGTTTTAGGATGATCTAGTGGTACTAGAAGTGTCTTGCCCAAATGCTGATTGTACTGCAGACACCAAGCTTCGGAATATCCATTAGTGCAATACTGGCGTATACTTTCTGGGCTCAATCGTAACCAAACACCATCACTATTGTGGACCTGTAGAAGAAATTAAAATAATCAATTTTAGCTTATCTCGTTTACTAATACAGTACCAAGATAAATGTATTTTATTAAGCATTTAAATAACTATGACAGTCATCTCCATAAAAGAACAATCTACCTATAATGAGCCTTAATTACTCAGTGAATGGCTTCAAAATAAAGTCCATCACCTGACTCTTTCTTCTTTTTCAGTAATGTATTGTCCTAATCCAATGTTTAGTTTTATGGGTATAACCTACCAAGTAACATTTGATTTTCTTGACAAATAAAGTAAAATTTGAGACTAAGCTCATTAATTTCTTTCCTAGTTTGTGTGTGTTATAGTTAGCATCTTTCCATGTTTCACTGAGTTGTATGAAGGTTTTTGCCTCTTTTATTACATCCAGTTTCCATACTTCATATCTTCCACTTATCAAGGGAGGAACACACTGGTCAAATTAATGAAGTTTCAGCTATAAGGAAGCTTATATTTGAATAAATAAGGAGCTTCCTGAAGACACTTTAACCCATTTTTGCCGTCTGCTTATGAATTACAGTTGACTATCACATTTACTTCATAAAACTGAGATGCTTGAATGTGCGTGTATGTAGTGCGGATGATAAGAAAGAGATGATTGGATATCAGGCTGGAGGGAGAGAGTATGGAGGAGGTGAATGTATTCAGATATTTAGGAGTGGATGCGTCAGCAGATGGGTCTATGAAAGATGAGGTGAATCATAGAATTGACAAGGAGAAAAAGGTGAGTGGTGCACTGAGCAGTCTGTGGAGACAAAGAACTTTATCCATGGAAGCAAAGAGGGGAATGTATGAGAGTATAGTTACACCAATGCTCTTATATGGGTGTGAAGCATGGGTGGTGAATGCTGCAACAAGGAGAAGGCTGGAGGGAATGGAGATGTCGTGTCTGAGGGCAATGGTGTGAATATAACACAGAGAATTCATAGTTTGGAAATTAGGAGGGGTGCAGGATTACCAAAACTATTATCCAGAGGACTGAAGAGGGGCTGCTGAGGTGGTTCGGACATGCAGAGAAGATGGAACAAAACAGAATGACTTCTAGAGTGTATAAATCTGTAGTGGAGGGAAGGTGGGGTAGGGGTCGGCCTAGGAAAGGTAGGAGGGAGGGGGGTAAAGGAGGTTTTGTGTGCAAGGGGCTTGGACTTTCAGCAAGCATGTGTGAGCCTGTTAGATAGGAGTGAATGGAGACAAATGGTTTTTAGGACTTGATGTGTTGTTGGAGTGTGAGAAGGGCAATTTTTATGAAAGAATTCAGGGAAACTGGAAGGCCAGACTTGAGTCCTGGAGATGGGAAGTACAGTGCCTGCACTCTGAAGGAGGGGTGTTAATGCTGCAGTTTTATAACTGTAGTGTAAGCACGCATCTGGCAAGACAGTGATGGAGTGAATGATGTGAAAGTTTTTCTTTTTCGGGCCACCCTACCTTGGTGGGAAACGGCCGATGTGTTAATAAAAAAAAATAAATACCACATTTACATGCATATATATTTCTAGCAAGCATGTGTGAGCATGATAGATAGGAGTGAATGGAGGCACATGGTTTTTGGGAACAGAATAGCTGTTGGAGTGTGAATAGGGTAATATTTTGTGAAGGGATTCAGGGAAACCGGTTAGCTGGACTTGAGTCATGGAAATGGGAAGTACAATGCCTGCACTTTAAAGGAGGGGCTTGGGATATTGGCAGTTTGGAAGAACTTCTAAACTGTCTTATCTGAGCGCCTCTGCAAAGACAGTGATTATGTATGAGTAAGGTGAAAGTGTTGAATGATGATGAAAATATTTTCTTTTTTGGGGATTTTCTTTCTTTTTGGGTCACCCTGCTTCGGTGGGAGACGACCAACATGTTGAAAAAAAAAATATATATATACATACATACCTCATCTACAAATGCAATAGTCCCATTAACATGAACAATGCCAATTTGTTCGCTCTGAAGAGATGGATGAGTTCGAATACGCAAACCAGCACTATTTTGTAGCACAAATTTACGGAGACGAGAGGGCTGCTGTGAGGATCTTCGTATGGTGCTTTGCACAGGAGGAGTAACACCTTGGGGAGGTTCCTTGACCTCCATTTTATATGTCTGCAAATTAAAAGATACCCATAAAATACTAAAACACTAAAGAAAATTAAAATTTCCTGTTTGAAAAAATTATGCTGAGCAATAAAAGTTATAAATAATTAATTTTCTTATTACAATACCTTCCATACATTTACAGCAAAATTAAAATGTACAACAAATGTTATGTTATTTACTGCCTCACAGAATAGATACATTGAGAGGTATAGTATGTAGTATATAGCTTTATGATTATATATGGAGAGTTTACTTTAATCTTATATTCAGGATTAAAGTAGAGTATTTTGATGTTATTATACAGGTGAATTGCAGTCTTTAGAAGTTACATTTAGTACAGTCAATAGGCTTTATACCTAACAGACGTAACTCTTTTCTAAGACATGTCTTAAGGCACAAGCAGTTTCATAAAATATGGTGTATAACTTTGAATATGGAGACAGTAAGAAAAGCTAATTGCTTAACTTTACACTGCCCTTCAGGCAGTTATACTAAGAAGGAAGTTAAAAGCAGTATATAGTATGCACAGATGGGCTTAGCAGTAAAGGTTAATGTTTAGAGGAGTCTGCCTGAAAGGTGTTTAGCACAACCATTTTTTCAGAATCTCTCCTTAAAGGACAATAGGCATACAAAAACTTCCTTTAAATGTATACAAAGTGCTGTATATAAAAGTAAACATCAGCAGCTAAATTCTAAGCTCTTACTGAAGTAAAATAAAAACAAACACTTGCCTCCTCTAGTTGGTAGCCATCAATTGTAACATGCAAAGAGTACCATCCAGTTGCTCCAGGTGTCCAATTACATGAATATGTTCCATCATTGTTACTTCGCACAAGCATATTTTCTGTTGGACGACGGATGGCAGGTGACATATAGCGAAGTTCTTCGAAAGAGTAATTATCATACGCCTGGTCAAGTAACAAGAAATCATAAATAAAAATATAGCAGAAAGAATATGAATATGATTTATATCACATGTATCAAGATTGTTTTCATTATAAATTACGAAGAAAATATAGTAAAAATGCAGCAGTTACAGCAAATATGCAAAGCAAATATGATTATTATCTCAAGCATTACCTGAAAAAGTAAACCTGTGAGAATTCAAAATATGATACGTTATTTTTACATAAAAACTACGTTTTCTAAAGTAAAATTCAAGTATGACATACTATTATTGAACATTTAGAACTAATACACTGGTATAAAACCATTCATAAATAGAGCATAAATACTCTAGTTACTTTGTTGAGCATAGTACTGTACTCTAAACAATTTATCTGACCTTGATCATAGTGATTGCACAGTAGCACATCTTGTCTTTAATGGACACCTGATATGGTACATCCAAGGAGGGCTGAGGGTGCCCACCAAATGTCATATTATCAGGCACATGCTGACTTATTCTTCTTAATTTGCCTTGATTTCCTTCCTCACCTGTGTTTACAGGAACTGCTACAACTTCCACCTGTTGTAAAAATGTGCTACTTAAGGCATTTTCAGAAATGAACTCTAGTTATTTATTATTTATTTATTTATTAACACACTGGCCGATTCCCACCAAGGCAGGGTGGCCCGAAAAAGAAAAACGTTCACCATCATTCACTCCATCACTGTCTTGCCAGAAGGGTGCTTTACACTACAGTTTTTAAACTGCAACATTAACACCTCTCCTTCAGAGTGCAGGCACTGTACTTCCCATTTCCAGGACTCAAGTCCGGCCTGCCAGTTTCCCTGAACCCCTTCATAAATGTTACTTTGCTCACACTCCAACAGCACGTCAAGTATTAAAAACCATTTGTCTCCATTCACTCTTATCAAACACGCTCACACATGCCTGCTGGAAGTCCAAGCCCCTCACACACAAAACCTCCTTTACCCCATCCCTCCAACCTTTCCTAGGCCGACCCCTACCCTGCCTTCCTTCCACTACAGACTGATACACTCTTGAAGTCAATCTGTTTTGCTCCATTCTCTCTACATGCCCGAACCACCTCAACAACCCTTCCTCAGCCCTCTGGGCAACAGTTTTGGTAATCCCGCACCTCCTCCTAACTTCCAAACTACGAATTCTTTGCATTATATTCACACCACACATTGCCCTCAGATATGACATCTCCACTGCCTCCAGCCTTCTCCTCGCTGCAACATTCATCACCCATGCTACACACCCATATAAGAGCATTGGTAAAACTATACTCTCACACATTCCCCTCTTTGCCTCCAAGGACAAAGTTCTGTCTCCACAGACTCCTAAGTGCACCACTCGCCCTTTTCCTCTCATCAATTCTACGATTCACCTCATCTTTCATAGACCCATCCGCTGACACGTCCACTCCCAAATATCCGAATACATTCACCTCCTCCATACTCTCTCCCTCCAATCTGATATCCAATCTTTCATCACCTAATCTTTTTGTTATCCTCATAACCTTACTCTTTCCTGTATTCACTTTTAATTTTCTTCTTTTACATACCCTACCAAATTCATCCACCAATCTCTGCAACTTCTCTTCAGAATCTCCCAAGAGCACAGTGTCATCAGCAAAGAGCAACTGTGACAACTCCCACTTTATGTGTAATTCTTTATCTTTTAACTCCACGCCTCTTGCCAATACCCTCGCATTTACTTCTCTTACAACCCCATCTATAAATATATTAAACAACCACGGTGACATCACACATCCTTGTCTGAGGCCTACTTTTACTGGGAAATAATTTCCCTCTTTCCTACATACTCTAACTTGAGCCTCACTATCCTCGTAAAAACTCTTCACTGCTTTCAGTAACCTACCTCCTACACCATACACCTGCAACATCTGCCACATTGCCCCCCTATCCACCCTGTCATACGCCTTTTCCAAATCCATAAATGCCACAAAAACCTCTTTAGCCTTATCTAAATACTGTTCACTTATATGTTTCACTGTAAACACCTGGTCCACACACCCCCTACCTTTCCTAAAGCCTCCTTGTTCATCTGCTATCCTATTCTCCGTCTTACTCTTAATTCTTTCAATAATAACTCTACCATACGCTTTACCAGGTATACTCAACAGACTTATCCCCTATAATTTTTGCACTCTCTTTTGTCCCCTTTGCCTTTATACAAAGGAAACTATGCATGCTCTCTGCCAATCCCTAGGTACCTTACCCTCTTCCATACATATATTAAATAATTGCACCAAAAACTCCAAAACTATATCCCCACCTGCTTTTAACATTTCCATCTTTATCCCATCAATCCTGGCTGCCTTACCCCCTTTCATTTTACCTACTGCCTCACAAACTTTCCCCACACTCACAACTGGCTCTTCCTCACTCCTACAAGATGTTATTCCTCCTTGCCCTATACACGAAATCACAGCTTTCCTATCTTCATCAACATTTAACAATTCCTCAAAAATATTCCTTCCATCTTCCCAATACTGTACATCTAACTCTCCATTTATTATAATCATGGATTAATCCAAAACCCATAGGGGTTATACAGCACTTACAGAATGGAAGGTAATCAAAGTATGATCTGGGAAAGGCATGGTTAGCTACAATTCCTTGGATTGAGATTATTATTATTATTATTATAATATTCACAGGAAGTGCTATACCTGATGGGCACTCACCAAGAGGATTCAGTTAACTACAATGTTTTAAAACCTTGACTGGATTTATATACAGCTGACCGATGGATAACATGATAGTTAAAGTCCAGAAAAGTGTAAAAAAAAAAAAATGCGTGCAAACTAAACTGAAGAACATAAAAGAAAAATAGGGTTATGTTCATTATATCCCCCAAAAAGCTAAAAAAAAATTTTTGTAAAGGTTTTGAAACTGTAAAAACAATGTCAATATAAATGGAGGTTTATGTGATAATGTTTCTTAGGCAAAGATCTGCTAAATGACAAAGGTACTTTATTGTTTGTTGTCCCAATTGTTGCAACTGTATGGTGTTTATAAAGGTGAAGTTAGTGGCTGGGGTGTATATAGGAGAGTTTAGAGAGACTGGGGGTGAGGGGAGTTTGGTGTGGGAGGTAGGGGATCGTATGCAGTGGAGGCTCATAGATATGAGGTGGTGTGAGTTACCATATCATTACCAGAGCAAGCCACCGACCGTGAGCAGGTGTGCCTGGCACATGGCACTGTTTTCATCTCTCACTATTTTTCATTTTGCCAAGTTCATGTGTTTCCATGCATTCTCATGTTACTGATCTCCCTCCAAAACTGTTTCTTATTATCAGAAAAATTGCTGATAACAATTCACCCAATCTAATACTACTTTCTTTTGTACCTCCCTCACTATTCTTGTTAACCTTTTTCTCTCCCTATAATTCATATTCCATTTATCATTTTTACACTTTGAAAAACTTTTGTATGCTGACTTATTCCTCCCTGCCATTCATTTTTCTTACCTCCTCTTTCCACTATTTATTCCCCTTCCCGTCCTCATCCTCACTACCATAATCACAAACTTTCCCTGCACACACACACTATCACTGTCATTTTCAACTGATTGTACTTGCAAGTTTTTGAAAATAAATTTTGTTTGTTTAATATCAAATTACAAGTATTTAAAAATTAATAAAAAGCTGGATGTCTAATAATGCAATACAGAATATGCAATAAACCTCACCTTGAGAGATGGAACATGAACCACCTCACTGTACTGATCCCTGGTGAGAATAGTGACAATGGCAGGCCACCCTGCCCTCATGTCATCTCTGCTATACAAAACTTCACATGCTCGAACATCAACATAGGAATCTGGTTGCAGCCATCGAGCAAGTCGTCCGCCACTGGTGCCTCCCGCACATGACACAAAATCACGCAGAAACAAACGCTCATTTGAATGACAGCTGTTGGGATATTACAATATTTTAGTTGGCAACATCAGTGTCTAAATATTAACCCTTAAACTGTTCAAACATAGATCTACATTCACATGTGAAGTGCTCCGACCTTTATTTTCTCCATTTGAAAGCGTGTAAAAAAAAAGTCGATCTACGCTCGGAGTGCTATGCACGTGAATGTAGATCTACGTTTGGACAGTTTAACCCTTTGGGGGTTTCGGACGTACTAGTACGTCTTACAACCCAGGGTTTTTGACGTACTAGTACGCCTAAATTCTAGCGCCCTCAAATCTAGTGAGAGAAAGCTGGTAGGCCTACATATGAAAGAATGGGTCTATGTGGTCAGTGTGCGCCGTATATAAAAAAAAGAAAAACTTTGTGTTTTTGGATTAAAACAGCGACTTTGCACTGTATTTTCATATGGTATTTATTGTTGTATTCTAGTTTTCTTGGTCTCATTTTATAGAATGAAAGACATATTACAGAAATTGAGATGATTTTGACTGGTTTTACAATAAAAAGTACCTTGAAATTGAGCTCAAAGTAGCAGAAATGTTCGATTTTTACCAAAGTTCAAAAGTAAACAAATCATGCCAAGCGTCCAATACACATCAACTGGTGAGTCTAATATTCTTTCACAAGTGCACTGATATTATTTATACCATTTCTACACTAATGCAGTAGTCTGCATAACAGTAAATCTTATTTATTTTTGTAAGAATAAAAATTCAAAGTGGAAAACCAAAGAAATATAAGAGGGGCCTAGGGATGTGACTAACAAACAGAGAACTTGTTATTTTAGTGCCAGGAATGTCTTTCTTGTTTATTCTGGACCCTATTCGGAAATTGGCATCCTTTGAAATTTGTGTGAAATTGGCAAAATTGCTAAATTCTGACCACTTTATTGGATAGTTGAAATCGGTAAATGGGTGGTTTCTTGTACTCATTCGATAGAAAAAAATGGAGTTCTGGCGAAATAGTTAGGATTTTTGTCGACTGGTACACTGGAATTGGCCGAAAATAGGGCTCAAAGTGGGCAAAATCACCGATGCGTAAACATCGTTGAGACCGCTAACTTCGCAAGAGCATAATTCCGTAAGTTTTCCATCAAATTTCATACTTTTGGTGTCGTTATGATCGGGAAAAGATTCTCTATCTTTCCATAAGAATTTTTTTTTTTTTTGAAATTTGGCCAACCCTGAGAACAAGTCTCTGAGAGGACCTGTCGACCCCCAAAGGGTTAAGGGTTAAAGCTACAACTTTTACTAGCCATAAACTGTGGTAACAATACAGTAGCTTAGTCATATCTCAGAATATATACAGAACTGTACATTATAATTGCTTAAGATAAGTACAATGTACATACAAATTTTCTCTCTCTGCAATGACAGATATACCAATCTTAATAGTAGTGAAAAAAACACTGCTGTATACATAAGGTGTCCAATTTTCCTTTAGGCTGGTATTAGTCAACTGAGAAAGTTGATACTCTTCTAAATGAGAGGATGTTGTAGGGAATGGGATGTAGTCAACAAACTAGGAATGTAAAACACACAGCAGAGCAAGCTAAATAGAGCTTCATCAAATCTATATAACAGAACTGATAAATCCTTATGTAGGAATAAACATTGTTTAATGAAAAGACTGGCAATGCTGTGTGTTTTGCATTCTAAGAGGTTATTAGCCAGTAATGCCAAGCCCCACTCATTGAAAGTGCTTTCACATATACTTTGTACACTATTATAACACTAGAGCCCAATTGTATGACCTTACTGCTTTCATGAAAATCATCTTTACACTGGTATTTGGAACTTGGAATCAAGTTTTTTGGACACCAACATTATAATTGGAGATGCATTCCTGTAACATAATATTCTACATCTAATTTTGTATTCATCCATGAATATTTACCAAATATTTTACATTCAATACCATCCCTTTTTCAATTGCAAAGAGTATCAATGTTTAATTATGCTTAACCCTTTCACTGTCTCTCATGTAGATCTACGTCACTGACGCCAGTGTCACTCATGTGTATCTACATCTTAAGCACAACTCCCTCAAATATGCTGTTAGCTGTAAATTTTGGCCTAGACATCAGAGAATGGGACTGTGGTGAGTGTACACAGTATAAAAAAAAAAACTGTCCCATGCAGTGCATTATGGGTAAAACAACTTTGTGTTCGGTTGAAAATAGTGCCTTTGAGGTGTTTTCTAGAGAGGTTTTTATGGTTTTATTGGCTTCTAGGTATCAATTTATAGAATGGAAGACATCCAAATACAAATGATTTTGGTCAGTTTCAAATCAGAATTAGCTTGAAATAAGGCTCAAAATGGAGGAAATACAGTACTATTTGATTACTGGCAACTTTCCAAAGGAAGGGTTGTATTAAGAGTATCACTGGCTTCAAAAAACCTCCCCTGCGGAGGTTCTCTGATAATGTTAATTTTGAAAATATCAACTGTCAATGTGGAAAATGTAAATATACATGTGACTGGTTTAAAGAGCTTATCTTCTGTAGTTGCACCTGAGGCTCAATTTACTTTTTGAGTGGTTGATCAACTAGACTATTATTGCTTGTACCCTCATATAGCTCCAAAACTTGGCTGATAAAGACACTGTGGCAGAATGGAAACCTTAACTGAGACAACCTTTTACTGGGAGACCAAGTGTTTTCAAGTCTACAGAGAGTACAGTACATGGTAAGCATAGATATATACAGTGGGGAGAGCAGGTGACAAGGAACCAAGAGATGTGATCCTGACTGTCAGGGGAGGAGGGTAGTGTGTGATGAGTATGTCAGCCAGGGGTACCACCAATGAACCCAGGCCCTTGCCGTGTGAAGCTCTCGCTTCACACGGCAAGGGCCTGGGTTTGATTCCCAGCCAGAGTAGAAACATTGGGCATGCTTCTATATAGTAGTATGTCATTGATGTCAGCTAGGCCTGTATACCATGTACATGTACTTGTAGTAAATAAAGATATTATTATTATTAATTCTGGTTCCAGTTCACTCAAAAATACATACATTTGGAGACAAGTGGTTTCTGGGACCTGATGAACTGTTGGAGTGAGAGCAAGGTAATATTTTGTGAAGGGATTCAGGAAAACCAGATAGTTGGACTTAAGTCCTGGAGGTGGGAAGTACAGTGCCTGCACTATGGAAGAGGGATTTAGGATACTTGTTGTTTGGAGTGACATCAAAACTGTCGTGTTCGAGCGCCCCTGCAAAGACAATGATTGTGTGTGAATGATGGTGAAAGTGTTTCTTTATCTTTTTTGGGTCACCCTGTCTCAGTGGGAGACAGCTGATATGTTGAAAGAAAATGTATTGTATATATAATAAACAGCAAGAAAGAGAAAGGGGGGGGCACTGCCCTTCCCATCACCATCATTCATTTAATAACTGTCCTGCTAGAATACAGATGACTCTCTGAACAGCAACACACATACTGTATACCGTTGTCTTCATGAACTACAAATGTGAGTGAACAAAGCAATTCATTTAAAAGGATGATGTCACATCCTGTGCTCCCAACCAACCACATACAAACATTTACAAGAAGAGAGGACTTCCTGTCTGACATGTGAGAAGGCCAGAATGTCGGGATTTCCACATCATCACTTGGTGCACAATTACATCCCAAGGGACTGGTCTGTAAAATTTGGGTTGTATTCACTATATTAACAAATTTAAGCTTACAAATATTGAGATAAAACACAATGTTGACATTTCTATTAGTGATGGGTCTCCTTGGATGGTGTCTGGGCCATGATTATAGGCATCAGCCCCTCCTGCACAGTAATGGCTCCCATCTGCTTGCTCCTAAAGCACACAATGCTTCCATATACACTGGTAATTTACCTTACAAGCAAACTTATGCACTTGCTAATAAATCATACCTAGATGTGGAAGCACAGGATTATATAAATTCTGTGGCTTCTGGGATTAACATGAACACAAATGAAAGCAAGCCTGAAACTAAGCTAAATTTAAATGCTATGCTCAACACATCTGTAATGCTAGTGCAGATTACCAGTGAGCAGCCACCACCACCACACACTGGTAGCTTAGTACCTGATAACAAACCATACCAAGATATAACATCGAACACAATGCATGCAACAACTTCCACAGCACCAGTGTGGAGCAGCAGTAAAGGACCTCCTACAGGTAATAATACAACAGTACAAGAGGGAAGCAGTACAAGAGAACCTTTCACAGGCAATACAACACCTCCAGCATGGAGCAATAGTAAAGAACTTCTTGCAAATGATAATGCAACATTAAAAGACTGGACTCTCAGCATACTGCCCAACACAGTACCCACAAAGTCAACAGAGGTAAAACTGGATGACAATACAGGAACACACAGCATCAGAGTGCCAGGTGTAGCTACCAACAGTCAAGGCATAACTACTAAGAATGTCCAAAGTGGTTCAGCTGCTGACACTACCCACCTTAATTCTACAAGACATCAACAAAAAGAAGAAAAAGAGAATGATGACCCTAATAATCAAGGTTAGTTGCTAAATTACCACAATGCATATTAAAATAGACATACCATAATTAATTTTAAATAAAGTAGTACAAAAGTATTTTTTACAGTTTAGGCCATTTTCAGATAACCTACACTGTTTCACAGTAATTCTCACAGGGTACACAAGATCTAACATATTATCTTACTTGTTAGTTAAGCATATTCCACTTACATCATGCATCATAATGTATATCATATTTTGCTTGATAATGCATTGTTAAAAAAGTATGTGATAAGTTCAGCAGAGTTAAAATAAATAGAAAGATATAGGCCAGTACTAAATTTGGGCAGGTTATGTCAATGGATTTTAAACTGCACATAGTTTAAATAGAAGGAAAATTAAGCTAGTTCCAGATTTAAAAAAATAATTTGAAGATTTTTTTTTTTTGTTGCATTCACCAATATTTCATCTCCACATCTTCATCATTGACAGTTGTGCTGTTTTATAATGCACTATAAACTGA